AGTAACTTAGTCTCTCCCAGTCCAAGTAATAACTGCATTAAATATCTCACTGGATGGTTACCAGGGGCAAATAAGATAAACTGAGTAAAAATGTCAATATAACACAGAGGATATTATTGCAACAAAACTCTTTTACTATGGCCCAGATTCTTTGGGACAGTTTCAAATGTATTCTCAATGGTATTGCAAAATTCTAGTACATGCATGATCGGTGGAATGACTCAGCCATCTGCCCTCATGTATTTCCACCACTCTGGCTATAGAACGGCTTTTTTTTTAACCTTCACTATTCACAAATGGTATTTTTTAAATTTGTTCTAATTAGTTATACGTGTGACAGTAGAATGCATTTTGACACATCATACATAAATGAAGTATAACTTCTCATTCTTTTGGTTGTACTTGTTGTAAACTCATACCAATCGTGTAATCATATATGCACATAGGGTAATAATGTCTGATTCATTCTACTATTTTTACTAACCCCATGCCCCCTCCCTCCATTCACGCCCTTCTGCCTAATCCAAAGTACCTCTATTTTTCCAAACACCACCACCACCCCGCACACTTTATTGTGAATCACCATCCACATATCAGAGAAAATATTTGGCCTTTGGTTTTTTGGGATTGGCTTATTTCACATGATAGTCTCCAGCTCCATCCATCTACCTACAAATGCCATAATTTCATTATTCTTTCAGGCCGAGAATAGCTTTTTTTAAAATTCTCTTTAGTTAAAATCAAACTGAGAATTACTTTTGCGTGATGTTCAAGTTCAAATCACTACCATGACTGAGATAATGACACTGTACTCACCTCTCATGTAGTGTACACATCATCTAGAATGCCTATTCCAGACTCTGCCCTGTGCAAACTGGTCTACCTCCTGAGGGAAGAAGGGACTACAGCAAGACTCGTTACCAAAAGAGAACCTGGCCAGGGGTTGGAAAAGCATTTAATATAGTTCAGTCACTTTTAGCAGCTGAGAAACTTTGAATTCATGACATTGTACATGCTTTCCAATATTTCTTATGGCCCTATCCTAATCTGTTCATTTTTTTCCCAATTTCATCTGTTTTACCCACCCAAGGGTTGCCCCTAGTTTTATAAAATGACATTTTCCCCCACCATCGGCCTCAGGGTCATGACTAGTATGTTCACTAGTTGGGGTGATTTAAAATCAGTCAGTAAAGCAAACCACAAGTAGATTAACAAAACCCCTAGAACTCAGCTGTATGTTCCTTATTTACACTCTCTGCTAAAGAAAGAGTAAATGCAAAAGAATCTAATGAGGCCTAAACAGTTAGTTTTAATCTATGTCAATTCCTAGAGTGTCTGATCCCTTTTCTCCCACCTGACTTCTCAGGTCAATATTTCAAAGCACAAAGGTTAAATACTGAAATGTCCTCATACAAAATATAAGATACACCAGGAGACAAACCAAATGACCACAGTTCTCCTCCCCAAGATGTCTCCAGAGCGAATAGATCTGGGCCTTGTATGTGCCACTTGGGAACTGCTGTCACAGCAATTTCCACCCCACCATTTTGCCACACATCTGTGCCGCCTGGCAGTTAAGGTAAATCTCTTGATAGAGAAGCCTTACTTTCCTCCACCTACCCCGATCCTATCTATCCTGCTAGGCCTGCTCAGACCCTACCTCTTCCAAGTCATCTCCAGTCTCTTCCCCTAATCACCAGCTCCAGGATAATCTTCCAAATCCCTCCATAAAGTCTTTCATCAATCACCATCTGGCTCCTTTGCAGTGATCAGTACAGTGCCAGTCACTGCCCAAGCACATGGACCAATTATGTACGCCCCAGGGAATTGATTGTCCTACCTCCTATTTGTTTGATTGGCATGTTATGATCACAGAAGTCAAATAAACTGAAGGAGCACTGTCATGTAAATTATACGAAATACACTTCCTAGACACATTCCAGGATTTTGGTGTAAGAGAAGTCTCCAGGGGCTTGGGATGTGGCTCAAGCAGTAGCGCGCTCGCCTGGCATGCGTGCGGCCCGGGTTCTATCCTCAGCACCACATACAAAGATGTTGTGTCCGCCGAGAACTAAAAAATAAATATTAAAAAAAAAAAATTCTCTCTCTCTCTCTCTCTCTCTAAAAAAAAAAAAAAAAAAAAAAAAAGAGAGAAGTCTCCAATGAACCCAAAAGACCAACTCTTGCGAGGTCCCCTGCAGCACTAACCAGGGCCTCCTCCAAAGCTGCCTACCCATACAAATCCTGCCTTTGTTGATTAGCCTACTACAAAATATGGATATACTAAAGCCTTAATCTGATCAGGCTGCTATAACAAAATATCATAAACTGGGTAGTTTATAAACAACAGAAGTTTATTTCCCAGTTCTGGAGAATGGGAAGTCCAAGATCAAGGCAGATTAGGTATCTGGTTACAACCTTACATAACACATGGGGGTAGGGCAGCTCTCTGGGGCCTCTTTATAAGCGCACAAATCCTGAGCCCTCATGATCTAATCAAAAAAGGCCCCACTTCTAATACCATTACAGTGGTAATTAGATTTCAACATACAGACTTTGGGGAGACAAAGTCTGACTGTGGCAAGCAGATAGATATGAACATTTATTAAATAAAATTATCTAGAGGCCTTTTTTGCTAATTTCAAACTCCACAGTCAGCATCAGCATCAGATTCCCAGATACTTCAGCTGTTCCTATGTTAGACAACAGCATTTTTCAGAGAGGAGGGATGTGAGGAATTCTGACTCCTTGCTGCCACTAGGCTAAAATGAGGACAGCATTTGGACTGCTCCCTGAAATTAAAAGGTATCACCTGCCTTGTTAAAAGCATTGAAGCTAGATGGGCTGCTACTGGGACTAAGCTGAAGTGAGGTTATTCATTCTCACGGTTAAGGGTTAGGGCAGGGGTTGTTTCAAACTTATTAACAATCATGTTAAAATGATTTTTGGCTAAGCCTTCCTACTACCCCAAATTATTCAACAAAATGTCATCAAGTCAATCAAGATAATCTATACCATGTGTAACCTCATCTTTAAGTGATTACACTGAAAAAGTTATGAGAGGTAAAATTCTCCTGCAAATTTGAGTTGAGGATCCTGTATTAAATACCCACAATAAATGATTAGGCTAGATTGTCACCTAATCTAGGGAAAATGGTGGTAATCTAAATAGGTTAATCAATAAACTTAGCTGAGCCTCTGTTGTGGCCAAGGCCAATGTTTACACTAATAGTATATAAGATAATTTCACAACCCTTCAGGAACTTAAAATCTAATTAGGTAGTCAGGGCATATACACAAGAAAAATAAACAAATGAAAAGCAAATGGAAAGAGAATGTAGCCAGTCAACTCAAACCCTACTCCACACATGACCTCCAGCGTGTAACTGCCCACAACTATGGCTAGTCAAGGAGCCCTTAACTACACGAGCTTCACCTGTGCCTTTTTGTGTTCCTGCATCATCTATCTCCAATTTCATATCAATTGCTGCCTCCTCTTCCCTGTCCCATCCAGTCTGACTCAGAATTGCCATTCTGTACTCCAGGGGTGCCCTCTCCAAACCTTATCAGGGCACTCGTGACACTGTTCCACAATTGCTCATGTGACTCCTGACTGCACTGTGAATTATTGGGGAGCAAAACTGTTTTCTCCTGTGTTTAGTCCCCAATGGGCACATTATACGCTCAAGAAATGTCCGAATTGATGAATAAATGCCAATCCTGATCTTCCCTCCTAAACATATTTTAACTTTATTTTAAATCTGCCTTTTCTCTATACCTCCAAGGAGACAATACAGTATAGAATGGTCACTGAGTATTTAGCCTCTGAAATCAGACTGATATAGTAACTTTGTTCCATTACTTGTTAGTAAAGTGATAATGAGCAAATTATATAACCCACATATGCCTCAATTTCCTTATTTGTAAAATGAAGCCCCTGGTTCCCTATCACTTTCAGAAAACTGACCTCTTTTGTCACTTTAAGAAAGCCCTTCATGATTTGGCTCCAATTCCCTCGCCCCTCTGCTTACAGCCAAGCCCCAGACTCTCTACTGCCTACAAATCCCTCAATGTGTCCTATTCTCACAGCCCTCCATTCCAGGCTGTTCTATCAAGACCATGATTTCTGCTTGGTCACCTGGATTATTCTTTCTAATCCTTCATCTCTGAACCTAGATGTCACCTCTTCCATGGTTACATCATGGCCTCAAGTGAAACGAAGGCCTCAGTTTAAATCCTAGCTATATCATTTACAGGTAACATGACCCTGAGGGATTAGTTTGCTTCTCTTGGCTTCCTGTTTGCTACCTGTAAAATGGAAATAGAAAGAACCTACCAGGTAGAGTTGCTGTGAGGATTAAACAAAAAGCATCTCCCCCAAGAAAAGACCATAGAGAGTCTTAATACTTGCTAGTTACTACTATTGGCCCTAGGAACTTTCCTAAGCACTTTTAATACTCACATGATGCCTTATAGGAAATAAGAGGTTTACAGCTGTCAAGTAACTGCCCCAAGCATTAACTTCCAACATCAGAGTCAACACTTGAACCCAGAACCTCACAAGCAGAAAAGGTTTGGAAAACAGGATGAGAGTTAGAGAATGTGTGGGGCTTGCTCAAGGACTCATGATCAGTTACTGCTCTATGCTCAACCAGATCTGATTCTAAAGTGATAGCTGAATTGTGATTTGAAAGTCTTATAAACTACAAGCATCATAAAATAAGATTTGGGGAGATAAAAATGGTAAAGTCCTTCAGAGAAGCTGAGAAACCCGGCTTGGTTCCCACCAGTGGATGAAGGAATTCTTTAATTTAGGCAAAAAAAAGGGCAACTATCTTTTTATCTACCTAATTCCCTGTATATAGCTGTATGAAGCAGCTTTGTCACAGTTACAAAAATTCATGAAAATACAAAAACGTAATATTTATGAACACTAAAGAATATATCTAAATGTAACATTTTAAATGATTTATAAAACAAAATGCTGATTCTTACAAATGTGCCATTATTTATATTTTTATTTTTAGAAAGACTTACAAATAGTTCACCAGAATACAATTCTCACATTTCACTTTATAGTTAATTAATTTATGTCCAAAGTGAGTCCTTTTCTATATGGTTTCTGAAAAAGCAAAACACTTTATATTTTCAGTAGAAAAAAATTTACATGTGGAAGTCAAAAACAATACTTTTAGTAAAAATAGATGTCAACCACCATATCTTTTCTTGAGTTCTTCAACAGAATTATCTTTCAATCCTGATTTGTCTATGTGATTGAACAATACATGTGCAACTGAAAGAGAAAAAAAAATCCATTTTAATCTCATTTTCAAAAAAACTAAGCAAAATGTGAACTACAAGAAGTAATCTGATCTGTCAAATAAAAGTTTTTTATATTTTAAAAGCAATAATTAAAATTACTTATAAATTCCAACTCACATATTTAAAAAGCCAACCTGAGAATGAAAATTACAATAATTCAACAATGTTTCTTTCCAAAATATTTTGTTTTAACAGTACAAAATTTCCCTTATATCGTTAATGATATTAACCTTACAGAATAAACTTAATTTATTCTATAACAGCCTAAAAAGTTTTTGCCCTAACAAATATACTTTTTAAAATATTTCTTTTAGTTGTTGATGGATATTTTATTTATTTATATGTGGTGCTGAGAATCAAACCAGTGCTTCACACATGCTAGGCAAGCACTCTGCCACTGAGCCACAACCTCAGCCCCACAAGTATACTTTTATTTACTTAATATTTTTATTTCAATTTTAGATCTTTTTAAAACTTTATATCATTACTATAAATTGAAAATCAGCAATAATATCTATGAAATCACATTTGATGGGCTAGTAATACATTTTTAGATTAAATAATAAAATACATAAATACTAAAGGTTTAAAAAAAAAAAAAAGATTTGTCTATGAATCATAAAATCATCATTCTTACCTGAGTGGTCTATACTCAACTTTGGAAAACATAGTTCATGTGAGAACTATGAACAGCTATTAACGATAATGGCAATATAAATATGGATAACAGCAGCTATCTTCACGGAATGCTTAATTACATGCCAGAACCATTCCAAATGCTTCTCATGTTTAACTTAGCACACAGTTGTGACCCAACCAAGACACAGTTGGTAGGTTGGTCTAAAGAGCAAGCTTACATTCTTCAAGTACACTCTGAACATAATATCACATTAGAGGGACAAGAAATCATTCAACACTTCTATATTAAAAGGCTATTATGTACTAGCACTGAAGCCTACTGACCAAGGTAAACAAAGTTCCTGCTCTCATGGAGCTTTTGTTCTGTTAGGGAAAAAGAAATAATAAACATATACATGAAACACTCTCAGTTATGTGTTAGGAAAAAAAAAAAATCAAGCAGGATTAGAAAACAAAGTGAGGGGCAATGATGGGAGGTGGACAGTCATTTTAACCAGAGTTGGTGAAGAAAGTGTCTGTGAGGTGAAACTCAAAGAAGCCAGGAAGCACCAAGGTGAAAAAGACACGTAGGAAAGTCTAAATTCTAGGCTGAGGGAACGAATATAAAGTCCCTGAGATTAAAGTAAGTTTGGCAGTTTAACATATTAAAAGATGTAAAGCCAGCAAGTTGGGGGTGGAGTAATAAAAAAAAAAAAACATGGCAGCCCGGCATTGTGGTACACGCCTGTTATCCCATTGGCTCCCAGGCTGAGATAAGAGGAGTTCAAAGCCAGCCTCAGCAATCACAAGGCACTAAGCAACTCAGTGAGACCCTGTCTCAATAAAACACAAAATAGGGCTGGGGATGTGGCTCAGTGGTTGAGTGCCCCTAAGTTCAATCCCTGGTCTCCACCTGCCCACCCCTCGCCAAAAAAAAAAGAACAAATGGCAGATGATGAGGTCAGAACAGCAATAATAGTGACATATCTGGGATTTCACGGAATGGTTTTGGTTAACTAAAAATAAAGCAGAAGCTTTAGGATTAAATTCTATTTTTAAAAAAATCTCTAAATTACATGTCCACTTTCCAAAGTACAAGAGTATTTTTCTTATTAAGAATCATTTATTTCGGGGTAAAAATGGGAGTTCATAACCCACTTGAATCAAAGTGTGAAATATGATATATCAAGAACTATGTAATGTTTTGAACAACCAACAATAAAAATTAAAAAGGAAAAAAAAAAGAATCATTTATTCATTTCTAGAAATAAAGAGTAAGAAAAGGAATCAAGTATGTTTAATATAGGAGTTATCTAAAAATGATACACTGAGCTTTTGCTAATTTTTAAAATTAAAAAAGAAAAAAAACTGATTAGTCCTATATTTGATTTTGCTTTTCCCTGAAACCAGTATATAGCCCAAAATGAAGTTTTCACAGTTCGATTTTACTTTAATTAAGATTTCCCAAAACTGACCCTTCATGCCAAAGACTGACATGTGAAAATAAATAAGAGATGTGAAAATACAAAAGGGACATAATTCTTCAAGCTCATTACCTGCCATTCTTTACCCCTCAAATCTATAATCCAGTCACAGTACATTTTTAATTCTCTGAACTTTGCTCTTTCCTGCCTCAGTACTTCTAGCATGCATCATTCCCTTAGTCCAGAACTCTTCCCTACTCCTTCATCTAACTGACTCCTGAACTTCTTTGAAAATTTAGCTGAAACAAACTCAAGAAAATAAATTATCTCCCTCAAAATGGATTAGACATTAGGCCCATACTGGCCCAACAGTTACATGTTCCATGATGGCAAGAATTCAACTATTATGCCACATACCACACTTCTAAGAAGAGCCCAGAAGTGGACGGTCAGGGTTCAAATCCTGGGTGTTTCTTTAACTATGTGACCTTGGTCAAATTCCTTAACCTCTCTACTGGACAGTTTTTTCTTCTATAAAGAACAAATGGCATATCTTATATACAGACATATGATAAATTGTGGTATAAAGGTGTATTAAGAATTGTAATGCAAAAAATAATAATGAGAGCTCATGTAAAAAAATGTAAAATAGATTTGACTATTTTGACAAATGTAAAATCATTTGACTTAATATTTTCATTACTTGTATATATAAACACTTATATATTTATTCTTAAAGAAAAGAAAGAACAAATGCCTGGCCCATTAATTAAAATTATAATTTTAAAAATGAAAATTAATTAAATTTTTAATTAAAATTAAAAACTAAAAATATAATTTTTAAAAATTAGTTGCCTGTAATCCCAGCAATCCGGGAGACTAAGGCAGGAGGATCACAACTTCAAGGCCAACCTCAGCAACTTGGCTAAGCCCTGTCTCAAAATAAAAAATAAAAAGGTCTGGGGAGGTGGTTTGGTGGTTAAGCACCCCTGGGTTCAATCTCTAGTACAAAAAAAAAAAAAGAAAAAAGAAAAAACACCAGAGAGAACAATAATAGCAATAATAGTACCTACACTTGCTACTACTGTCAGGATTAAAAATACAATTTTAATTGTACTTAATTTAACTGCACTTCAATTAACAACTTAATGTAATTATAATTAACTTACATGTAATTGCATACACCTTGTAAATAAAGTCTGTTGTCATTCTTTGAACAGTAAAGGAACATATAAGAATAACTAGAAATAGAAAAACCTTTTAGAACTTACTCTTTTTCTCAGATTCTGACATAAACATTACTGCCATATCAAACCTTTTTAGTTCAGAAAGTCTTTGTAAGATTTCAAAAATAAGTGATGGCTTTTCTTTCCTGAAATAATCCAAAAAATAAAAACCAATAATCAGTTAAAAGTAACTCATTTAATTCTGTTTACTAATACAATATTTCTAATTATACACAAATAAGATTGTCACTTTTTATATTTTCCCTGGATACTGTTTATATTTTAAGTCCCCAAATGATAAAATTTCTCAAAATCAGCCAAAGAAATTATAATATTCTTAAATGAGAGCTTAGTAGAGAGAAACCATTATTCTAACGCTGGTCATTTCCACATCCTACTTCTCTACAAAAAAAATTAAATCCATGGCTGGAGTTGTGGTTCAGCAGTAAAGTGCTCACCTAGCATGTGCGAGGCACCCTGGGTTTGATCTTCAGTACCATATAAAAATAAATAAAATAAAGGTACTGTGCTCAACTACAACTAAAAAAACAGAAAAAAAAAAAAAAAAAAAAAAAAACACATTTTCCTCCCACTTAAGCTTTCACCCTTTTGTCTATACTTGTCATACCTTTATAACTTCTGTAATGTTAAAATTTACTAGAAAGTTAATTATGCTATGTATAAAATATTAATGTCAAAGAATGAATTTTCCAAATCACAGTATTACAATATGAGAGCATAATTAAAATATTCAACTTACTCAATGTAAAAGTCATGCAGAATTTTAATGATTTGGTTGAATATATCTGGATCTAGATTCTTCTGAAACAACTTAGGATACAATGATGGTTCAATTTGCTTGGGAAAAACAGAAAATTAAATTGTGGCAACATTCACATTGCACAAATTATAAACTGTTTAAATAAAAGTAGTTAGAATAATTATAGGGCTGGGGTTGTGGCTCAGCGGTAGAGCGCTTGCCTAACATGTGCGAGGCCTTGGGTTCGATCCTCAGCACCACATAAAAATAAACAAAATAAAAGTATTATGTACAACTAAAAAATAAATATTAAAAAAAAGAATAATTATAATGCATTAATATCTAATAAATATAAATGGGACCACATTTAAATGCAATTCTGAGAGAACAACAAACGATAATCTGTTTCAGTAACGGGAAAAAAAATAATCAAATGAACATACAGACACCACTCTACAAGGGACAACCTGTACTTTCAAAGAGGAAGAACTAGATAGAACTAGAAATATTTAAAAGGAAAATTAAATGAGATAACAAATTTGAAATGACAGTTTATTACCTAATTCTAAGGGAGCTAGATACTATCATTATACTTGAAAAACACTATGTTAATCTATTATTCAGTTCTATTATTATTAAGTTCTATTCTAATCTATTATTTAGTGCTTTTTAATCATAAGAACTAAAGTTCTTATGATTCAATTCTGTATCTTGGAGCAAGTAAAAACTCATTTGTTTTCAGGAAAATAATTGTCTAAACATTGCGAATTACTTGACACACAGAAGTCATTCAATGTATTTCAGCTTGAAGGATGAAAGATTAAGCATAAGCTATATGAGAAATAAAATTACACTGAGTTATTTTAGACATTAGAATTTAACACAGAACCTATTTCCAAAGTTAAAAACCAAGGTTTCCTGGTTGCAAATATTTTAAAATGTTCTGGCAAGATGATGATATGTATTAAGCAAGGGGAGAAGCATTTTCTAATATTATGTCATTCAAAAAGCAAATATTATAGCACTATTATAAAGTTCTTAGACCTTTTACTTCCAAGAATTACTAGCTTCCTCTCTCTTACCTTTAAATACTGATACAACATATCTGGAGAACCTTTCAGTTGTCTGAAATCAGATTCAAGCTGGAATGAGTTGGCAGGAACTGGAGGCAGAGCAGATGTGACAAACTTAGCAGGTACTTGTTCTCCCTTTATAGAAATCTTCTCACTCAAAGACTGGCTAATGTCCTGTTTCAAACTGACTCGAGGTCTGAAATATTTCAGAGGCACCAATCAAACAATTAGAAATGAATCATAAATAGTCAAAGCTCAATAAAGAAAATTGCACTAGAGATTTTTAAGTTTCTAATGTATTAATGTTATTTATTTGTATTCTACAGGTATTAAATTCTTTTGACTAATAATATATATATAGATTTGAAAAAAAAAAGACTATGCCCTTGCAAATTTTCATATTCTAGCTATACAATGACTATTCTCATCTGTTAGGTCACTAGCCTGGTCAGCCTTTGAGAACACCATCTCTACTGCAGGACTGCATCAAAAAAAATCTCACAACTCAGCCTTTCAGAAATACAAGCATTTCTAAGAAGAAAATGCTTCTTCCTTTTGTTTTACAAAAGCTACCCAATTTATATTCCCACCAATCCATATTATCTCTTCAAGTAAAAGTATCACTAACGTTCAAAGTTTAAAATAAAACAAAAAAGTGAAAATTCACAGGTTTGCTGAATGGCAATGTAAGACTATCTATAAGATCATATGTGGGCTTGGATTATGGCTCTGTGACAGAGCACTTGCCTAGCACCAGGATCCTCAGCACCACATATAAATAAATAAATAAATAAAGGTACATCAACAACTAAAAAAAAAATTATATGTAATACTAAACAGTAACCCAAAATAAACCTAATCAGTCTGTATCATCTATATTTTTATATTCAGGAAACTCATGGAATTATTTAATCCCAAATTTAATTCCAAAATTTAAAGAGTGCCCAACCGTCTTCAATATTAATAGGTATAGAAAATAGGGGCTGGCCTTCATTAGATGAATGTATAAAAAAAAATTGTGGCATATATACACAATGGAATATTACTCAGCAATTAAAAAGAATAAAATCATGACATTTGCAGGTAAATGGATGGAGTTAGAGAAGATAATGCTAAGTGAAGTTAGCCAATACCAAAAAACCTAATGCCGAATGTTTTCTTTGATGTAAGGAAGCTGATTCATAGTGGGATAGGGAGGGGGAGCATGGGAGGAATAGACAAAACTCTAGGTAAGGCAGAGGGGTGGGAGGGGGCATGGGATAATTAATGATGGTTGAATGTGATGATCATTATTATCCAAAGTACATGTATGAGGACACAAATTGGTGTGAGTATACTATGTATACAACCAGAGATAAGAAAAATTGAGCTCTCTATATGTAATAATATTTGTAATGCATTCCGCTGAAAGAAAGAAAGAAAGAAAGAAAGAAAGAGAAAATAGGGGCTGAGACTGGGGCTCAGTGGTAAAGGGCTCGCCTAGCATGTGCGAGGCGCTGGGTTCGATCCTCAGCACCACATAAAAAGAAATAAAAAACAAAGGTATTGTGTCCAACTACAATTAAAAAATATATATTTAAAAAAAAAAAGAAAATAAAGGTAATATCTTGGGCTAGTTTTGTGGCTCAGTGGTATTGCACTTATCTAGCACGTGTGAGGCACTGGGTTTGAACTTCGGTACCACATAAAAAAATAAGTAAACAAAATAAAGGTATTATGTCCAACTACAACTAAAAATATTTTTAAAAAAAGAAAAGTAGAATCTAAATTCTGCATTTTTTTATGGATCTTCCTTTAAAAAATTAAAATTTTTTGTTCAATTAAATAGTAAAATATATACACTGAAGTTCTAGAAAAGAAAATCAACAAAATCAATTTGATTAAGGCACTTTCTTATATCTACATTATCTCTGAAAACTGTGCTCCAATAAAGGAATAAGTGATTACTGTTAAACAAAATGTTTCTCACTGTAAAGACAAATAAAAGAAAATTAGAACCTAAAGTGAGACAGTTCAAAAAACTGCAGTAAGTCAAAAGTCTTCTTAGTAATATCAATTTTCTACTGGAATTACTGTCATTCTAGATGATTAGCAAATAACAGTACTTCTACTCACGGCAAGGCTGAAGTATCATTGATTTCTTCTATTTTCAAAACTTTTGCTCGTGGAGTATCACTTGGGGGCAAAAGGTCATCTTGGCTTGAATTCTTTTTACCAGCAGTGCCTGTGGCTGCTATTACGTTTGCTAGATTAATAGGATTACCCTCTGGAGCAGCAGCAGTAGTGCTATCTGGCACATCAATAGTCTGTATCAAATTACCAGTTTCTTCAATAATAACCTTCTTGAGTGGTTTCTAAAACAATTAAAATCAATTCTTTAAATCAACATATTAGCAGTTTCCCATTTTAAGGTCACAAGTTAAAAGATGCTGTGTTCTTACAGCTAATATCCCAGTTGTAAGTAAATTTAATTTGGTGGCTAAACAGACTTAGGAATTACACTCTGAGAATACAAAGAATAAAAAGCTATGCACCTCTCCTACACAAGATTAAAATGGAAAAGAAAGACACAAATGCATAAGTAATTCCGAGGGAATGGATGTGCATAAAAGAAGAAAGCACAAAATGCCAAGAGAATTCAGAAAGGAAAAGTAAACAGTGGAATCAGGGAAGCCTTCACAGAAGGAAACAGCACAGGGGAATGGCCAAGGGCAAGGCTGCTACAAGTCCAAGGGCAGGGAAGCAGTCCAGTGTGGCTGTCACAAGGGCAGAGGTGGTACAAAAAAAGCCTGAGAGGCTGCTTAAGGACAGTTAATACAGATACCTATGTGCCATGTCAAGGAGTTTGGACTTGATTCTTGAGGCAATAGAGCAAAGAAAATATATTAACACAACACCAGCACGGTTTAACTTGAGGCAAGTAGAACAAGGAAAGACAATAACACATTGTATCTGAAACAGACTAACTACAATCTCTGCATATGTAGTAGATGAATTAAACCAGCCCTGGATTATAGATTTGCCAAATAATACTTACAAAATTGGTCAGTGTTATCCATAATGGTTTTCTAATTTAAAATAAATGGCATTCACTATTTACTTTGATCATTACAAGTATCAAATATTTTCAATTTCTCTTATACTTATGGTATTATTTTATATTTAGTAAAACAAAACACTATTCTTGACTATATCATCACACCAGACATTAAGGAGCTACTACTATACCACGAGGGGTATTTGAAAATAAAAAAGGCAAGAAAGCTCCTTCTAAAATTGACAAATATTGATAAACAGTTGTAGCTATAGTAAAATAGTTCACTCTATTTTTGTATAAATTCCAAATCTGATTTTAAAGAGAAAAACTTAACATGCTCATACTGTTCATTTCAAATGCATAGTTGAATTATAAATGATAAATTATGAGTATTAAAAACTTCTGACAAATTACATTCAATGTCAAAACTAGACATTCCATTAGCATGGCTAAGAGCTAATGGTAGCAACTAAGTGTTTCTACATAAAAAAAAGCTAAAAAGCAAATTTGAAACACAATCCTCTTGGCAATTCTGTTTTAAAGGACAATTATATTAAGGCCTTTTCCTTGATGATAACTGTATCAATCAGTTTTCTATTAAGACATTGACCAAGAATGGACATGTGTTAGTATTAAAAATGTATAAATATACAATAAATTCTACTATGTATAATTATAACATGCTAATTAAAAAGTCGATTTTGAAAAATAAAAGAATAAAAACTAGACAATAATTTCTGACAAGCAACAGTATGAATTAAGTCATTGTGGTCCATTTAAAGCCAAATTCTTTCCTTGACAAGACATGTATAAACATGATTCTAATTAATGTTTTTCTTAATGGTCTCTAACCCATGTAGACCAATAGGTTCTGAGAGTCACTGAGGGCCACTGATGACAGGGGCAGAGGTTGCAGGTAGAGTATGCTGGTTATAGTTGTAAACCATAAGATACTTTTACTGAAAGAAAAAAAAAAAAAAACTAAGAAAATATAAAAGGTTTAATCCACTCCTTTTTAAAAACTATGGCTCAGAAGTATAACATTTATTTAGTTCTGTATTTTGGCCATTTCAAGGGAAAATAAAGAACAAACTGTAAGTCAAAGAGATAATGGGTCCAGGGAGAAAGGTGAACTTTTGACGTGGAGAAACAAAAGTGTTTTTGTTTTTGTTTTTTAAATAACTAAAAAAAAAAAAAATAGTTTAGCAGATCAGGAAAAACTTTGATTTACTACCACCTAATAGGCTCCTGTGGGTCCCTGGTGAGATTTGCTGAAAGTACTCCCAGGCTCCCAGGCCCTGAAGCAAACTCTCCTGGCCTATCCTCTCACTTGAATAACCCAAGGCACACACACTCTCTCTCTCTCTCTCCAACATCCCACACTACTTCCCTTCATATAAACTAATCTGAGTTATTCTACATTTAAGGAGAAAACCCAAAAATAATAGGGTTTAGATAACTTGTTTAAGATTTCAAAGTTTATAAAGTGGGGCTCAAATCAAGTCTCAAAGGTATTATACCAAACTTCTAACTTCTGTTTTTTTAAATAATCATTGCCCATTTATTATCGTAGAGATCTATTATAAAAATAAACGGCAATTATTTCCCTTCTCAGTAGGATACTAATTTTCTTTGTTAGATTATTTATAAAATACTTTACTACCAGCTCTCTTATTTCATAAAGATTTTGAGATACTGTCACAGAATAAATTCATGCTACATTTTCATAATTATTAATATAAACTGATTTTTAAAGTCAAGGAGAGGAGAACCTAACAAATTAATGAAAGTTATTCAGGTATAATCGTCATGAGACATTACATATACTGATACTTGATTTATCCTATGGCAAAATCTTTATAATTATGGACAGCAATACTATCAAAGGACTTTTTTAAGTGTGCAAATTAATTTTCGTGAAAAAGCCTTATAAAGATGTAAGTTTCCAGGAATGGTGGCACACACCTGTAATCCCAACAACTTGGGAAGCTGAAGCAGGAAGATTACAAGTTTCAGGCCATCCTTAACAACTTAGTGAGACCCTCAACAACTTAGCAAAACTCTGTCTCAAAATTCAAAAAATAAAAAGAGCTGGGGATGTAGCTCAGCGGTAAAGCACCTGGGTTTAATCCCCAGTACCAAAAAAGAAAAAAAGATGTGAAAGTTTAAATCATATTTACTAAAAAAGAACAGAATAGCAGCAAATGAATATAATACACGAAACAATTAATACAATATAATACACAGAAACAAAGAATCATGCCTGGCACTTGAAACACATGAAACCAGTATTAGCCAGAAAATACATGAATGCAAACACAGCAGGAACACTGGGAAAGTATTAAATTAAGAAATCAACTATCTGAAGTTTGTTTTGCTATATTCATATAAGATATGAATATAGCAAAACAAACTTCCTGTCCTTTATAAAAGGGGGATAAAAATACCTGCTCAAACTTCCTTATAAAATTATTATTTCTAGCAAAGACTCATCCATGAATAACTGTTACTTCTGTGGGTCAGAGAAAGGATCTTTATCAGTAATGGGCACATAATAAGGTTTTTGGGTAAAGAAACTTTCAATTTCCCTGATCTGGTTGGTGGTTTTATGTGTGTTCACTTTATAATTATTGAGTCTTAATTTTTGTTGTGTGTTTTTTTGTATGTATTTTATATCTTACAATTTTGATTTTACAAACACATATACTAAAAGTACTATATAAATGTTAGAAATTACCACTGAGTCACATCACACATATATAACATATATGTTTGCCTTAAATGAATTCAACTTTAGAGGTTCAATATAGACCTGCTAAATTCATGCTACTCTTTCTGTTCCAATATTACAGGGAAAAACTAGCCTTGTTGGACTTAATGATAAACTACAGTATGCCCAAAATAATGTGCAAGCTATTGCAATGAGAACTCAACCCCAGAAAAAAAGAGTAATAAAATAAAAAACACTTTATTGCTACAAAATGTGAAACTGGCCAGGTGCACTGTAATCCCAGTGGCTGGAGAAGTTGACACAGGAGGATCTCAAGTTCAAAGCCAACCTTAGCAACTCAGCAAGACCCTGTCTCTAAATAAAACACAAAAATGGGCTGGAGATGTGGTTCAGTGGTTAAGCGCCCCTGGATTCCATCCTTAGTACCAAAGAGAAAAAGAAAATATGTAAAATTTTTATAAGAAAATTGTGTAAAGATATTTAAATAAAATACTAAATTAAGTTACTCTAGAAATCTAAACATTTGAATTTTCTCTAATTTTATTATGCCAATAATCCTAGGAAGCATTTCTTTAAGATTCTAAAAATAACTCAGGAAAAAGCTTTCAACATTTTTTTTTTTAGTTTGTTTTTTCAATAGTTTGCTTCTAATTCTATTAATAAAACACAGATATTTAAATGACAAGGAAAAAAAGTGCTTTACTTACAACTGATCCAAGATGAGGTGGATTATCAATGGGTTTTACCACATTTTGTCTTTGTGTGGAATCAAGAAAGACATCATCCCAGTGTCCTTTCTCAATTAATTCCTTCAAAATAAATTTGAATTTTGAGTTAATTATGTAACCAATATATGAACTTGTGTTTCAGAAAATATGACTATACTGAGGTGAAAGAAATACCTTTTTAATTCTAGAAAGTTCAGTTACTGCTTGCTTATTTCCAGGCTCCAGAAGTAACACAGTTTCAAAATCTAAAGTGAATTAAAGAAAAACACAACAAGGGAGTAAAAATATTTAATTAAGTTCAAGACATGATACATTTAGTTAGTAATCCCATTTTTGTCTCAAGAAGTTTTTTTCACTCAGTACACTAGGTAACAGGTGAGCAATAATAAAGACATATTTACTATGTGCTGCTCTATTTATTTTATATGAAATTTCATGTAACCTTCACTATAATTTCATTTTACAGATAATACAACTGAGGCCTAGACAACATTGAATTTACCAAAGCTCATGCTGCTAAAGAAGATAGAGTAACTTACCAAACAAAACAGAATTAGAAAATTCCCTACCCTGAAATGGATGCAGTTAGAAAAGATAATGCTAAGTGAAGTTAGCCAATCCCAAATAAACAAATGCCGAATGTTTTCTCTGATATAAGGAGGCTGATTCATAGTGAAATAGGGAGAGGGAACATGGGAGGAATAGACGAACTCTAGATAGGGCAGAGGGGTTGGAGGGAAAAGGAGGGGGCATGGGGTTAGAAATGATGGTGAAATATGATGGGCATTATTATCCAAAGTACATGTATGAAGACACGAATTGGTGTGAATATACTTTGTATACAACCAGAGATATGAAAAACTGTGCTCTACATGTACAATAAGAATTATAATGCATTCCACTGTCATATATAAATTAAAAAAAAGATAAAAATAGATCATGTTAAGACATTGGTTAGAAAAAAAGCGCTGTTTGCATTTTCAGCACCAGGGACTTCAATATTCCCAAAGCAAAGGGGGTGGGAGGAATTACTAACACTGGCAAAGTAGATTTTGTCAGCAATGTTTGGTGAATACTTTGGAGGAGAAGGAGCTTCCAGCATTGTGACTTCTGTTCTTCTCAGGCAACTCCACTGTTTTCTCTTAAATTAGCATCCATTGCTCTTTTAAATATTATGTGGTGGGGAAAGTGTCTATATTGCATCTGTTCATCTAAAACTATGAATTGCTTTTATCACTGATTTCTAAAATACACCTGCACATAAAAGTTTGGGACAATTATTTTATTTCTGTCTCAACCTTCCATCAGATAAACTCTTCAAACACAAAATCATTACCTTTAAAAAAAATGTCTCTCAACAAGTATGGACTTCTCTGATTTTTAAATTAAATGCTTCTTACAGAAAAAAAGAAACAAAGAAAGAAAATTCCCTACCCTGGATTATCACTCAGCCTTAAGAAGGAATGAAATTCTAATACAAACAACAACATGAATGAAAGATGAAGATGAGTTAAGTTAAATAAGCCAGATGAAAAGAGACGTATACTATTACAATTCTACTACTATCAGAAATTTAAAATAGTTAAATTCATAGAGAAAATAGAACAGTGGTTACTAAAGATAGAGGGTGAGGAGAATGAAGAGCTATTATTTAATGGGTACAGAAGTTTAGAATGGGGTGATAAAAGTTCTAGACATGGACAATGGTGTTAGTTGCATAATACTGTAAATACTTGATGCCAAACTATACACTTAAAATGGTTAAAATAGTAAATCCACTTTTATATATAATTTATTTAAAAAAAAAACAGAAAACACTCATGGGTTGCAGCAAAAGCCAGATTTGAAGAGGAACTGCAATTAAAGTGCACAAATCAGAAAATTGAAAAAAGGCTGAAAATCAATTACAAAAGTATTGACCTCAAGAAGCTAAAAAAACAGCAAATTAAACCCAAAAAATAAAGAGCATAAATAAAAAAATTTAAAAATAAACACAAAGGAATCAAATCAATTCTTTGAAAAGACTAATAAAATGAATATCTGAGACAAGATTATAGAAAAATAAGAGGAAAAAAGCATAAAAAATAAAAAGGAATATCACTAAAGCCCTCACATTATCCTCCATCCCCTATCTACTGATTCTTTTTTTATTATTATTATTCCTGCCTTATTTTTACTTTTCCTTGTCATTTATAATCCAAAATTTTCAATAACATTGATTGGTAATTAGCCAAGAGAGTAGTATAAAGTAAAGACTAATTGGGTGCACTATGGAAGGTATGGTCCTTCAAACCTACTCATAAGCACAACTGTACAGAAAAAAAAAAAAAACAAAACCTTTCTTAAGTTTAGCATCTTTGAACCATGGGAAAGCAACAAAAATCCCTGCTTTACACTTTGGGAGTCTCATCAGGATGAGTGTGTACATAAAGTTTTACCTTGTTTGGCCTCATTTATCTTTCCCAAAAATGTTCTTGCAGTTCCTCTTCTAGCAAAAGCTTTGGAGTAAGAGCCATCTAATAAAATGGCTTGTGTGCAGTCTCTTTCAGCTTCTTCATATCTATTGAACATAATAAAATTATCAACTGGAAAACATGCAGCTTACAGAAAATTTTCATAAAACTGAGTTTCTAATTAAAAAAAAAAAAAACACATATCTAATTTCAATTACGAATTCCCACATCTGTATTTCAGGAGAAAGACTATTTTTTACATTTTTCATTCTCACTGAATCTTGTAACCATCTGGTAAGGAGGGAGAAGGTACCAAATTAAGGGAAAGTTAGAAGAAAGTCTGCTGGAAAGATGGAATTCACAGTGGTAAAATATAAGCTGAAGTAACAAAAGAGTATCACTGCTGGCAGGTCATCTCCTCTCCAACCCTCAATATGCACAGGTACTATGTTATAATTGGCATTAGTTTCCTCGTAAAATTTCACTAACCTTACCCATAATTTGAGTCGCTTAAGGAAAAACAACCCACAAAAAAGATCTATTATGATAGCCTATCATCTGATATTTTGCATAAATACTACTCAGCCACGCAACTAGTAACAACTCAAATTGGGTTTGGTTCTGTAACAAAAAACTAAAAAAAGCTTCACTCACACACACACACACACACAGAAAGAGAACAAAAAACCCTCAGACCTTCCCATATATTCAAATGACATTAATGAATATTAATTTATTACAAATGATAACAGTACTGTGATTATGTATGAAATATCCTTTTCTTTGGAACAAATATCACAATGTCTGTTATTTTCTATATAATAATTAGGTGTGGGTAGGGAGGCTAAAACAAATACAACATAGAACATATGACCTGTTAAAAACTAGATGAGGAAGCCAGGTATTGTGGTGCACACCTATAATGCCAGCAACTCAGAAGACTGAGGCAGGAAGATCAAGTTCAAGGCCAGCCTCAGCAACTTAATAAGACCCTAACTCAAAATTTTAAAAGGCTAAGGATGTAGCTCAGTGATAAAACGGCCCTGAATTCAATCGCCAGTACAAAAAGAAACGAAATATAGATAATGCATACATGAACTTACATTATTTTCATGACACTCTGGAAAGTTTCATATTAAAAAAAAAAATTCCTATGATTATATTCTTCCCAAGGCCTAAATAAATGCCATCTTACCCTCACAACAACATTCATGAATAAAATATGAATTTCTATTTTGGGCCCCACTTTTAAGAATAAAGTCAAACTCCTTTGCAGAGCACAAAGTCAGAGGCCTGATTCTTAGGCTTCTCTTTGACACTGTCCCCTGCATAACAGTCATGAACTTTCCCATTCCCACACCTTTGATGAATCTGTACTGGGACACTCACCCTGTTTATTCTCCTCACTAACCCATACTACTCTGAGAGCTCAGCTGGGTTTGAGCTCTTTAAGTTCTTCCCATGCATTCTTGCACCTGTTGAGAGCCATCCGTGTGCTATATGTGGACTATACCAGTATTGTAGCCTTTGAATAGGAAAATTTGGTATTTGGGAACTTCCTGTGGCAATCCCATAGGCTAAGATTGCCCAAATAGATGTGAATTTCTATTCAGCTCTACCTGGTCCCACACAGCACTGGAGATGGGGTAAGCTGCTGCAGCCACACAACCTCTCAGAGATGGGTATAACCTGCCAAGATGCCAATCAACTTTTGACTGTAAGACATCACGAAGCAAGACTCCTTCCCAGCTGCCACGATGGGGTTTATGTAGCAGATCTTATCACTGATGACAGGACGCAAGGAGGTGAAGATGCCAAGCCCTACTGCTGCTGCAGGCTCGTGCCAGTGTTTTGTCCACCATGAACTCCCATAGAATAAGTCCCTCACAGCATTAACACAGTATATTCTAATAATTATGGTCACTTTTCCTGTCTCTTCCTCCAAACTCCAAGTTGTTTAAAAAAACTGTATATTTAATATCTGCACACTTAATATCTTCCATAGCACCTACCAGGACAACTGACGGATTCTGGCTCAATAATTGTTTGCTAAATAAATCAGAAAACTTCCAAACAGCCCAATGCAAAGACAATTTAGAAGATAAATATTTAGGAAGCCATTTTAATTGCATATTCAAAAAGTATGTTCTATTATACAGCTGAAGAAAATCCAAAAAATATTTTAAAACTGTAAAGTTTCCACACAAGTAAATTGTTTTTTGACAATGAACTGATGTTAAGCTTTTTTTAAATTGTTAAATATCACTTGTGCACTCCAAGTATAACCTGGATTTAAAAAAATCCCATCTATAAACACCTTTTAGAAGATGTCAGAGAAGATAAACTAATCAAAAACAGAAATAGTAAAGATGATTAGTTCAGAAAACAGTCGTTTCCTACTTCCTTCCTAGTTCCTGAGCCCTACACCTCTTCTAACCATAAGTTCTAAGTGTTCACTCTGCTTGCTCTATTTCAACTCCATCCCTAATCAGCAGTAGGTGAACTCTATGCTAAACCATGTCTTAGCCCAGTCTGTTACAGAGCCATGATTCTACCTTATTTCTGTGACCAACCCTCAACACTATTTCCTATAGCAAGTATCTAATACTATTGGATCCTTTTCCTCTAATCCTATCTCTAAATTTAGATTTTGCTCCCTCTAAGAATAGGACCTACACTGGTTCTTGTTAAATCTTCAAGCACTAGCGTCCTATCCCAAACTTCTGAGCCCATTTCTGATTATTTTACTATCTCTTCAGAGCTTCTGAAGCTCACCATCCATCAACCTCCATTTCACAACCTGCCAGCTCACAGACACTCGACCACTGCAACTCAAGGATGTCTTGCTGAGCTCCTTAACACCATTCACCTACTCATGTAGTCTAGCACCTCTGGAAACCATGTTCTCTAGAAACCTTGGCTGCCCTACCTAGGTGAATTTCTCCTTACTCCCTGCTGGCAGATAAGACTGACTTCACTACTAGTTCTCTCCTCCGACTACCAGTCAACCTTATCAGTCTTTTTGACAGAGTTTGAAGGAACCCAAGCTACAGGCTGGATAACTAAAATAAGAATTATTAAAGTTTGAAAAGTTGTTCCTTTTGATGTTCTTCATCTAGCCTATAATACAAGAGACTCCTTGTAGTAGAGAAAATTTCTAATATTAAGTGTGAATCTAATAGACTTTACAAATAAAAGTAATGTAATTCTTTTCTTTTAAAATTATACTCTTTCTAGCTTGTCATAGTATATTCTACTAACATGACTGTCAACTGAAGCAATAAAACTAATACAGTGCTCTTATAAATGCAAATATAATCCCTCAGCTACAAGAAGGTATTTTTATTGGCATTATAATCAAACCAAAGAATTCAGGCCTTACAATTTTTAAACCAATGCACAATTTTTATCAAATTTTCATAAGCTAATAAGAGATATAATGCTCTTTGACTAATCAACAAAACAACCTATCTCGTTTTAATTTAAATGAAACTAAATACATAACCAAAATTACCTCTGTGACAGAATTCCTAACCTGAGATCCTTTGGTAAAAACTTGGATGGGAAAAAAAATGACAACCTTGTTTTCATTAAACTTTTTAAGTAAAATTTAACTTTCTTTCAATTATAAATACAAACAACCAAGCACAGTAGTAAAAGCAGTACTATAACTCTGTCACCTTTAATCACATATTTTTATATCCTGTTGTAACTGTTATAGATACCTGAAAATATTATTTATGTTGACCACCATTTCACAATCATAGTAGTAATCTGACCTGCTATTTTGTTTGTGATTATACTTCCCTGTCTATAGACACTTCTGTGACATAGCTGGCCTACTCCTGGGCAACTCTGACCCTAGTAGATAGTCAGATGCCAAAGAGTCAGGTCATGAGTTATCACACTAGTAACCTAAACATCTATGTTGCTTTTCGGTATTCCTTATCCACACCTCTTTGATGATCACTATGTATCAAAAAAATCACCCAAAGTCTAGTATTCTTATTCAAACCTTCACATATATGCCTTTTATAATTTTTAATCTGTCTACATTTTAAGTGCAATTTCTCATTCTGTAGTGAGTTAATAACCACAAATTTTAATACTCTTAAAACTGTATTTCAATATAATTGGTGTTCTTTGTAATCCTAGTTGTATAATTATGCACTTCAAAATCATATCCTGAGAATAACATGCAGCCTAGGAAGTCCATGGTACTGGGGAAATTTCTAATCTCTACTTATAACATTTATAGACTCTTTTTATAAATTCTGACACTAGTGTATAAAGTATTATTACAAGAGACACAAAGTGTAAGTTTCTTTCTTATAGATATTTTTCTACAGAGCACTTAACCTGGAACCCCACGCACATTAAAAAAAATGGTTAGTATTACAGGACCAAGTTTTAGTTATTAATGTTATCAACTAGCTGTTTCAATGACAGCAGCTCCCTTTTCTTATACATGTGCATATGCATACAAAAACGCCTCCAAATAAGACTTTGTCATAAGGGTTCTAAGGTTAAGAATAATTTTAAAATCAATGATGCATAAGAACATCCATAAATTACATAATGTAAGACTAAATTGTGTAATGTGAGACTATTAAAAGTGAGAAAAATATTAATAAGAACTAACATTTACTGTATAGAACTATGTTCCTAGTACTATGCCACATGTACAATTTCCCTCCCTTTTTTTCTCTCATTTAGCACTCAAAATTAAATAAATTAAACTTAATTTATTGGTTAGCTAACACGCCAAATTATATTTTCATCCTGAAAAGCATTAAAATATAACCAGTACTTACTTCTGAATCTTCAGATAGGCCATTGCTCGGTTAGCAGGAAGAAGGGCATTAGCACCATCTGCTGCTATTCCTCGAGTATAGCATTCGATTGCTCTTTCGTACTTCCCCTCTTTGAAAAATCCATTCCCCTACGATTTTGGACAGAAGTATACAGAAGAATCAAAAAATATGCAAGAAAAAATAATTGAATTCAAATTTTAAGAAACATTCTAAGGATATCCATCAATATTATGTCAGTAATTAAAGTATATTTTAATTGTTAAAAGCCTAGTTCATGGGCTAGGGTTGTGGCTCAGCTAGAGCTCTTGCCTAGCATATGCAAGGCGCTGGATTCAATCCTCAGCACCACATAAAAAATAAGTAAATAAAATAAAAGTATTAAAAAAAAAAATCTAGTTCATGCCGGGCACAGTGGCGCAGGACTGTAATCCCAACGGCTCAGGAGGCTGAGACAGGAGAAATGCAAATTCAAACCAGCCTCAGCAAAAGCGAGGCGCTAAGCAATTCAGTGAGATCCTGTCTCTAAATAAAATTATACAAAACAGGGCTGGAAATGTGACTCAGTGGTCAAGTGCCTCTGAGTTCAATCCTCTGAGTTCAATCCCCCCCCCCAAAAAAATATATATACATATATATAAAATTCATGAGACTTGTTTTAGACTCTAATTAGTATAGGTTTTCTTTTGCACATTAAGCAAAACCTTTTAATGTACTTCAACACCTTTTGTTTAAAACTTCAGCTATTGTTTCAATTGAAATTCTGAAACTTCAACTATACATCCCAATGTTCTTGGTACTAATGACTGAACCTCATTTAAAAGCAACTCTTTTCTCCTATACATATTTTGCCCACGTGGGCAAAATAACCCAAACCAGGATAATTCAAATACAATTAACAATTTAAGAATGAGGCTATTACAAAGAAAACTGCCATGCAGTTCCTAGCATAAAACCCCCAGCAGAGAAAGGTGATCCCAGAAAGTCCCTGGGCAGCTACAGTCCTGTGCAATGCACAAGGACAAACGTTCATGGGCAGCACTCCTCCAGGCACACAGGGTAAAGTTGGGTCACATCCTTTCTGGCCTCTCTGAATCTCAAGGGGATTGCAGAGGATGGGCAGTAATCCTGACTAATGATCATAGCATGAGCAAGTTCACAGTCACCTTTCTTCCCAAAGCCCCAGCATCTCCTTACAGGCGCTTAGCTTCTAGTGAGCAAACTATTGAGCTGGGCAAGGTATGCCATTTCACTCCCCCACTCCACAGGCCAGTCTGGAATTCCCATGCCTACTGCACAGTGACCTTTGTGTCCTTTTCCTCGTTGCCTACTATCAGCTCAATGTGTAAGCTAAAATTATCAAACTTCAACAGCGAACTATAAACTCCCTACAGCAGCCAGGCCCTAGGCCACGGGCAGCAGATGCAGTACAGACCTAAAGCTCTGAAGCCTCATAGCCCTGCCACTGAAAACCAGTAGAGCTTATTTTTTTTAATGGTGTTACTCTCTTTTCAGAAAAAGGAGGGGAAAAATGTATCTACTATATTACTTTACAGCATTCACCATTATTCTAATTAAATATTATACAAAATGTAAATGTAAAAACACATTTTAATAAAGGCCCAAATGTTATACTGTCTTCGATATATCAGAAACTATGTGAAAGAATTTCATCCTCAATTTCTGTGAAAGAACACTTTACCAGAATTGCACAGACCATTCTCCAGTAACATTAATATGCCTAAATATAAATTAAACCTCATTGCAATGTAACATTTATTTATAATCATTCAAATATCATCATCAATCATTCCATAAATACTTATTAGGAATCCTCTGTGGGCCTATGAAAAGCTATAAAGGCATTAAATTAAATCTCCTCAACTCACGATTTGTATAGGAATTTTACTATGAAGTGGCCCTATGTAAATTAATAAGTTCATTACAAGAATGAGCTGAATTTATTTCTGTTACATTTATAACTACCTATATGTAAATCTATGTTAAAATCCTTATAAGTAGTTTGCTCCCTAAACTTAAATGTTTCTATAGTTATTTTAAAATTTACATATTGTCATCAATTACTCAAATTATGAATTAGTAGGCTCCAGAGGTTTTAGTATATTTAATTTCCAGTTCCTACTCAAGAAGAATTCTAATATAACATTAAAGAAAACAGAAACTCAACTGACACACACAAAATATAAGAGTAGCCAGGCATAATGGCGCACATGCGTAATCCCAGGGGCTCAGAAGCCTGAGGTAGGAAGATCACTAGTTCACAGCCAGCCTCAGCAAAAGCAAGGTGCTAAGCAACTCAGTGAGACCCTCTAAATAAAATACAAAATAGTGCTAAGGATGTGATTCTCAGTGGTTAGTGCCCCTGAGATCAATCCCTAGTACCCACCCCAAATACACACACAAAAAATGTTAAGAGGGGCTGGAGATGTGGCTCAAGCAGTAGCGCGCTCGCCTGGCATGCGTGCGGCCCCGGGTTCGATCCTCAGCACCACATACAAATAAAGGTGTCCGCCGAATACTAAAAAAAATAAATATTAAAAAAAATTCTCTCTCTCTCTAAAAAAAAAAAAATGTTAAGAGTAAACACTCAGCAAAACATTCTTTTTGTGTTGGAACCCCTTTGAATTACCAGATCTTTTTCTGTAATGGCCTGCTGCTTATTTTTCTGTTCTTCAATATGTTTTTTTTCTCCATCAGTTGACTCAGTCACTATAGCAGCTTCCTCTGGATATGAGTTTTCTTTGAATGTTAAAGCCTAGAAGACACAGCAGTCAGCTGAAGTAAAACAAATAATACAAAAAGCATACGTACTTGGTTTTAAAATGTAAATTATTCATATACATTAGAATTGCTATTATATTCAAATAATTGACAAAATATTTTCTACTCAAATTCTCTTTCTACTAATTAAAAAAGGAAAAGTATATATATATATATATATATATATATATATATATATATATATATATATATATACACACACACACACACATACATATATACACATACATACACACACTCATGTATAATGCTTCTTATTCCCAATTAAAATATATAGTGTCCACTAAAGATAGTTGTTCAACTATTTATTCAACAAACATTTTCTGAATTTCTAAACTGGTCAAGCACTATTGTAGGAGTCGTTTTCAAACACAAAGCAGTCAAGTAAGACCACATCAGCTGGGTACAATGGCATGACTGTAATTTCAGTTACTCAGGACACTGAGGCAGAAGCATCACAAGTTTGAGGTCACCCTGGACAACTTACTGAAACCCTGGTACTAATAAAGCAGGGAGGCAGACATAGCTCAATGGTATAATGCTTGCCCAGACTGAACCAGGCCATGGATTCAAACCCTAGTACTTGGGGGGATGGGGAGAATCCACCAAATTTTTCAAATTTAATATTCAATTATTACTTGACCTAAGACAATATACACAATAACACAGTTCACAATTATAATGAAGTTGACATATTTACCAGTAGATTTTATTTGTGATAAGTAATGGTAGTATTTAAAAGCAGATTTTCCCCAATCATTATCACTTTTTTCTCAATGTTTCAAAGATGGCAAAAACAACTGTAAGGTTGATTCAAAGGCAAACTGAAAGGAATTTGCAAATGCTCAATACTATAAAACATCAGTTGAATAATATTACAATTACTAATGTTACACTTAATAAACTATTTCCTGTTAAAAATTAGTATTATTTTTGCTAAGATACAAATTATAAAGCTGAAGTAACTTAAAATCAAAGAAATATGCAAAAGTTTAGCACAGAAATCAGAGGACACACCAAAAACAAAACAATTAGATTAAAAAATAATCCTGCCTTTTGGAAAAAAGTAAAGCAGCAGTAGTTCTAAAGACCTCAGCCAGCTTTTAAAAGTGATGATCAAATATGGATCTTGAAATACCATTACACTACCTCTAACTTGCAAATACATTTGGTAAAATTCTATTAGTACAAAAAAAGAAGTTAATAGTAAAAAAATCTCTGCAAAAAACTTTAATTTCATCAAATAAAGGTTATATATAATGCACTTAAATAGCTGTGATTTACCTGATTAATTTTCCTGAGTTCATTCATTGCTTCAAAGTTATTTGGCTCCAATTCTAATACTTTTTCATAATCTTAAGAGAAAGTAAAAGAATTTTTTTAAAAAACTATATAATAATTATTTGTTGCCATGTAACACATAACTACCCTACAGCAAAATGAAAGCAGAACTAAGAAATATTAACATTAGGGCTGGGGATGTGGCTCAAGTGGTAGCGTGCTCGCCTGGCATGCGTGCGGCCTGGGTTCGATCCTCAGCACCACATACAAACAAAGATGTCATGTCTGCCGATAACTAAAAAATAAATGTTAAAATTTTAAAAAAAAAAAAAAAAAAGAAAAAAAAAGAAATATTAACATTAAGCTACTGGACTTTCTTCATTATTCCCTAGAATAGAAATTCTAATAGAACAAATCATCTTCCACCAGCTCCAAGAATATTTGCCATTATAAGATGTACATCATTAAACCAAGAAGCAACAAAATCTATTAGATATCATCTTTATTCAGACTTTGTTATTTATATTATGCAAATCTATTTTTATGGACTAACAGAAGACTTAGGATTTACAAATAAACTAAAACATGTTAAGAGCCTTATATGCAATATCTCTTGCCTCACAACAACCAACAATCATCTATTTCCAGTAAGGAACTGAAAATCACAGAAGATACTGGTCATATATGGTGTGACAGTACATGGTAGAATGAGAATTTGAACCAAAGTCTGACTGATGGCAAATAATGTTCTCTTTCCCAAAACAAGACACCTTTTAAATTACAAAAAGGGCTTTGTTCAAATATTTTATGGAAAGCTCTCTGGATAATTAACTATAATTATTTAGCATTCTTTATTTAAGAGTTTTTAGATAATGACAACCTGAAAAATAATACCTTTTTTAGCATCCTCTAATTTTTGCAGAGCAAATCGAGCAGCACCTCGTCTAGCATAAGCCTTAGTATAACTTCTACTTAAGGCAATTGCTAAATTACAATCAGACTCAGCAACAGCAAATCTGCAATTTAAAAAATTAAAATAAGTGAAGTTAATAAAAATCACTCATTAAACCAACACTTTCAAAGCCTGTGTTTGAAATCCCTAAAAAGGGTTTTCTTCACAATTAAACTCACATTTCCTGCCTCCTTTTACTTAATTAAGACTACTTAAAAGCAGTAATTCTCTTTCCCTCCCTGACACAGAGTACTGGATGTTGAACCACTGACTTACATTACTAGTCCTTTTTTCTTTTTTGTGGAGAGCATTTGAGGATTGAACCAAGGGCAACATACTATTGAGCGACACCAGTCCTTTTCTTTTCTTTTTTAAAGACATGTCTCACTAAATTACCAAGGCTGGCCTTAAACTTACAATCCTCTTACTTCAGCCTCCCCAGAAGCTAGGATTATAGATACACACCACTTCACCTGGCAAGAGCAATAATTCTTAATGGTAAAACTTTAGTACCATACTCTTTTACGCAAGAAAACAAGAAGGTTCAATATTACCCCCTCTTCCCCCAGTCTTTTTTTTTTTTTTTTTTTTTTTAATTTTTTATTGTTGGCTGTTCAAAACATTACACTGGACATCCTCAATGAAATTCCACAAGAAAAAAATACAAGGTAAGAAAACTGGGAAAGAGGGCTAGGATTGTGGCTTAGTAGTAGAGTGCTTGCCTAGCATGTGTAAGGCACTGGGTTCAATCCTCAGCACCACATAAAAATAAATAAATAAAATAAAGGTATTGTGTCCATCTATAACTGAAAAATAAAAAAGAGAAAACTGGGAAGAAGGGGGGAAAAACTGACAGTATTCTCAGATGAGATGATTGACCACACAGAAAACTCAAAACAATCTAGAGACATTGCTAAAAATAATTTACCAAGGTGGCTGCTTAATTATAGCCCACCACCACTACCGACAACAATGAAACAACTAGCAAAGACATACAAGACAGAAATGAAAATTTTAAGGTCATCTTCAAAGACATTAAAGAAGACTTAAGGCCAGAGACGTAAACTCAGTAGCAGAGCACTTGCCTGCCTATTATGCACCAGGCTCTGGGTTCAATGTGTGAAAAAACAGGAAGTCCAGTGGTCCATTATCATAATTAAGAATTTAGCCTTAATTTGATCCAGTTGTAGCCATTTTTCTTATAACCTGACCATTTGCCCACTCCAATTTTAAAATTCGCTAATCGCATAGATTGTACCCCAAGCTCCTTCAATCAAGGCGTTAAGGATAAAAGCAAGCAGACAGCCCACCCAGACATGCTTGTTGGCCATGTTCCAACAGCAAGCCTTTCTGGCGAGAGTAAATGCTTGTCCACCCACTTTTGAGCACGTGTTTGCAAGCACTAAAAAAAAAAAAAAAAAAAAAAAAAGCACAATTCTAATCAAAATCCCAATAGGATGTTTCAAAGAATTTGAGGCAGTGATTCTAAAATTTAAACCACTGAGCAAGTCCAGGAATACCTAGGACATTGCTGAAGAATAAGGAAGGAGAATATAGCCTACATCAAACATCAAGACTTATAACAGTATAATAATCAAAGGTACTATGGAATGGATACAGAAACAGGAAACAGACCAATGTAAAGAATAGAGATGAGCCAGGTGACAGTAGCACACGCCTGTAATCCCACTGATTTGGGAGGCTGAAGCAGAAGGATCACAAGTTCAAAGATGGCTTCTGCAACTTAGCGATACCCTGTCTCAAAATCAAAAAAAAATATAAGGGGGATGTAGCTCAGTGGTTAAGCACCCCGGGTTCAATCCCCAATGCCAGGGGTAAGAAAAAAGAATGTCTTTCTTCATGGTATTTGTCTTTTAAAAAATTCTTGTGACAGGCCAGTATCCTGCATAAGACAATAACACATTTTATGTTCCTCCACATTAAATATGTCCTTAAAGAATATGATTTAAAGACAGATAAATGTTGGAACATGTTTTAAGTTTATCATAATAAAAGTTCTCTGGGTTAAATATAGATAAGTAGTTTTTCAAATAGAGGGAAATTAATTATCAAACATTGTCACCCAATCAATTTTTTTTTCTTTTATGAATTAGGTAAAGAACATGATTACTCAACTTTTAGAGAACCACCTTAGTAAAGTTAGCAATAGAAGCATGTTTAGAGCACCCAGATATTTACAATGGTATAAAGTCAGTAAAAGAGAGTAAAAACATAAGAGTTCACAGTAGAAAAGAAACATAACACATGTTCAATCTGTCCTATACAATTTACTGTGAAAGACTTTTTTTAAAAAAATCAGTCTCCACATACACATAAGCCATTCACACACTTTATGGAAAGTCCTTACTTTTTCAATCTGAAGTATGCTGATGCTCTATTTGTTGGCAACACAGGATTATATGGATCAGCATCCATGCCTTTTGTGTAGCATTCAATTGCTTCATCATATTTCCCTTGTTTGAAGTATTTATTGCCCTAAAAGAAAAAATTAAGCAAAATGTTCTTTGTATGAGTGCATTCACTATATAGTCATTGTATGGCAACCCAAGCGCCTTGGCAGAAAAACAAATGAAATACCTAGTATACTTTTACTGACAGTATCGATCCAAAGAAACTAACCAAAGAAAGACATCAGAATTTAATCTGAAAAGAATTCCACCACTTTGAAAAGCAAAATTACCAGTTTTACAGAAATTAGGCATCTCTCAGAGGGATTTTGACACTGCAAAAATTAAACAAAGATGGCTGTGAAATGGAGGAGTAATATAATATTTATGCTGAGAATCACACACTGACTTCAAGTTATTTCTGCCTACTACTATGAACCATGTTACAACTTCAGATATGATCCAAGCACTTTCTATACAATTCATTTATTGCTTACAACAATCCATTGAAGTTTAATTAAAATGTTAATCTCACTGTACAGTTGAGAAAACTGAGGTAGAAGCAGTTCAAAGAGCTTGTCATAGATCTAACCAAATAATTAATCTGGATCTAGGGTATGTACTCCTAACTATTATGCACATTGCCTCCCAACAGGGATCTAGCCAATAACAATTTGAAGTTAGAACAAAATCCCTTAGCATGTCGAAGAAGTTTTAGAATTCACATGATTTTCTACTTAACTTGCTTAACTGAAGGAACCTATAGCTAAAACATACCTTTTCTTTTAGAGCAAGAGCCTTTTGTGCATCTACATGAATCCCATCCTCTTCTGACTCTGATTCTTGAGACACAGAATCATGGGTAGTATCTTCTTTATCAAGCTCTTCAAGGATACTGTCCTTAAATTGTAAGAAGGAGAAAAGTGCTCATAACTCCACATCCACTAGGGGAAATAAATTATCCTTAACAGAATTTAACTTATTACAATATAAAGACCTAATAGGCCTCTAAAAGCAGCAATTTGAATAACCTCTCATGTCACATTATACCCAGAGAAAAAGGTGCCCAGGTTTAGAAAATAAAGATCCAAAAAGAATCTTTTAATTCATAAAGCTAAGTCAACAGAATCTACAAATTATCCCTAAGTCACAGTGAGATATTATCACTTAACATAAGAGAAGTCTCAAGTACCTCTAAACTAATGTACATAACACCCAATAGCAGAGAGAAAGAGTTAAAAAAAATTCTTATTTTACAACAACAAAAACCACTTTTAGAGCACAATTAACTCCTGACCCTCATAACAACCTGAGGTAAATTCAATTAGTCATGTTTTTCATTTGAGGGAATAAAACACAAGTTACTCAAAGTCATTCAGCTAATAAATGACTTGAGTAGAGATTTGAATTCAGGCTGCCTGCCTCCTCCAGATCTCACTCCCTATGTTACACAGTTTACCTATGTATTCCAAATATAGTTAACTCTACCAAAGCAAGTATAATTATACACTCTTTTTTATGGTAATAAATAACTTCAAAGACTCCCCTAGGATTTTTCAAAATCACATTTTTATCATTTATGCTAAAAGAATAATTCTACTAAAATATTTTTAAATAATTTTACTTCTATTAGACATATCATAAATGTACATATTTATGAGGTACAGTGTAATATTTCAATACAAGTATGTGTAATGACCCAATTGGACTACGTAGCATAATACTCCAAACAATAGTAGATATCTTAAATCAATAAGCATTAAAGTTCATTTAAGCAAACTTGTTAACCATTATATAAACAAAATCATGTTTGCATCTAACACACATATTATTTAATTATATATGTAAAAAAATACATTGTCAATAAATTGAAAAGCAAAATCAATGCTTGGTTTCACTGAAAGAACATTAAAACAGATTAAAATTCAGCTGTGTTTTAGCATGAAGATTCTAGAAATAACATCAGCCTACTGACACTGTAGCCAAGATTACCCAACCCCCTGCAATGATGACATGTAGAAAACAAAATTGCAGCAGGACACTAAAGCAGCATCTCAGATACAAACTAGAAGAGAAGGGTAATCACCTAAATATTGTATAGATTCACTAAAATGACACTGCAAACAATGCAGTACAATCACAATGGCATTGTCCACACACAGCAAAAGCTTATTCAAAACGTTAAATAAGTAAATGACTGTGGAACGCATCTCTGTAAGAAATCTTTTGAGATGCCTTTCAAGAAAGAGCATTATATGAAGACATTGACTTATGAAAAGGAACCAGCTGTATAATAGAGGGCAAAGTGACACAGACTATATGTCACTCAGATGAGAAAAAATCATATGTTTAGAAAATGTTGTTCCCAACAGTAATAAATACAAGATCCAAAATTGTATTTCTCTTTTATTTGGACAATACTGAAACAGATGGCAAAGTAGTTAATTAAGAGTAATTAACATATTTATGGGTCAATGAGTCTTGATTTCATTAACAAAAATACAACACAACTAATTTGGAAAACAGTTCAGCAAAATCTTCTAAAGTTAAATAAATGTATAAACTATGAATGAGCAAATCCCCTCTTGGTGCTTATCTCCATAAAATGAACTGTACTAGAATGCTCATAGTTTATTAATATAAAATGGCTCCAAACTGGAAACCCAAATGTGTCAACAGCATGGACAAACAGTAAAATATCCACAAAACAGAATTCAGATCAACAACGTAAAAGAATAAAAAACTACTACTCATAATATGGATCAATATCAGAAAATGCAAAAGCAGCCAAACACACGAGTGCATATTGTATACTATATTTATATCAATTCCAAAACTGGCAAAACTAACCTACAATATGAGAATGTATCTGAAGAGTGGCTGCTTTTGAGAGGTTATCAACTGACAAGGTGGCTTCTGGGATGCTAGAAATATTTCTCTCTCTCTCTCTCTGATTCACATGTGTATGCAGAAGTAAAAATTCAGGAGGCTAGCTGGGCACAGTGGCACAGGCCTATAATCCCAGCAGCTCTATAATCCCAGTTGCTGAGGCTGCTGCTGAGCCAGCCCTAAGCAACTCAGCAAGACCCTGTCTCTAAATAAAATATTAAAAAGGGCAAATGTGAATCAGTGGTTAAGTGTCCCTGGGTTCAATCTCCAGTACCAAAAAATTTTAAAAATTCAGGAGGCTATATATATCGATTTAAGGAATTCATGTATATTATACTTCAGTAAAAAAGTTAAACCAGAAAGTACAGAAAAAATAATAAGCATAAGAATAAAAACTGTCATTGTCTCTGGGGGTATGGTAAAAAAAGAAAATGGGATAGGGAAGGAGCACATTTATAGCTTCAACAGTACTGGGGAAATTATCTTTTAGATGATGAGCTCATATTTCTTTTTATGCTTCAGAACATGAAATAATAATCAAGTATCACATAATAAACACCAAAAAGGAATGTATCTTTGGTTACACACACTTCCCTTCCACACACGCCTCCAACCAAATCAACCCTTAAAGTGAGTAAGAGTCCAGAATAAGGTGGACCAACCAATAGTTTTCCTTTCACAGACTGACATGACTGTGGCTACTTGGAGCTCTGAGCAGAAGGTTCTTAGGTAGAGTACACACTTGTAATAATTCTCAACTACACTGTGTGTTATGTGTTGGAGATGGGAGGCACATATAACCCACTTAGGATTAGAAGGGTGAAATATACCTTTTTGGGATTAGATTTTATTGTCACACAACCTCAGCTCTAAATCTAGACACAAAGGCATCTCTCAGCAGTGTTCTACAGGTCCTTCAGTATATTAAAAAAAAGTACTGCCAGAGTCATTCTTTTCTGGAAGTATCACTAGCTTAGAATCCTGGCTGTTCAGAAGTTAGAGATGGCAGGAAGAATGGGTAGCTGGTCTAACTATAAAGAAGTAAGCATAAGGAGATCTTTGTGGTGGTATTTCTGTACCTTAGTTGCAATGGAGGCCACCTAGATCTAAACACAATAAAATGTCACAGAACTATTTACACATTATACCAACATTGATTTCCTGGTTTTGATTCTATACTTATATATAGTTAATAAAATGTAAATAGTGAAAAAAACTGAGTGAAGAATACAGTGGGCCTCTACATGCTTTTTTTTTTTTTTTTCTTAAAGAGAGAGAGAATTTTTTAATATTTATTTTTAGTTTTCGGTGGACACACATCTTTATTTTATTTTTATGTGGTGCTGAGGATCGAACCCAGCGCCTCGCACATGCCAGGTGAGTGCACTACCGCCTGAGCTACATCCCCAGCCCAACATGCTATTTTTGCAAAAAGATAAAACATAAAAAAAGAAAAGAATCCTGGCTGTTTTAGTCACCATTCACTAAAGGAGGATTAGAAAAGAAAAATTAATCTACATAACTAAAAAGACTTGTAATTAAATTTTAATTCCCACATAAAAGAATCTATAATAGAAGACACAAGCCACAAGGACTCTATTTTTTTTTCATTTAATCTGTAACTGTTAGCTAACTCCAACAAGATTTTATTCAAATATATCAAGAAGCACATGACTAAATTAACTTACCACATCAAGTTTTGCCCATGCCTCATAATCATAAGATTTTATCCTATTTTTTGTGTTTTCCTCCTTGGTTTTTTTAGAAGACTCTTTAACTTTGCCTTTCTTCTTTTTCCTAAAATTCCCATTTCGAATAGGAGGTAAATTCTAGGGAGAAAAATAAGTTTTAAACTCAACTAGCAATATATAAAATTCTCATTAAATGATATTTTCATGTAAGAAGTAATTTTTCTATTTAATTTCAAGTGCTTCAATATACCAATTTACCATCTTTACTTATAATGATAATTATGCTTAAAAAGTTTAATTCATCCTATGATGAATGTTGAACATTGTTCAGTTACAAGTAAAGTATTATTACCTGAATATCCTAATTATACCTTAATTTATAATCCTAGATTCAGACTTCAAAAACTATCTGATCTCCAGACTTAGGACATTAAATGAGCAGTCATTCAAAGGCAAACTGAAGTCTTTCCACCTCATTATATGCAATATAAAAAAAACCTAATATATTTAAATACGTTGTCTTAATAAAATACTTGGGAATCAACCTAACAAAAGAGGTGAAAAATTTATACAATGAAAACTACAGAACCCTAAAGAGAGAGATAGAAGATCTTAGAAGATGGAAAAATGTACCCTGTACATGGATAGGCAGAACCAACATCATCAAAATGGCGATATTACCCAAAGTTCTCTACAGGTTCAACGCAATGCCAATCAAAATCCCAACGGCATTTCTGGTAGAAATAGATAAAGCTATCATGAAATTCATATGGAAAAACAAAAGACCCAGAATAGCAAAAGCAATTCTAAGCAGGAAGTGTGAATCGGGAGGTATAGCGATACCAGATTTCAAACTGTACTACAGAGCAATAGTAACAAAAACAGCATGGTACTGGTACCAAAACAGGCAGGTGGACCAATGGTACAGAATAGAGGACACAGAGACCAATCCACAAAATTACAACTTTCTTATATTTGATAAAGGCGCTAAAAGCATGCAATGGAGAAAGGATAGCATCTTCAACAAATGGTGCTGGGAAAACTGGAAATCCATATACAACAAAATGAAGCTGAACCCCTTTCTCTCGCCATGCACAAAAGTTAATTCAAAATGGATCAAGGAGCTAGATATCAAATCAGAGACTCTGCACCTGATAGAAGAAAAAGTTGGCTCCGATCTACACATTGTGGGGTCGGGCTCCAAATTCCTTAATAGGACGCCCATAGCACAAAAGTTAATAACTAGAATCAACAAATGGGACTTACTCAAACTAAAAAGTTTTTTCTCAGCAAGAGAAACAATAAGAGAGGTAAATAGGGAACCTACATCCTGGGAACAAATCTTTACTCCTCACACTTCAGATAGAGCCCTAATATCCAGAATATACAAAGAACTCAAAAAATTAAACAACAAGATAACAAACAACCCTATCAACAAATGGGCCAAGGACCTGAACAGACACTTCTCAGAGGAGGACATACAATCTATCAATAAGTACATGAAAAAATGCTCACCATCTCTAGCAGTCAGAGAAATGCAAATCAAAACCACCCTAAGATACCATCTCACTCCAGTAAGATTGGCAGCCATTATGAAGTCAAGCAACAATAAGTGCTGGCGAGGATGTGGGGAAAAGGGTACACTTGTACATTGCTGGTGGAACTGCAAACTGGTGCGGCCAATATGGAAAGCAGTATGGAGATTCCTAGGAAAGCTGGGAATGGAACCACCATTTGACCCAGCTATCGCCCTTCTCGGTCTATTCCCTGAGGACCTTAAAAGAGCATACTATAGGGATACTGCCACATCAATGATCATGGCAGCACAATTCACAATAGCTAGACTTTGGAATCAACCCAGATGCCCTTCAATAGAGGAATGGATTAAAAAACTGTGGCATTTATACACAATGGAGTATTACGCAGCACTAAAAAATGACAAAATCATGGATTTTGCAGGGAAATGGATGGCATTAGAGCAGATTATGCTAAGTGAAGCTAGCCAATCCTTAAAAAACAAATGCCAAATGTCTTCTTTGATATAAAGAGAGCAACTAAGATCAGAACAGGGAAGAAGAGCATGAGGAAAAGATTAACATTAAACAGAGACGAGTGGGGGGAGAGAAAGGGAGAGAGAAGGGAAACTATGGAAATGGAAGGAGACCCTCATTGTTACACAAAATTACATATAAGAGTTTGTGAGGGGAAAGGGGGAAAAAAAAACAAGGGAGAGAATTAAACAACAGCAGATGGGGTAGAGAGGGAAGATGAGAGGGAAGGGGAGGGGGGATAGTAGGGGATAGGAAAGGTAGCAGAATACAACAGTCATTAATATGGTATTATGTAAAAATGTGGATGTGTAACCGATGTGATTCTGCAACTTGTATTTGGGGTAAAAAATGGGAGTCATAACCCATTTGAATCAAATGTATGGAAGATGATATGTCATGAGCTTTGTAATGTTTTGAACAACCAATTAAAAAAAATAATAATAATAAAAAAAAAAAAAAAAAGAAATGCGAAAAAAAAAAGAATTAACTATCTAGGTAATATCTTCATTTTTATGCCAATAATGTATACTAATATGTCATTAAATATGTAACCTATATGTCATTTTCATATGTGTACACACCTATCCCTACATATTTTATGATGCTATTTCTTTAAGTATTATCACATGGTCATCCTTTCAGTCACTATTCACTAAGATTTAAAATATAACAGTAATACAAATTACAAATACTTTTTAAAAAACACAGAATTTCTAAAAGAAAATGTTGATAATGAAGCAAATCACTTCAATTTCAGTATTTTCACAAAACATTTTAAAAAGCCATGCTTTATTTGAGAAATAAAGTTTTAGTAGATACCAAATTAGGAATTCTTACTTTACCTCTTCAAGAATACCACTCTGTCTTCTTAGTTCCATATCCTTTTGTTTAATGTCTTTTTCCCAGTTTTCTAAATCCCTCATAAAGTCTTGTAATTCTTCTGCATTTTGTTTCACTTGCAGTTGTAATTCAATTGCTTTACTGGAAGTCATTATGGCCTGTAGAGCTTTGAACAACCAACTTCTGAGAAGAATTAAATAATACATTATGACAGTTGCACCTCAACTTACAATAGGGTTACATCCCCACACCCATCATGAATTGAAAATACTGTTAAATCAAATGTACTTCACCCTCTAAATTCCAAATTTTCAATTTTGCAAATATTTCTATGAAACTGACACAAGTATATTAAAATAAGTTGGAAATCATAATCAGAAGAGCTTAGATGTCCTTTGTATGTTTTTATGTATATTTTTTCAAACTCTAATCATTCCCCTATTTTCTCTGAAAACAGAACTCTGAAAAACTAGAATTTCACAAAAATTGTTGCTCAATTTAAGTTTTTTTTTTAATAGTTATTCCACATCTGCAATGGTGGAACTTCATAGGTTAATAAACCTAACCTACTAAAGTAGCTTAGCAACATAGTACATTAATAAGTATCAATTCTTTAACCTCCTGGTGATTGTTTACTCTCCTGGTTGTTCACTGATCTGATACCATGGCTGAGTGGGAGTTACAGCTCACTGTCACCACCCAGTATCACCATATTGTACCACATATGCCACACCATTTAAAAAAAAAAAAAATTCAAACTATGCATATTCCTTCATCTACATTATAAAGTTGAGAAATCCTAAGTCAAACCATCATAAGTTGGGGACTCTATTTCGTTTATTCTTCTAAAACCTGACTAGTTCATGATTGTCCACTATTTCATAATGACCAACATACTTGGACAGAAAACAGTCTAAAGAGATGTTGAATAAAGTATCAGTATAACATTTTTAAATAATGTATCAACTGTTTGATAAATAAACAAGAGAAGTTTGGTCATCCTTAAACAACAATGAAAGGTGATGAGGGTGGGGGGAATCACTGAAATTAGCAAGTAGCCCATGGTAGCATATTGGCTATTGATCGCTAGTTTCTAATTATATCTCAATTATTTCCTTTACACCTTTTTCTTCCAACATTTACTGCACTTCTACTATGTGACAAATCCCACATGGAGATTTAAGGATGTAAAATCAAGCACAAAAAGGTGTCTTGTCTAGTGAAGGGGAAAAAAAAAATCAAAGTACTAAGGAACAAAATACTATGTTAGACAGGGATTCTCAACCATGGGACTACTGACATTTTGGACCAGAAAATTCATTGTCATGAGGGTGCTGTTCATCATAAAAAGGCTGGCAACATCCCTGCCCTCTGGATTGTTTCCAGACACTGCCAAAGGCCCACAGGAGGCAAAAATAACCTCTATGGTGAACCATGTACAGATGTTATGGATGGTTAAAAATCAGATGGTAAGCTGAAGCTGGACACCATGGCACATGCCTGTAATCCCAGCGGTATGGAAGGCTAAGGCAGGATTGCATGTTCAAAGGTAGCCTCAGAAATTCAGTAAGGCCCTAAGCAACAGAGAAAGACACTATCTACATAAAATATGTAAAGAAAAAGGGATGGGGATGTGACACAGTGGTTAAGAACCTCTTGGGTTCAAACCCTAATACCAAAACACACACACACACACAGAGACACACACACACACACACACAGATGGTAGGCTGATAAAGTCAAGACAGGAGTCTTGTCCAGAGGCTTTAAAACTTAATCTGTTTCATAAAGGACCAGTCAAGCAGCTAACAGGGAGGAATAGGATGGCAGAGTAAGGAACTATGAGGGACAACGAAGGTTAAAGAGGTATATATAGAAAAGATCTTGAAATGCCAGGCCATGAGATTTCACCTATATTCTGAAAGCCCCATGAAGGTACTAAGATGGTAAAACAAAAAAGAATTGTTGACTGGTTAGATTGGGAAACTGGGGAGGAAAGAAGATTCAAATGTCCTAGATTTCTGGCTTAGGAGTCATTTTGAGTCAGAAAACACAATTTTTTTAAGTTCTAGATGGACACAATATATTCATTTATTTATTTATATGTGGTACTGAGGATTGAACCCAGTGCCTCACATGTGCGAGATAAGCGCTTTACCACTGAGCTACAGCCTGTGTTAGACCAGGACACAAAGAAAAGACCACCAACTCCAACTAAAATCAAATTAAAGAAAGCTTATAATTTCAACTGGCCGGGCTGCCTCTCCCAAAAACCATGGGAACAGAAGACAGTCCCACAGCTCTCTAGGAGTGCAGCTTTATAGCACAGAAAGTTACACAAAGGGGGGTTTGAGAACTTGCAGATAACAAAATTTTGATAAACATAGCACAAAGGCTTGTTAATATTTTAGCTGGACCTGACATCAGAATTTATGAGGGTCAATAGAGCTTCAAAGAAGGCTGTTATCTGGTCATGGGTGAGTTCAAGGCACAGGTGGGCATTCCAAGCAAGTTTAGAAATCACAATAATTTATAGTAAAGCAGAAATTAGCTTTTCATGCCTTTGTGGTGTGAGATGGCTCCCAATCTTAAGAGGGAATTAGGCTGGGTTTATCATCAGACCAGAAAACACAATTTTTAAAAAAGAAAAGGGATTTCAATATGTCAAGATCATTGTATTGTCTTGAACAACTAATAAAAATAAATTTAAAAAAAAAAGAAAAAGAAAAGGGATTTCAGAGTTGGAGGGCCAATGGACCCCAAGATTATTTCAGTTTGAGATACGCTAATTTTGAGTGCTCAAAGGATATCAGAAGAAAATACACAGTAGATATGAGCCAGGCGAGGTGGCGCACGCCTGTAATCCCAGTGGCGCAGGAAGCTGAGACAGGAGGATCATTAGTGCAAAGCCAGCCTCAGCAACTTAGGCACTAACCTTGTCTCTAAATAAAATACAAAATAGGGCAGGGGGTGTGGCTCAGTGGTTGAGTACTCCTGAGTTCAATCACTGGTATTAGAGAAAGAAAGAAAGAAAGAAAAATCCAGTAGATAGCAATAAAGCACTAGGGATAAATATGGATGTCACCAGCACAAAGGTGAAAACTAGAATTATAGATTTGAACACATTTAGCCACTGTGACAACCAGGAGATTGGGAGGAGACTGTTCCCTAAGGAACAGAGAAAGAGGTGACAACATAGGAAAACCAGGTAGAGCACCTGGAGAGCTGGAAGGAAAATAGTACTGTCACAGAAGACCAAAGAAAATAAGCTCAAGAAAATGGAAGAGATTAGCAGTGCCCAATGTACAAAAGGCATACAGAGAAAAAGAAAGTACATTACAGTTAGTTGTATAAAATTGCTGAGAATTTTAATGGGATTTTTAAAGGGTGGAAATGAGTTAAATAAATGATTACCGGGGATTAGAGTAAATTTGCCTTTAATGAAGAACTGCTCTTAAGTACTATCCGGGCACTGGAAGTACAAGGAACAAGAACACAGAGGAGAGAGGATGAGTGATAGGGAAAGTCTTCCAAAAGGTGAAGGGAGAGTCAAAACTTAACGGGCAGGAGAAGGAACTAAGGTTGGAGAAAGAAAATGGGATTGGAAAGGAATTTTGAACACTTAAAAAAATATTTCACTTTATAGGGAAAGAGGAAGAGTTACAGATTCAGATGGGTCTTCTGACCCTAGCCTCAACAACTAAACTAAGCCTAAACTTTCAAGCAGTGTCCATGTTTGGTTATACAGGTGCACCTCACTCAAAAGCAAACTAGTACAATATTTTGCTGGGGACTCAAAAAATGTCAAGCGCAGCAAGCCCCTGAGATGCTGTAGAGGGGAGGCCTATCTGCCCTTGCTGCTCCCGCAAGCACAACTGCTCATACCGAACCTGAGGCGGAGCTGGGTTCCAGCAGGCAATCAGAAACTTCCAGCGCTCCGGGTATCACTTTCACACCTAGTAACTGGGCGAACCCTGCACACCCTGCCAAAAGAAGTCAGGCCCCTCCGTGGTCTTGTCGGGAGGATGACCCTGACGTTCCGACCCCTGCAAATCTCCCAATGCCGGGGCGGGGCTGGGCAGGACCTGCAGCAAAACGGAACGCCCATCCCGGGTCGCGCGCAAGGAGCCCCTCCCGGGAACGCGCTCCCAGGGACGCCGCTACCCCGGACACCGCCGCGCCGCGCCGCGCTGCCCCTACGCCGCGCGGCGGTCGCCCGCTTCGCCTCGCCCAGACCCACAGCGCGCCCCTCCTCGCGCTAGGAGATTCCAGAGGGTCCCGCAGTGACAGCAGTGTCCGCTCACCTGCCAGGCCGTACTCACCTAACAGCAGCCGCTCAGACGCGCCGCCACTCGCGCCGCCCCGCCTCCCTGGACCTTCCCACAAGGCCCCGCGGGCCCTCGCCCCGCCCCCGGGGCCTGGCCGGAGCGTGCGCAGAAGTCAGGTCAGCGACCTGACGCCCGGGGACTGACAGGTTGGGGATTGATGGCGTGTAAAAGTGAAGTCTGGCCTTTTGCGTCCTTCCAGTGTGACTAAACTAAACACGAGAGAATCTCCAAACTGCAGAGTCATCCTGACCTAATCCGATCCCAAAACAATAAAGCCTTCAACATTTCCTTGGACCTCCCTCAAATGTAGCCCTAGTATTTGCCTTGCTTTTATCCAACGTTATGTCATGACAATCATGAGAAAGTTACTGTCTCTATATCGTGAAAGGACCGACGTAAACTGGTAACCCTAGCAGCATCCTGGGGTTTGCGTTTTCCTCTAAGCTGTGTGTCAGCACCCTCTATGATGTGTGTCAGTATTAAGGTCTGTCTTTATGCTCTGGCTAAGAAGAAATAGGAAGCTTTTAACAGTTTTCGCTTCTGCTTCCTTTGTGAGTAAGCCATTTTTCACTGCCATGCTAACTCTAGAATTGTAAAATAAAACAAAAATAATTTTTGGAAGTCCACACAAACAAGCCAGTCCCGGTGTCTGTGATCCCAGCTACTTGGGAGGCTGAGGCAGGACGATTGCAAATTGGAGACCAGCCTGGGGAAAATTAGTGAAACCCTGCTTCAAAATAGAAAGGGCTGGGGATGAAGCTCAGGTAGAACGCTTGCCTAAGGTATTCCAGACCCTGGATTCAACGCCTACTATGGAGGGAAAGGGCAGGATTAGAAGGCCACAAAAAAGTCACAATCAAACCAAGCTTTCAAATTGAATCAGCTCTCTGATTTCAAACATTATCCCCAAAATTCAGATCAGTGATTCTCAAGCTTTATTAAACATTGTGATCACTTAGGGACCGACAGATGGATGGATGGATGGGTGGATGAATAGATAGACCAACCCACCAACCTATATAGATAGATATCCTCCCTCTCCCTCCCTCCCTCCCCCCCCCTCTCTCTCTCTCTCACACACACACACACACACACCACAACACATTGATGAATTCTATCCCAGAGGTTCTGATTTAATTAGTCTGGAATGTAGCCTCAGCATCACAGATTTTTAAAGCATGCCATATTGCTGTGCCATTTAGGCTAGGAAACATTAACCTAGGACCTGGTCAATAAAAAAACCACCTTAGGGTCCTCCCTCACAAGGTCACCTGTTTCATGTTGTTTAATTGTTGGGTATCTTTGTATTTAAAAGTTTTAGAAGTCAAATCATTAAATGCATTACCAAAATATTTACTAATGGAATGATTTTGTTGTTGTGTTTGGAGATAGATAAGTAATTTTTAACATCATACTGTATTTTAAAACTAGTAATAAGTCAATTTAAAGAAGATATAGATTTATTAATGTTCTTAACAAAGCAATTACCTTCTCTTCATTAATGCTTCGCAAAGTTGATTGAGATGAGAGAAAAGAGGACCAACTACCTGTTTTAGTAAAACTTCATGGGACTCTTAGGTGATGAAACCTCTCTCTTTCTCCTTCTCCCTTTCTTTTCACATACTATTAAAAGGTTGCTTAGTGAATACAGAATCAAAGGGAGAAAAGTTAACTAAATGGTTTTGATGCTTGATAGCTATCATCACCAACTTCTGAGGCTCCCAAAGTGGGGAGGATGTCTATAATGGCAACCTTCTCCCCTGTGAATTCAGACATGGGCCTTCTTCTTTTATTTATTTATTTTTACCAAGAATAAACCCCAGTCCTCTCAAATGAAGTTACTGTTAACAACTGAACAGCCACTTTCAAAGAAACAGTCTCTTTATGAGATTTACATGTTGAAATCAAATTGTCAGTGGAAATAAACATAAATGTTGATTATTGCAACAGTAAAATGCCGCAATTAATGATGGTAAATTAATTTTATGCCAAAAATAATTACTAAACTCTTTCAAATAGTTTACTATGGGAAGGTTCTGATAGTTAATATAAATCTTCAGAAGAGGGTATTAGCTAAGTAACTTTAGGAAGAAAATTTATGCACCTTGACACTTCCTATTACAGAAATAGCATATATCGTTTGGGGGGTTTTTTGTTTTTTGTTTTTGCATATGACAGAAGACCAAAGTAAAGGTGGTTTAAACATAACAGAAGATTATTTCTGTCTTATATAAGACTGAACATAAGCAGTGCAGGACTGGTATGACAATCCAGTGTTAGGCCCAGGCTCCTAATACCTTCCTGCTCTACCATCTTCAATTATGATGCAATATGGCTGCTCAAGCTCCAGCAATCTTATCTGAAATCAAGTGAGCAGGAAAAGGACAAGAACAAGAAAATCGTGTTTCCTGTCCTTTAAGATATGCCTCCTCTTACATGCCATTGACCAGGACTTAGGCACATGGCCCCTCCTGGCTACAAGAGAAGCTGAGTTTTTATTCTTGGAAGTCATGTGCTCTTCTAAAAACTGGGAATTCCATGAATAAGGAAGAAAAGGAAGAGATCAGGTCTTGAGGGGCAACCAGCAGCCTCTGTCACAAGCTTTAAAAGAATAATGAATGAAGCCAGGAATGATGGTTCATGCCTGTAATCCCAGCTACTCGCTAGGCAGGAGGATAGCAAGCTCAAGACAAACTTCAGCAACTTAGTGAGATTCTGTCTCAAAATAAAAATAAAAAGAGCTGGGTATGTAGCTCAGTAGTAGAGTGCCCCTGAGCTCAATACACAGTACCACAAAAAAAAAAGGAATAATGAATGAATGAGTAGATTCTGCTAGAAATCCAGCTCACTACAACATGAGGAAAAGGTTGGATTTTGAAATCCTAATTTGCTACTTAATAAGAAAGTGACTTAATCTGAATCTCAAATGTCTAAGTAAAATTACAATGGTAAAGATAAAAATACCTACCAAATGTACATTAAATTGTATATTAATGGACTATTTAGCACAACTTGGGACATGGTAAGAGATTAACAAATGTTAGTTTCTACCTCTCTGTCTTGCAAAGCTAAGGTCCAGAACCTGGGGTACAGTACTCTCTCCTACATTTTTGTTTCTCTGCCTCCTGTTTATCTATCTGGAAGACCCCTGAAGAGGTCAGTAAGGAGTAACAAGTACTGACATTGGTAGATGAAAATTAAGACTAATCACAGGGAAGAGGAATTGCCTCTCCTAGTAAAAAATGAAATCTATATATAAGTGAGACAAGTAAGAATGATGAGGTGAGTGTGATGGTGTACTGAAGCAGGAGGATCACTTGAGCCCACAAGTTCAAGACCAGCCTAGACAACATAGGGAAACTCAGTCTCAAAAAACAAAACCACAACAACATAAAGAATGATGAAAAGAATAGCCGGCACATTATTTTACATTCCTTACCTTACAACAGTGGTACTATTATCCCAATATTACTGATAAGGATACTGATTGAATAAGAAAGTTACCCATGTAACCAGCAAGTAACTGACTAGATCAGAGGTTGCACCTAGACTATGTACTCCTGACCCCTTGTCCTGTCCACTGGACTGTGAACACCACAGGATAGGATAGAACAAGTTCCTGTTTGATTTGTCTGAGCTCTCAAATTTGTTATAGGTTCCCTTCTTGGCTGGTTTCTTCCTAGAATTGTGTCCTAAATAATCCGACAACAGGTGAGAATTCTTTTTAATATCTCTCAGTTTGGTCAACCTCTGCAGTCACAGAAGCTGCATCCAGGATGTCCTTCTGTTCCCTGTATATGTGATAGAAGGGGCTGGTTACTGGTACTGGAGCCAAGAGTCGCCCACCACTCACCTCCCCGTTGTTTGCTTGTGATGCTCTTTCCATGTTTCACATTGCACCTGGAAGATTTCTCTCCCTCTCTTAGAGGACTTGGTGAGCCTTCAAGCACTTCACCAAGATACCACTTTCCCCTGAAAGGACTTGAAAGGAGGAGTATCATTCCCAGCCCTGCTCCAGGGAAAATGCAGGGAGACCAACAGTCAAGGGATCCATAAACAAAGAAGAGACACGTTTCTGTTTTTTGTTTTTAATAACTTTAATTGGAGACCTGACCTCTCTAAGTCAGGGAGCAGGACTGACTCTGTGGAGCCCCATCTGGCTCCAAGCAGGCCCAGGGGAGAAAAGCACCACTGTGGTGGAGATAGGGAGCAGTCTCCCTGGTCTCCCATCTAGAGTGATTCAAAATATTGCAGCTGGCTAAGCCTTAATAGAGAATAAGTTATAGTTGCCTTTCTTTTTCTGATGCTAAATCTTCCTCCTCTTATGGGAATTCTATTTAAAAAAAAAAAACTATTTGGGATCAAAACATAAGAGTGCAGATGCACTAAACATCTATAATCAGGAAGCTTCTGGAAACAGATACTGAGTTGACCACAAAACACTCAGGCCTGGGGAAGCCACCCTGCCCCAGCCCATTTGCTGTCCCAACCATTACCCAGCTCTGTTCAATGACAGAGTTCTCCCAGACTCTGTTCCAAAAGGATCTTACTGTACAAAAGACTAAAGGCCCACTGGTTAGTTTCTGTGGCCTGACTTCTTTGAAGCCCCTGACACAGAGCCAAATTGCAGTTTGCAGAGCTGTAAACAATAACAGCCATTATAGTAATCTTATATTTCTATTAGCAGTTCTTCCTAAGAACATTTGAAAAGACCTCAGTAAATGTATCATCAGGTTTGTCCTCTCGCCAACCCCCAAAACAGGAAAAGGGGTAGACCTCTTCCCATTATGTTAGAGGGAAGCAGGAGGCACTGTGAGGCCAGAGGACTTGCTCACAGTTCCACCACGCATCAGAGCAAGGAACCATCAAGGCCCTCCACCTCCTCCACCTGGACTTTGTTTCTTAGTCGATATTGTTAAAATACTGGATGACAAATGTTTGACTGCTTCTCTGCATTTTCTAATTTGTTTCTTTCCTCCTGTATAGGCATTTTTGGTTTGGGGGTTCTGTTTCACTGATGTGGGATTTCCTCCGAGCCTCCTCCCTCCCTTTTCCAGTCCAGAGTAGACAGCACCTCAGTCCTGCAAGAGTCCTCCCTGCCCTCATGGCCCTTTCTGGCTCAAAGTTCTGTTCTAATGGGTGGAAGACACCACGTAGGCTGTGGCAATGTACTTCTTGCCATTTCCATAGGTAATCTTGTCCCAGGGATAGGTCTGGATAGCCAAGGGATAACCACCCAGGCTTAACTGGCACCTGTGGGAAAAGATCATGAAATCAGAGGGGCCCACCACTCCACCTTGCCTCTTTCCCCCAGGCTGCAAGGATCCAGCCCCCTCCCCGCTCAAAAAAAAAAGGGTTCTGTCCTTTATGACAGAGCTGCCACAGATTTCTGCTGCCACAGATTTCTGCAGCCACTGAGGCATCTGGACCTTATTTTCTGTCTTCGGAAAGAGGAGCTTTCCTCATCTTTCCCAGAGCAATATTTTAAAACCCCAGATTCTAGAACTGAAGTTCTCAGAATGAATATTTGTTTCATCTTTCAGAAGCATAGAACCCTGCCAGGTGGTGGCGCACACCTATAATTCCAGTGACTCATGAATTTGAGGCAAGAAGATTGCAAGTTGAGGCCAACCTCAGCAACTTACAAGACCTTGTCTCAAAATAAAATGTAAAAAGAGGATGGGGTGGGTGGCTCAGTAGTAGAGCACTCCTTGGTTCAAACCCAGTATTAAAAATAGTAGAACCCAAAGTTTCCAACTGATACAGAACAGGAAGGCCAGTTGTTACCAACTGTTCAGTTTCCCTCAAACAGCCTCAAGAACAAAAATAGAGGCTTACAGTCCCCAAGACAACCTATTTCTAACTTCTGTGAATAGTAAGATCCTGCATAAAATTGCACTTGAGGGGAAAGAAGGGAGATGGGTTCTACAGCTAAGATGAAGTTTGGCAGCCTCCAATCTAATCTAACCACTGCTCGAGGGATAAAATGGAGGCACAGCACAATGATCTGTCCAAGCCCTCTCAGCCCCTGAGTGGCAGACTCCAGATGTCTGTGGCTGGCCCAGTACTTACACTTTGCCTGGCCGGGCAATGAAGCACAAGGAGTAGAGTGCAAACTCAAACTCAGGGCTGCTGCCAATGAAAGCTGAGCCCACTTCCTTATAGTAGCCGTCCCAGTTGAACTGCATCGCTAACACATCAGGGTAGGAATCCCACTGCAAAGAAAAGGGCAGAAAGGGGGGTTTGGTGAAGGCCACAGAGTAGCATTAGAGAGGTGCCAAATGCCAGCAGTTGGTCAGTAGTTGTTGAAGGTCCATGAGGAGCCTTCTTGGGCTGGGTTGTGGCTCAGTGGTAGAGCAACCTTAGCATGAGGAGCCTTCAGGGAGACCGGCTTCCTTAAGTAGAAGTACCTGAGCCCCACTCAGACCCTCTGTGTGGTGTTGACAGTGCCAAGGAGGCCAGAGTCAGCAGCCATAAGACCCAGACCAGAATGCCAGGGATGCAATTGTTCCTTATTGCCCCTATACCTGGAAGAGGATGGTTCATTTCCCCCAAATTATTTGCTGGTACAGGACAGCAAAGGTTTCTTTTTTGTAAATTGTATGTAGTTTAGCTCAGACTATCCAGGTTCAAACTCTCAGCCACATTTGAAAGACATTCGGGCGGGGGTGGGGAGGCGGATAATTGTATGTCATTGGTTCTTCTCCCTCAAAATCCTCCTCTGACCTCAACCTCCCACCCAGATATGGTGTCCTCTGCCCTCTGACCATGCAGTTCTAGAGCCTTCCCTGGAAGGGAATACCATCTCTTGGGTGGCTAAACTTGCTGTCCAGCAAGGGAGGACACCACGTTCACAATCCCCACTGGGCTGCAGATGAGTCAGGGGGAGGAACAAGTCTGACTGTTCCAAACACAAGGATAGAAAGTGTGGCCACCAACAGGGCTTTTCCAGCACAGGTACTCACAGGTCCATCATAGTTATGGCTGTAATAGTCAACCAGGCCCTCCTTCTCCTGCAGATAGAAGCGGATCCAGTTATGGAAGCCAGTGACCTTGCCCTTTTTGATTTCACCTATAAAACAGAGCACAAGGTAAGTGATCTGGGCTTCTGGAACCATCCTGTCCCTCCAGTCCCCTTTCTCTCACCCCACACCAAGGCTGCCTCCTTCTCTGGGATCTGAATGTTCACCAGCTCAGTCCCTTACCTCACTCCCCAGAGTCCCTCACATCCCTGTCCTCTCCTCTCAGTTCAGCCAGAATGATTCTTCCCCCTAGCTGATACTAGAGACCACTCTGGAATATTCTTCTCAGCTCTTTCTCCAGGAGCAAGCCTGGCCTGGTGGGAGCCTTATGGGACAGGGCAGTGGGGAACAGACTGTGAACCTCTCAGGAAGCAGCTGACCAAGCTCTGGAAGCAAAGGACTGCTCAGAGGCTAACTACCTTGCCCCCAAACACTTGTTCATTCAAGATGTAGCCCCTTGAGAGCTCCAGTATCTGGTCTTCTCTCCCTCTTAGGTACTCGAGAGAGACTACCCCTCAAAATGGCTTCTCAGACCCGTCCCTCTTGGCCTGATAGTAGAATGTCCCTCCCTGACAGCCAAGTTGGCTGTCTATTCTTCAGGGTCAGGGCTGCCCTGCTCCTGAGCAAAGTCATTCCTTTTCACCCCTTCCACCCTTCCTTTCTAAGCAGGGTGCCCCACCTGAGAAGACATGTTCAAAGCCACTGGAGTCCGCCTCCTCATTGCCTCTTGAATAGAGCCCAAACCACATATTCTTCAAGTCGTCAACGAATTCTTGTTCAGAGACATAGCGGTCTGCAGAGAGGAACACAGAGGACGTTGGAGAGGGGAAGAGAGGTCGGGTCCTGGGAAACAGAAAAGGGCCACCTGCTTCAGGACATCAAGAGAGACATGGGGGCGCTGGGGTTGTGGCTTGGCAGTAGAGTGCTTGCCTAGCATGTGTGAAGCACTGGGTTCAATCCTCAGCACCACATAAAAATAAATAAAATAAAGGTATTGTGTCCATCTACAACTGAAAATATTAAAAAAAAAAAAAAAAGAGGAGAGACATGGGTTTAATCAATCAACAAATGTGTTCAACTGCCCATTTAGCAATGATCAGCAGGACACCCACTGTGTGCTAGGCCCAGACCTAAAGGCTGAGCATTCAGCAGAGAAAAATAAGGACAGGGTCTCTATCTTAGAGTTTACATTACAGAGAGAGAGACAAATAAACAAACATGGAAACACTAAAGAAATCATGTGATTTCAGACACGAGAGTAGCCTGTGATGACTAGCTAGATGGGGTTGGAGTGTGCTGTTTTGAAGTATCCCCCCCCAAAAAAAAAATATGTTAGGAATACCCACTGTGACATGATTAAGAGGTAGGATCTTAAAATTATGCTCCATTTGTGTACAATGAATCAAAGAGCTTTCTACTGTCACGTAATACTGATTAAAACTAATAAATAATAAAAAAAAGAAGAAGTGGGATCTTTAAGAGGTGATTACGCCAGGAGGGCTCTATCCTCATGAACTGATTAATGTCATTTTCACAGAAAAGGGTTCCTTATCGAAGGGATGGTTTCCTTAAAAAAAAAAAAACAAAAAACAAGTTTGGCCTTCTTTTGCCTTTTTCTCACTCTTTGTCTCTGCCTCTGCCATGGGGTGACGCAGCAAGAAGGCCATCATTAGATACAGTCCTGCGATCTTGGACTTCCCAGCCTCCAGAACCACAAGTCAATAAATTTCTGTTCATTATAAATTACTCAGTCTGTGGTATTCTGTTCTAGCAGCATAAAACATACTAAGACAGAGGACTTCTGAAAAGGAAGACCAGAAAAACCTTTTTGAGAAAGTAGCGCTAATCAAGAGACCTGAAGGATAAGGAGTTCACCACACAAACATCTGGGGAGAAGAATTCTATTAAAAGGGAACTGTAAGTGCCAAGGCTCCAGGTAGAGAGTTTATATTCAAAGAACTGAAAGAAGTTCACTGTGGCTGGAGCAAAGTAAGCAGCAGGAGAGGGGGCCTGAGAGGTAGGCAGGGACCAGATCCTGTAAGCCATGGCAAGAAGGCCAGATCCCAATCAAATAGTAATAGTAACAAAAATATCTTAGATTGATTGAGGACTTTATGTGTGCCCAGCACCATTTTAAAGGGTTCCATATAATAATATTGAATCCTCAAGCCAGGTGCGTTGGTGCGTGCCTGTAATCCCCGTGGCTCAGGTGGCTGAGGCAGGAGGATCATGAGTTCAAAGTCAGCCTCAGCAACTTAGCAAGGCTTTAAGTAACTCAATGAGGCCCTGTCTCTAAATAAAATATTACAAAAGGCTGGGGATGTGGCTCAGTGATTAAGTGCCCCTGGGTTCAATCCCTGGTACCAAATAATTATTATTATTATTCCTCACATTGAATCTTTACATTAGTACTAGCCTCATGTTAGTAAGAAAGGTACTTATTATTTCCAATTTAGAGAGAAGTAAACTGAAGCAGACATAGGTTATGAAACCAAGGCCAGATGGCATAACTCATAAGAGGTAGACACAGCACTCAAACCTACACAGCCTGGCTCCACAGACCTATCTCTTAACAACTCTACAGCTTTGGGCATAGAGAGACACTGAGGTGTTATGGTTTGAAGATGAGATGTACCCCAAAAGCTCCTGTGTTAATGCAGGAATATTCAGAAGTGAATTGATTAGATGAGGATAGCTGCAACCTAATTAGCCCATTCTAGTTTGAGTAGATTGACTGGGTGATAGCTATAAGCAAGTGGGATATGGCTGAAGGAGGTGGGTCACTGAGGTCATACCCTGGAAGGGTGCATCTTCTCTGTGGCCCTTTTCCCTCATCCCTCTCTCTCTGCTCTCTCGCTGCCAGTAGTGGAGCAGTGCTCCTCCGCCTCTCCCTTCCACCACGGTCTTCTGGACATAAAGCAATGGACTTACCCACCAAGGACTGAACCTCTAAAACCATGAGCCAAAATAAAGTTTTCCTCCTCTAAGTTGTTCTTGTCAGGTATTTTGGTCAGAGCAACACAAAGCTGACTAACACAGAAGGAATTTGGGCAGAGAAATTATGTGATAAGAGCTTTGCTTTTAAAAGATCATTCTGATTGCCTAAGTAAAAAGGTCCATGCAGTTTTAAGAGTGGAAGTAGAGAGGCCAATTTTGAAGCTAATGCTATCCAGGTGAACAGTTGGAGATGGCGTACACTAAGTGGTAGTTGAGGAGAAGGTGTTTTGGCTTAGATCTGAAGTGTTCCCCTAAAGCTCATGTGTGAGACAATGCAAGAAAGTTTAGAGGTGAAATGACTGGGTTATGAGAGCCTTCACCTAATCAGTGCGTTAATCAACTTGAATGGATTAATTGGGTGGGTAGTGGCTGTAGGCCAGTAGGGTGTGACTGAAGGAGGTGGGTCTCTGGGGGTGTGATTTTAGGGTTTACATTTAATGAGTGAGAGCTCTCTTTGATTCCTGATTGTCCTGTTCTGAGATGCTCTCATCCTCCATGATGTGCAGCAGCAATGGCACCATCCATCTATGGACTGAGACCTCTGAAACTGTAAACCCCAAATAAACTTTTCTTCCCCTACATTGTTCCTGTCAGATCTTTTGGTCATAGCAGTGAAACTGCTGACTAAAACAGAAGGGATGAAAAGCAGGAAGATCTGGGATATATTTTGAAGGTGGGAGTTATGGATGACAGTGGGGAGGGGTGGGGGAAAAAGAATCAAATCTAACTCCTGGGTTTTGGCCTGAACAGCTAGATGGATTCTATTGTCATTTATGAGATGGGAAAGACCCAAGGAGAAGCAGGTCAGGAGGAAAAGTGAGAACTGTGAGTTCTCTTTACACTAAATTTTGTGTAGATACCAGATAGATAGCCAAGTGGAGATGTTGAAATGGCCATTGGGAAAAAAGGGAAAGGTGAGGACTGGAGATTTAAATCAGAGAGTCAGGGCTGGGGATGTGGTTCAAGCGGTAGGGCGCTCGCCTGGCATGTGGGTAGCCCGGGTTCAATCCTCAGCACCACATACAAACAAAGATGTTGTGTCTGCCAAAAAATAAAAATAAATAAATATTAAAATTCTCTCTCTCTTAAAAAAAAAATAAATAAATCAGAGAGTCATCAAATACTGACTATTTATGGCCCAGAATTGTGTGTAGAGGATCTAAAAAGAGACACCAGAAATATTCTCTCCTTTCAAGGACTTAAATGCAGTTGGAAAATAAGTCTGAATACATAAAAAAAAAAAAATAACAGATTAGTTTCACAAGCTGAATAGTTGCCCTTACTAGCACTTACTTGGGGCCAAATTTTCCACTGGGTGCTTTACAAATATTAATCCTCAAAGACATCATTTCACAGATGAGACTCAGCAAGGTAAATAACTTTCTTAGGAGTCTTAGTTCATTTTCGATTGCTATAACTAAACACCTGAGACTCCGTAGTTTATAAAGAGTAGAGGTTTAGTTTGCTTATAGTTCTGGAGTCTAGGAAGTCCAACATCTAGGTGCTGGCATCTGGTGAATACCTTCTTGCTGAATCATAATATGGTAAAAGGCATCACAGGGCAAGACAGAGCAAGTACACCAGAGAGAACTCACTTTTATAACAGAGCTACTCCTTGGACAATCCATTAATCCATTAACTGATTAACTATTCATGAGGGCAATCCCCCAAGACCCAGTTGCTTCGCACAGCTCTCACATCCAATTACCATTAATATATAATATTAGGAATTAAGTTTCCAGCACATGAAATTTGGAGGACATGTTCAAACTGTAGCACAAGAGTCATACCACTAGTCAGTATCAGAACCAGGAGAAAACCAAGTCTCTCTGGCCCTAGGTTATTCTGGGTCATAGCCTAATCTCTCAGTCTCCAAAGGGATGCTGAAAGCCAGCAAGAACTGAAGCAATTGAAATCTTCATAGAGGTGGTGAGACCTGAGCAAGAACCTAAAGAATAAAGAATAAAGGCTGGGCATGGTGGTGCAGACCTATAATTCCTGCAGCTTGGGAGGCTGAGGGAGGAGGATCACAAGTTCAAGGCCAACCTCAGCAACTTAGACCCTAAGCAAATTAGCAAGACATCATCTTTAAAAATAAATAAATAAAAATAAAAAGGAGTGGAGATATGGATCATTGGTTGAGCACCCCTGGGTTCAATCCCCAGTAGCAAAAAAAAAAAAAAAAGTGGCATTTGGACAAGGAGGGAAAGAGAAATGAGAAAAAGTGAGTAATGAAGAACCTGGCCTCATATTGGAACCAAGGTTCCAGAGCCAGCTCTGCTTCCAACTCTTTTGTGGCCTGGGTCCCATCTAGCCTGGCTCGGCCTCCATTTCTCTCACTGAAAAGCAGACGGCTCACTCCATTCTCATGCGTTTACCACAGAGAGAACACCAGGGGGCGACACAGGACTGCATCATCTCATGGAATCACTCCTGTGTCACCTAAAAACAGCAGAGCTGTGGAGGCCATCCCACAGCCAGTGAGAGGAGACCTGGACAGCGCCACTCCTGAGACAAAGCCCAGCTGCCTGGAATTCGGGGAAGGAATCTGGAGGACACTGACAAACACAACCGGAGCCAAAAAGTCCTGCTGTCAAAACCTTTTTTGGTCTGACTTGAATGTATCTGTATCTGGAGACATTCCCACCAGAACTCTTCCCGGTAGGACATCCTCCCTGAACCTTTGTTGATTTTCTGTAGCTGTTCCCCACAAAAAAAAAAAAAAAGAAGAAGAAGAAGAAGAAGTAAGCCAAGCCCTTCCTGGACTTAGTGCAGAAAAGGCAAAAGAGTTGGGGACTATATCTGCCTGATCCATAAAGCGACTTGGATCCATAGAGGTGGCTAAGAAGTGCCCCGGGGTGAGGGAGTCTCATAACCCTGCAGAGGACCCTGAGACTGAAGCAGAGGCTGAGGGATCCACAAGGCTGCTAACATTCAGTCAAAAGATGGGGTGACCCAGGTATGGTAGCACACAACTGTGATCCCATCTATTTGGGAGACTAAGGCAGGAGGATTGCAAAATTGAGTTCAGGCTTCATGACTTACCAAGATCCTGTCTCAAAATAAAGTGAAAAGGACTGGGGATATAACTCAGTGGTAGAGCACTTGCCTAGCATGCCCTGGGTTCAATCCCTAGCATAGAAGAAGGGGAAGAAGAGGAAAAAGGAGGTGATCTCCAAGCCAAACAGAGGATTCTGCAGCCCCTAGTAGGGCCCATAATCTCTCCATGACTCCCCTCTGGCCTTAACTCTGTCCCTCCCAGGTGTGCACTTGCCTCTGTGTGGTCCTCTGCTTCCTCACCTGCTCTCACAACGCCCCATTGTGCAGCCCTCAGAGGTGTCTGGCTCTCCTGCAGACAGACCCGCATCCTCAACAGTGCCTCACGGGGCCTGGGAATGGCTCACTCACTCTGGTGATGGAGAAAGCTGTAGAGCTCCTTCATCACTGCTGTCTTCATGATCTCTCTGAGGAAGACACCCTGTTCGGCCAGCTGCTGGGCATTGAAGTGCTCCCCATGGCCCGTCGCCCGCTGGTAGTTGTTGAGCAGGTTAATGAAGGCTGCGTAGGTGGGCTTGGAGAACAGCTGCTCATTGACATACGTGAAGAGCCTGGGGCAGGAGGAGGGACACCCACAGAGGGGCCTGAACATGCAGCAAAAACTCTTCCAGAAACTTCCAGAGAGCCCAGGGGCAGCACATGAGGATTGGAGGGGGACTTCAGGTGCTCTTGAAGGTTATGCATGAAGCCACTTTTATTCCACTCCATCTCCTAGAAGATCTTCCCTGTCCTCAACCCAACCAATTCCAGAAACCCTCCCAAATGTATACCCACAGTCCTTCAAGGAGGCTTCCTTGTCTCTGAAGAACTATTTTTTCCCCTCTCCCTTTCCTCCTGCTGATTTGAGGAGAAAAGAGTAGGAGCATCAAAGAAGGAAGGATTGAGGAGAGACTCTGTGGGGACCAGGGGGACTCACGGCTCTGGGCAGCGATCCACTTGGTCTCCCGTCTCTGAAGGGGAGATGCGGTTTTGACTGTTGAGAACGATGTCTTCCTTCTGGGCTTTGTTGGTGTCTGCCTTGTAGATCTTCTCAGAGATGCTCTGAAGCTCCTCTTTGGTTATGGCATCACTGCTGTGGGAGAAGCCCTCTGGGAGGAAATGGAGAAGGGGTGATCTCAGGGCCAGAGGGAAGGCAAGACAGGCCAACGTCTGTGTGCATCCCCTCCTGAGCACCTTGGAGAAGCCTGCAGGAGGTGGTTGGAGGGCAGGGGCCTAAGGACCCTTAAAATCAACCCATGTCGTTGCCATGAATGTCCACAGAATGTCCACCCTGCCCCTTCCCTCTAGGAAGATTCTCAAACTGTAGCAGGCATCAGAATCACCCAGAAGACTTGTTAAAACAGAGGGGTGAGCTCACCCCCAAAGTTTCTATCAATAGGTCTGGGGTGAGACCCTAGCGTTTGCGTTTCTTATAGATTCTCAGATGCTGGTGCTGCTGGTCCAGGGACCACACTTTGAAAACCACTGCATGAGAGTCCTTGTGTATCTGGGGCTATGCGGAGGGAGCAGACTGACCGTGGTCGCCACACAGGCTCTCGAAATCCTTGCAGCAGTTCCCAAACTCTTGGCAGCGGTCATTGCAGTGGCAGGGGTGGTGCTTGTCGAAGGCTTCGCGGCAGCGGCCCTGGCAGGAGCTGGGTGCCGAGTACAAGCCTGAGAGCCGAGGAGAGGCGAGTCCCCATCTGACCGCTAGAGGGCGAGCCGAGCGCCCGTGCCGCTCCCTCCCTCCCCGCCGGCTCCTGATCCTCCTCACTAGGTCTCCAGGGAAGGAAAACAAACAGGTCCAGTTCCTGCACGCCCTTCACAGTCAGGAAGTCCTTTCTGATGCTGAACTTTATTTTCTGGCCTGTTGTTTTTATAATCTTCCCACTCTAAAAATAAAACCTCTTCCACTTCCCTCCCCAGGCCTCGGACTCTTTCCTGGTTACCCCTCCCCTTCCCTGGCAACAGGCCCCTCTCCCTCTGAGGCTAGGGAGTCCTGCCAACCTCTCTCTTGGAGCCAGGCCTGGCCCTTAGGCCTGGCAGAGCCCTCCCCTCATCGCCCCTGGTGTCCCATCTTTATCCTGAAGGTCCCATTTGGGAAGGCAGGCTCACTATTATCCGGGGCCTCTTCTTCCAGCTCCAAGAATTCCTCTGGCTCCTCCTCCGCTGCAATTAGAAAAATAAAGTTACCCGCCATCCCTAAGGACTTCCATCCCTTACTGGGCATGGTGGCCCATTGCTGTAATCCCCATGACTTGGGAGGCTGAGATGGGAGGCTCACAATCTCTGGGACAGTCTGAGCAACTTAGGGAGACCCTCAGCAACTTAACCAGACTGTGTCTCAAAATATAAAAAACTGACTGAGGGTGCTCAGTGGTAAAGCAACCCTGGGTTCAATCCCCAATACCTAAACACACACACACACACACAAAGAAAAATATTTCCCTCCTCCTTTTTTCCTGGTTCTGAAGTCTCCCAGCCTCAGGGACAACCATGTGCACTGGAAGCAGATAGTAAACAAGGGCTGCAGTACAAAGGACTAGGCCCACATCAAAGAGGATGAAAACTGCATTTCCAGTAGAAGGAGTTTATTGAAAGCTGTTATCAAAAAACTAAAATAAGCTGGGCACAGTGAGGTAGCCCTGTAATCCCAGTGGTTTGGGAGGCTAAGGCAGGAGGATTGCAAGTTCAAAGCCAGCCTCAGCAAAAGCAAGGCTCTAAACAACTCAGTGAGACCCTGTCTCTAAATAAAATACAAAATAGGGCTGGGGATAGGGCTCAGTTCAAGTACTCCTGAGTCCAATCCCAGTACCAAAAAACAAAAAGCTGTTTGCAGGAAAAACATGTTCAGGAAAGCACTACTGCAACCTGAGTGACCACCTCCTGTGCTCTGGTAGAGAAGGGTGTGGTGGGAGTGAGGGGGAGAGGAAGGAATGTTCCCAGGAATCTGAGCTCCTCTACCATCACACGTAGAATAGCCCACCTCCACGGCTGTCCCAAAGAAACGGCCATGGTACAGAGTGACTCAGAAGCTTTTAGTGAGGCTGCTGGATAGGATTGTGATATCACAATCAGAACCACTAGTCAGGTTATTTGCTCAGTCAACAACCTCTTCTGATCTCTTACTTTGTGCCGGACTGTGTTCTAAGGGTTAGAAATCCATAAACTGTTCTGGGGATATAGCTCAGTTGGTAAAGTGCTTGCCTAGCATGCACAAGGCCCTGGGTTCAATCCCCAGCACCACCAAAAAAACAAAAAAACAAAGCAAAAAACACACACACACAATATAAACAAAACTGAATCTATATCAAATCAAAGACCAAAAAAAGGGCTGAGGCTGTAGCCCAGTTGTAGAGCATTTGCCTGGCACATAAAAATAAATAAAATAAAGGCATGTGTCCATCTACTACTAAAAATACTTTTTTTTAGAAAAGAAAAGAAATCCATAAACTCCTTAATTCAGCCACAGTTGATATTCATGGACTTTTGTGAGCTGAGCTAGAGTTACATCATTTACAATATTTTTTTTCCTGTAGGAAAGAGGTTCTGAGTTGCAAATCAGAAACTTAGAGATGAAGTGTTTCCAAGACTGGGTATGGCTACTATCTTGGAGTGTCAGTATGATCAGGCCTTCCTGTGTCTGCTGAATGATAAGAAAGGAGAGGGCACAGAGGCAGCAGAAAATAGTGGGCTCTGATTCTGGCTCTGAGCACTGGGTTGGTGTTTTTGTGTAAATTGAATAAAGGGTCCGTGTGAGTGGAAGCAGTTCCATGAACACACAGCTGGTCAGCAGATACTACCTTTGGGCAAATTAGGAAAGACTCTCCTTTCTCTCAGCAGATATAGGTCTGCACCAGAGAACACAATTTGGTGAGAAGGGTACATATTAAATTTTAGGCCACTCAGCCAGGTGCCTTGTTCACTGGACAATCTGTACCACCAGATGTGGTATTTTGCTGACCATTACCTTCTATGGTTTCCTTGATCATGTGTTCCAAACTGGGAGTTAGGGCACATGATTTGACAATGAACTCAGCAAGTCTTCATGTCACAAAGCAAAAGATCATTTCCTAAGAGTTTGTTAAATTGCAAGCATCCGAAAAAGAAGATTATTCAAAAATGATTGTTCAAAAACTATTCACTTAGCCGGGCCTGGTGATGCACACCTGTAATCTCAGCTACTTGGAAGGCTGAGGCAGAAAGATTGCAAGTTCAAGGTCAACATCTGCAACTTAGCAAAACCCTAAGCAACTTAACGAGACTCTGTCTCAAAATAAAAGTTAAAAGGGCTAGGTTAAGTGGCTCTGGGTTCAACCCCCAACACCAAAATAATAATAATAATAATAATAATTATTATTATTATTATTATTCATTTAAGGCTGAATCATGGGAACAGTGGAGGAACAATTGGCCTTTGCAGGTAGTGCATGTCCTGTTTTAATCAGTAGTCTGAGAATAAAAGTTTGAAGATGTGGCTGCTCTGTCCGCTCATTAGAACAGAGGGGTGCATTGTGACAGTCACAATGACACCTGCAGCCTTCCTGGTAGCAAACAGATTGTGAGAGAGCTCATTGCCATTTTTATAATTTTGCGATTTAAGGTGTTGAATAGGGTCTGAGCATGTAGCTCATTGTTACAGTGCTTGCTTAAGGTTCACAAGACTCTGGGTTCATCCCCAGCACCAAAAAACAAAAAAGAAAGAAAAAAAAAAGTGTTGAATAACAATTGGTAATGTCACGATGCTAAAATAGAGTTTTACCATTTTGCACAAACTTTCATGACATTGTTAATCCTGATCATTCAGATATTCCAGGTAAATGGCATCTACCATATTTTAAATTGGGGACTTCTTAGAAAACCTGAGACAAGTGATAGCCAAATACCTGCCCCCTGGCCCTGCCCCTTCCCCTCAGTGCACTCATCACCTCCGCCCACCCCCAGCCCTGAGCCCCACGCCAGACTGCTGCACACCCAGGTCAGTGGCCCCTCAGGCAGGCTAGACTTGCACCCTGGTCCTGCCTTCCACAGGAGACGCACCAGTACACAGATGTTCGTAGTCTTCACAGCAGTCCCCGTGACGGGAACACCGGCGGTCACATTGGCAAGTAGCATCTCGGTTAAACTTCTCATTACAGCGAGATGCACATGATTCCAGGTTTCCTAGGGGCAGTAAATATTACAGACTCAGCTCTCTGGGGATCCTGTGCTCCTCCTAAGGGTGCTCCCTGAGGGAGAGTTCACAGACAAGGATGGGGGGCCCCCTGGTAGGTAAAGTTATTGCTATCTGCAGGAAAGAAGCACATCCAGATCCTTCCATGCGCAGCATAAGCCTCCTCCTAGCACCGGCCAGATGCTACAGGGCTCATAGCACTGACCAGACTCAAACGACTTTTGGGGTAAGACCTGTGACATACACAAGAAAAGGAGCAGATATGAGGCCAGAGGAAGAGTTGCAGACTGTGAGAAATGAGTGATGCCCTGTCTGAAATTTGCATCCATTTCTCAGTTCCAGCCAACTGCAACTTGGTGTTACCAGAGGCTCCTGATTTTCAAGAGAAACCTTTTTTTTTTTTTAACTGAGGTTAAGCAAGGGGTTGCTTAACCACTGAGTCATATCCCCAGCCCTTTTTAAAAAAATTATTTAGAGACAGGGTCTTGCTGAGTTGCTTAGGGCCTTGCTAAGTTGCTGAGGCTGGCTTTGAACTCATAATCCTCCTGCCTCAGCCTCCCAAGCGGCTGGGATTGCAGGCATGTGCCATCACATCCAGATGGAACCTTCATCTTTATGTGAAAATTTGCCAGTTTTTAAAACTTCAGGCAGTCCCATGAAAAGGTCTGTGGACTGGACATGGCCCACTGGCCACCATTCACCTGTCACGTAAAAGGGAAGTACTGTGTTCCAGTGGTGTCCCCTACCCTTTTCTCTCTGACCTACCTCCTTGTTCCCATTCTGTTCCTTTTATGCTCTTTGATTCTGGTTCTTCCCTCTGCCCCAGTCTGGTCTTGGTTGCATCCACTTGTCCCTGTGTCACATCTTTCTGTTTCTTCCAGTCTTTGGAATGCATTCAGATGAGTTTAGGCTCAGGGTGGTGAATGGGGCATTGTGGGTGAGAATGGGGCTTTGGACAGGATCCTGTTCTGTAACCACAGACCACATCCCTCACTCCAGCCAAATGGTTCATGGTTCACAGAAGCAAGCTTCTGGTTACAAGGGGAGTAAAAATTTTTGAAAGGAATAGTACAAATTCACTACCATTCTTTTAAAAAACAAATTAAAATAGAAAGCCCCACCACAAAGACAACTCAGCAAAGACAGTGCCGATGAACGTCAGGAACCATTTCTTTCCACTCAGGGCTTTAAGGGCCACGACAGAGTCTGTTTCCATTTGACGTTCCTGAGGTTTAGATGTTGAGAATGCTGGGTTTAGGGGTCAGGCCGAGAGCATTGCACAAAATGTCAAGATCAAAGTCAGAGTTACCATGAGCATCGGAATCATATCAGTGAGGAAACTGAAACCTAACTTGGTTTTAGTTCACAGTTGGAGTTAGGTTTCAATTAAGGGCTATAGCTAAGAAGTGCCCTTGCATCAAATTTATTGATAAAGTAACAATTTTGTATTGATATTTGGATAAGGAATGAGGTAAGATTGACGGTGATGTTTAGGGTTGACAAATATATCAGGATTAGAAGGAGAGAACTAACTCCAGTTTGGAGCTTGACTCTGGCTGGGATTCAACAGGGATCTAGTATGCATATTTAAGCCTGGCTTGGATCAGAGGTAAATATTAGGAATATGAGTTTAGTAACTGTTTTGAATCCTTGGATTTATACTGTGTCTAATGGGAGATGGCATAGCAGAGAGGTGAGAACCTGTACCCTCACCAAGTTGCTTAGGACTAGAATTCTAGTTCTGCTGTTTTCTAGCTATTTGATCTGGGGAAAGTTATTTAAATTTCTTTGCCTTGTTTCCTTATTTGTAAAAGTGGAGGTATAGCTGAATAATACAGCACTTGCCTAGCATGTATGAAGTCCTGGTACTTAAAAACAAATAAATAATGAAGCTGGGCTCCTGTGGCACATGCCTGTAATCCCAGCAGCTCAGGAGGCTGAGGCAGGAGTTCAAAACCCGCCTCAACAACTTTAGCAAGGCCCTAAGCAACTCAGTGAAATCCTGCCTCAAAATAAAAAAGATATGGGGTGTGGCTCAGTGGTTAAGCAGCCCTGGTACCAAAAGAAAAAAAAAGAAAGAAAGGTGATAAAATAGTGAAGCCTATCTCATAGAATATTTTTAAGAATTAAATGAAATAAAGGGGCACTATTTTATCATTAAAAAAAAAAAAGAACTAAATGAAAGCCAGGTACATCAGCGTACATCTATAATCCCAACTACTGAGGAGACTGACACAGGAGGATCACAGGTTCAAGGCAAGTCTGCAACTTAGTGAAACCCTGTCTCAAATAAAATATATAAGGCTAGGGTTATATATAACTCAGTGGGAGAACACCCATGGATTCAAGACCTAGTACGGTGACATTAATAATGAGGACAATTAAATGAGTTAAAGTTTGTAAGGCACTTAGAACAATGCATGACACATAATACAGCCATGTATTTGTTAAGCAAATAAACAGCGGGAACATTCCATGCCCATCTTCAAGGTGGCAAGTGTTTAGACTGGCTGGAGTTATTGTCCTTGCACAGGGACCCTGCCCACATACTCCATCTAGCCGACTCCCTCCCCAGGTTCAGCTGGGCCAAGGGCTGTGCTGTCAGCACACACATGTTGCTCTTGGTTTCCTGGCTGACATAATCACGAGTGTGTTTTCTTTACATTAGAGAGGTGACAGGTCAAGGTTAACCCAGGTCTTAATACAACTTATTGTGTGCAGGGCTTCCAAGGCATCCAAGAAGACAGGACTGTGGTCCAGGGAATTGTCCCTAAAAGAGACCAAGCTCCGGGGCCCCTTGTTCCTGCAACCCCACAGGAACTCCTCTGGAATCTTAAATGATGCTTTTGGCACTTGAATGCAAAGGTCTTAAGGAGAAATTTTCATCCCAGGAGGAAGGCTCCGCCAGCGGCCCACTCAGTCAGCCTGGCAGTACACCCAGAATCCAAGGGAGAGAATGCAGATGAATCAGGGCAGTGCTTTAATGGGCCAGATCAGCAGAGTGCAAGGAAGGAATTCACTCCATTCCAGCGCTGGCCCTGGTTGAGAAGGGCAACCAGGGAACAGTCAACTGTGGAGTGAGGAGAACTCCCCACCAAACTGCCCGGACTTTTTCCTGTCCCTAGTAAGAACCCCTCACCGAGGGGTCCTCGAATGTCTCTGTGAACTAGTTCTGCTTCAAGGTGACCTTGGGATGTGAAGGTGGAGGGCAGGGTGGGAGGGACTTTTCTTCATAGGCGCCTTGCTGTGCTGCTCTGGGGACACTCAGATGACCAGTCACCCAGACTACCCACTCCAGGGCACCCACCCAGCACCTCCTGTTGACACAGACGCTTTGTGTAAGCCTCACAACCAAGCCAGGAGCCTGAATCACCGTCCAGCAGCTTTCCACCCTGTCCCTTTGCCTCATCTCTGGCGCTTGCTTTTCTTCACTTTGGCCTTTCTTCTCTTGGTCCTGCGTTCTCCCACCATTCCCCACAAAGAGCTGTGGTTTCCCCCTCCCTCCATGAAGTACGAAATTTCCCTTCACCCTCTAAGACTTTAATATGCCACAGCTTTTACTCCCTATCCCTGCATGAACACAGAGTCCCTATAGGCCCACCCTCATTGCCTCTGATGGCTGAGGAGTCCCATGTATGCCTCTTGAGGCTCCAGATTTCCATGGAGACCTAGTCAGCCAAAAAATCTTTATCCCCAGGACCAGCTTTGCAAGCTTCTGTTCGTTTGAAACAACCAAGGTCCTTGGCACACACCCAGCTCATTCGTGATGACCTGAGGCTGCCCCCCACTTCACCCAGTGATCCCCATTCTGGCATCCTGGTCCCAAGGTATTGGGGTGGAAGAGACGTGAGCAGAGCCTCTTTCTTCCCATCTTCAGAGGCCTCATTGCTCCGGCCTCACGGCCCCACTCATGCTTCCCCATCAGTCCCACAGCCAGGTGTGATCACTGCCGGCCCCCAGCAGGCAGTTCTGAAGCAACTGCTGCCTTGCTCTCAGGGACATCCCCTGCGGACTGGATCTCTAGTGCCCTCTCCTGAGACTGAGATATCATGAGCCACCACACCAGGCCCAGGAACTCCCCTTTCTCCTCCATACCAGCTGGCCTGAGGCTGAGGTTCCCAAACCCCCTAACCCTCTCCACCACCCAGGGCCAGACAGAGTTGGGTCCTGGGCAGAGGTACATAGTCCCATCCAGTGTTGAGGGCCTGGGGCTTTTTCCTCCCAGGGTTTTCCATTCAGGCATCCCATTAGGGGACTTCTTATCCATAGCCTGATTGAAAATGCCCCAAGAGTCAGTTCCTCACAGAAATATTTATAGTCACGATGCTAACTGAAGTCAAATTCTCTGAGAGCTCACCTCTCCTTGGGTGTTTCTCCACATTATTTTATTTGATCCAGGCAGGAGCAACCTGGGTGGGTGGAATGGGCATCAAGCTCTGACTCTTTCACCTCGGGCAGAGGAGGATTCTGCCCAAACCTCTCAGATGGGCCTCCTCCCTCGACACTTCTCCCTCCCCACCCATTAACTATCAGTTAACACACCAGTAGCAGACCTTTGCATGGTTACTAACAGCAAAGTGCTCTCTTCCTCCCTGGTGCCATCCCTTACACCGCTAGCAACTGTGGGCCAGGCCCCTTCTCTACTCCTAAGGCCCCCTAACACTGGGACCAAGAGCCATTCCTCTGACCAGCCCCAGATGGGATATGACCCACCTTCAGGTCAGGGGCCCTCGGGGTGAAGCCCATCTCCTAAGGCTTTACCCACAGAAAGTTCACACTCTGATAACCTCACTGGCTCTCCAGGAGCAGTAGAGGGAATGACCAAGGTCAGACAGTCAAGCCACCCAAATTCAGCAACCACAGCCCCAGTTTTACATCATATAGTGGCCCCAGAAGATATAGTCTTTGTGAGATCCAAAATCTACCCCAACTACTGATGTTTGGAACTGATCCTTCTGGGTGTCAAGAAGGAGCCACCATGAAATGGGTCCATCATTCCTGCAACTTTCCCCACACGGCCTAGCCCACTCCAGAGACAGCTCCTGCACTCGACAGACCAAAAGTGCTGCATGGCTCTAGGACAGAGTTCACCCTCCCTTGTCCCACTTCCCTCACCCACTGCCAAGTTCTCCAACCCTCTGTTCTTTAGGCAAGACCCTTACCACCAAACTCCCATGTTGAACAGATAATGACTCACCAGCCCAGGCCAGGCCACAGAGCACAGCCACCGTCAGGGGGACACAGGCCCTCATGGTGCCCAGTTGTAGGCCAACAGGGGACTGGCTATTGGACTTCCACTAGAGTCAAGGTGGATGTCACAACCCTCAGATGAGCCTTAGTACCCAGGATGATTCTTTTAAAGACATCAGGACTTGTGGATCTGGTGCATCCTGATCTGTCCAGGAAGAAAATGGGAAGGGAGGGATCCCAAATGGATGGGCGGTGGAGAGAAGGTGGGGCCTCACTGCTGTTTGAAGCCAAAGAGAAGGTGATTAAGCAGGCAGTTAGTGCCAGATGTTTAGAACAGGTCATGCTAGCTGTTAGTAGCTGGAAAATAGGCCAGATGAGCAGGCACAGCAAGATGGACCTAGTTCGGCAGGTTCTTTATTCAAACTAGGGATACCCATGGGCTATCTTTGAGTAACCCCCTAAATACTCACCCATCTGTGGTCACTTGTAACCATGAGGCTACAAGTCTAGGTTCAGATTCGGTGCGATTAAAGAAACCTCTGCTTTTTATATGATGCTATAACACTCTCCACGAGTTCAAGTTGTTGTCTTGCCTCCACTTGAATCCTCTGGTATTGGGGAGGGATGGGATTCACCTTCTGAGGGTCCCTTCACAGACCTGATTCCCAGCCCCTGGGACTATACAACCCAAGGCATGCTGGTGGAGGCAAAAGTAGAGAGTATGGGAAAAAAATCCATTAAGTGACATATATCAGCACATACACGCAACAGTGACTCACAGATAAACTTAGATACCAGTACCTATACATACACAGATAAATTATACTGTATTTCAAGCAGCTTTCTCTACCCTGCCAGCCTGTCTGGACAGAGAACTCCACTGTTCTAATTCTCCCCAGTCAGGGTCCACATGGGTTTTCTCCCCTTCTAAGCTCTTCCCAGAGAGCCACAGTGGGGACCAGCCAGGAAGGTGGGAGTCCCAGTAGGTGGGGTACTGGAGACCTGGGGTGGGGAAAGGGTGGAGGGAGATGCATGGAGGAAGGTGGAGGGGCCCAGAATGAGGATACTAACGGGGATGGCTCCTCCAGAGCCCCAGAGGAGAGATGGTGCAGTTGTGGTACAGAGGATTGGAGGGTGGGGAAGAAGCTCCAAATATTTATTGAGTGCTCATTATATGCTGGATGTTACACTGTAATTGAACAACAGGGTTCAGGCCAGCCTGGAAAATTCTTTTTGGAATGGATTGTTTTCTGGTGGGACAGAGGACAGATAAGCCCAGCATTAGACAGCTGTTTGAAGTAGGCCCCACATGTCACTGGACTACTACTGGTGGCCAAAGGCCTGACAGGATCAAGAGACTGAGGGAGAGACTGGCCCAAGGAATTTGTTCCCAGGACAGCTTATTCTACCACTCATGTCTTCCTGAGAAACCAAGGTCAAGTCTTTTCAGCAGAGAACCACAGCCTGGAAGGGCTCTGCAACTGGCCCAGCACAGCTAGGCCTGGATTCACCTCCCAAGGGGACCTCGGCACCTGAAGATGATGCATCTCCATCCTCCATCCTAGGGATTCTCTCCTGGCCTCAGGAGCAAGGCCTAGGGTGGTCACTCATACCTGATCTGACTGAATGTGTCTTAGAAATGGCCGAGTGTAATTTCTTTCTCCACATTGGTTTGAAGGCCAAATGCTACATTGTCTTTCCAGGCTTTCTGTTTTGAAGTTTGTGGCAGCCTTGACATCCAGCGTCACACACTCACTGCCTGGCCTGCCTGGGCACATTGGTCAGAACTGCCAGCTGAGCCCATTCATCACAAAGTCCCAGACTACGCATCCAGTTCTGCCGGTCCTCTGCCTGGAATACCCTCTGCCCACCATCCTTGATGGCTGGATGGCCATCTACTGCTCACCTCCAGACCACAGGAGCCCTGTCCATGGACTTAGTCCTAGATATTTGTCCCATGTGCCTTTGACACATCAAAGCCATCACTGATGGTCTGTTGCTGCCAACACAGCTTCGTTAACCCCAGCACTGCCATTTAACTTTCCATCCAGTTATTTCTTTAGCTCCCGTCTGAAATTCCTTAAGACAAGGATCGTGCCTCCTGAGTCCCCGCCACCAGCTGCTTCAGATTGCCATCCAATGGGTAGATGAACTGTCAACACGTGTCTGGGACAAGTAGTAATCAATGAGGACGAGGGAACCTGGTAGCCCTACAATGCCACTCGTTACTTAAGACGTGAGTGACAGCGATTAGCAAAGCAGAGGTGACTGGATGGACCCCGTTGAGTTGTCGAGTTTGTGTGTAGCACAGTTTGTATGTAGGGGACCGGCAGGCAATGGATGGAAGTAAGGCCTAGGAATTCATCTTAAAGTTGTGTTTTCATGGCAAACAAGTTATTTTTGGCTATGTATGTATGTGCATTTGGGGCCAATGGAAATTTGGGTGGGGACCTAAATCCCAGAACCACCTGCTACAGTTTGGATGTGGTATATCCCCCAAGGATTTTTGTGTTGGAAGCTTGGTCCTCCATGTGATGGTGTAGAGCTGGGCCTAATGAGAGGTCACTGGGAACAATGCCCTCAGAGAGGATTGAAGAAGTTTTCCTGGGACCCCTGGGTTAGTTCTCCTCCTGGTTCTGTCTTCTTGTCTGATGATATAATCTCTTATTCTCCAATGTTCTCCTGCTAAGATGCCATAGCTGTTAGGCCCTCACCAAGGAAGCCACTGATCTTGGACTTTCAGCCTCCAAAATTATGAGAAAAAGAAACCTGTTTTCTTTATAAAGCTAGCCAGCTTCCAATATTTTGTTATAGTAACACAAAACATACTAATACACCATTCTTCGGCACCACCACAGGCATCAGGCAGAACCCAGGATTCCAGCAGCCTCTGAAGCCACATGAAAAAGATGATTCAACTTCATCCTGCTTCTCTAGGATTCCAGAGTAACCACCTGCCTACACTTTTGCCAGCTATGCTAATGTTTATTTTAAATTGCCCAATAGTGATGATAAAGTAAATTTGCTATTGCAGGTCCTCAAACTTCAGCAGCTTCGGAGAGCATCTAGAGGCAAGGCATGAACAAAGACAAGTGAACGAGACAGGCAGACAGTGACAAGGAGACCTGGAGAGACAGCAAGGGAGCGAGCAAAGAGGAGATGGAGAGAGTGAGACCTGAGGAGGCCAACCAGGAGCCAGGCTCTGAGAGAGGCACCTGGCTGACCTCTTGCCCTAGGTGTGCTGGCACAACTGGGCTTTCCTGTCTTACAATGACAAGACAACAGGACTTGGAAGAGCAGTTCCCGACCTATGTGTGAAATTCTGCAATCTGTCAAAATTCTCATAATTATCATGCAAGGTAGTCAGGTTGTGGGAAGCTTCCCCCTTTCTCATGAATTCATTCATTCACCTGACAAACAGGAACTGAGCACCTGTGCGCCAGGTGCTATGCTGGGCAAGGTGGATACCAGGGTGAGAGGCTCAGCATCTGGGAGAAAGATGACCAGCAAAATGCACCTAAAGAGGTGATTGGGGGCAGCAGGGTATGATGTGTATACTGTTGATTCTGAAGCCACACTCCTTGGGTTCCAATTCCAGCTCTGCCACTTACAGCTGTACAACCCTAGGAAAGTTCCCTGACCCCTCTGTGCCTCAGTCTCCCCTACAGATGTAAAATAGAGCCAGTAAGAAGACCTAACAAAGCTCTTGTGAGGACTGAGTGAGTTAATGCTCACAACATTTAGAATAGTGCCTAGCACATGAAAAGACCGGGTAAGTGTTTGTTAAAAAATAGGAACACAAAGGGTCCAATTTAAAAGGGTATGGGCTGGGGATGTGGCTCAAGTGGTAGCGGGCTCGCCTGGCATGCGTGCGGCCCGGGTTCGATCCTCAGCACCACATACAAAGATGTTGTGTCCGCCAATAACTAAAAAATAAATATTAAAAGAATAAATAAATAAAAGGGTAGTTAAGGAAAGCCTCCCTGGAAAAAATGGCATTTAAAACAGAGACATGAAGCATGAGAAGATGGCATCTTCTTTAAACTCTCCGTAATGTAATATTTCTTCCATACTTCCCCAAATCAAGTTAAAAACGTGCATTCAGTTTTTTTCAGTCCTTTGAGTCGGATGATCCTTCCTTGAGTCGCACTGCCTAACTCACCTGGTTTGATGCCAAAGGTAACCAGCTGGTTTCTGGGGGTGTGGCCTGTGGCCTGAGGCACTGTGCTTTGCTGGGGAAAATTAAGAGCTTCAGTGGGGAGCAAATCCGGGGTTCCAGCCTCCCAAGCCTTGGGCTATTAGATGAGATCACCTGCAGCTGACCTATGGGAACCCAAGAATCAAGAGAACAGAGGTGGCTGACCTCTGCTGTGAGCCACCAGGAAACCCCGCTCGCACATGCAGCCGCTCTGTGTAGTACACAGGTGTTCCTACAAGACTCAGTCCTAGCAAAGCTAAGCAGGTGAAACTGGCCCCCTACCTCTCCTTCTGATTCCCAGCTTGGGGTGCCATGTGATCCCCAGGCCACTGCAAAATCCTGTAGGTAACACTCAGGACCTTGTCACCTTGCCCTGCCATAAAAATTTCCTTCATGCCTTTGGCTTGGGTCTTCTTCTTCTGTTTTTCTCCTTAAAGTGACCAATAGAAGTATTCCTGAGAATCTTTCCAAGTTGTGCTGCTACATAACAGGGTCCTTGAGCTCAGACAACTAGAGCTCAGAAGAAGGTGAGCAGTCATGCACCTGGGCAGATTTATGAGTAGAGAGCCCTTTAAGCAAAACTGCGTGTAGTGGACTAGCCCTCCCATAGGCATCCCTGGCTAGAGGTCACCCTGGGAAAGTGCTCAGCGGGATCTGCTCTGCCTCAGCCTTGTGACACACTGAGCTGCCTAAGAGAAGGAAACTAACGCTAAACACTTCTAATTCGAATCCCTGGATCTCATTGAGAAAACTGAGGCCCAGGGAGAGAAGAGATTTGCCCAAGGCCGCATAGCTTTTAAGGACTGAGGCTCTGCCCACCTATGCACGTTGCCCATTGCCCACCTGTACTGCCACAGCTCTAGTGGATGGGGGATTTTCTAGGTGGTTGAGGAAGGTTTAAATGTCCTGTGGTCAAGGTCCTAGCAAAATGTCACTCTCCCCACTGGTCTGTGGCTGGAGTCCTCTAAATGCCAGGAAAGCGAGAGCTGCCCTCTCTTCAGCAACCCAGAAACGGCTCCAGCTAAGTACGAATCACACCCCAGTGAGAAAACTGAGACTCTGAGCACTTTCCAGTGGCCAAGAGCAAGATGGGCATGTCAGGGCAATGCCCTAAGTGTCCAGCTCCCTGGCCCAGGGTCCACACCAGCCAGTCTCCATACAAACAAGCAACCAGAATCCCACATCTCCCAGCACACTGAGCTCAGCCTTCTTCCTGCTTCTGGGCTCCTTCTTGGTGTTCCACCTACCCCAGGACCCCATCAAGGTCACCTGCTCCAGGAAGACCCCCAGGCATGGGAGAGAAGATGCTCAGGAGCAGCTGAGTCAGACTTGGCTTCTTAGAGTAATCCAGTTTCATCATCAGTGGGAGTGAAGGTAGCCTTCCATCTCCTGGGCCACAAGCTCCTCAAACCTCAGGTATCATCAGACTAGCTGCAAGGGGGCTGCCCCACAGGTCTTGAAGACTCTGGGAGGATCTGAGAGAAGGATGCCTGAATTGTTGGTGCAGACCACCCTGAACATCTAGCTGGGCAGGCCCAAGAGGGTACTTAGTGTAAGCCCATGGCCTTGGCAGATGCACAAGGAGACCAATACTTTGTATATTGGCAGGGTATAAGAACATGTTTTGGAAACATAAGTACCTTCCAGGCTATAGATTTGTGGGAAAGAGGGAATAATTAAAAATGACTACAAGGTCAAAGTTAGCTCCAACCACCTGCTGCCCTAACTATCTGATACTTGGGTGGTTTATACCAGTGGTCAGCTGGGAGCGTCCCAACAAGAGAGGCAGAGCTGTGCAGATTGATGAGGGGGATGCTTGGCTGGGGCTCTGGACCTGCATTCCAACATGGGAGCAGCTCTAGGCCTTGATGTTTGGGGGTGAGGGGGAGACATGACAACCCAAGGTTTCTACCACTCTCTGGATTTGACCCTGAAGCATGACTCCGTGAGGGCTAGGACTACCTGTCTTGTTCACAGAACCCCTACCAAGCCCATAGGTTAATCTTTGAAAACAAAGAGTTCTGGGAATGGAGAGAGGAATATCTCTGCCTGGATCTATTCCTACAAGAGAAGAAAATGTTGGGGTTCAGGGAGATAATACTGAGAGTGCCAGGACATTCCCAGGGCATGGCTGATACACATCCAATTACACCAGCCACCCAGTTATTAAGAAGCAGTTATGTGACCATAAGCAAATCTTCCTGTACTTCCATTCCTTAGTAAATATCAGCAGCACTTATTCTATCATCCGGATAAAAGTGACACAATAGATGGGAAAGTGTGAGGATGGGAAAGGGTGGACGCACTGTTCAAATCTCAGTCTATCATTGTAAGACCTGTGAATAACAGAAACGTCAAGATGAATCTGTGTGCTTGGGAAGCAGAGTGGCCACAGCTGTGAGGCCCGAGAGAGCAGGCCTGTCCCCTGCGGGCTCTGACTCAGTTGAAGCGGGGCTGGTGCTAGGGCTCTGTCTCTGTACTGATGGAGTTTCAGGGAGAGGGCAGGGCTGGCTCCCGGGAGAGAAGCTGGAGCAGCCCAAGGGTCAGGAGCCCCCCAAACTGTTCCAGCCCTTCATCAGGCTCTGTCCAGCCTCCCAGAGAAGCATGAACCTCCCTAGTAGGATACTAACCTGGCACTGCTTGCCTCCATCATCACAGGGAAACCAAGCCAAAGGAAAAGGGAGGAGTGTGTGTGTGTGCACACATGCACATACACACATACACACACACACACAGGTACAAGAATGACATTCTATGCCCTGTTCTCCCAATGTATACACCACACACACACACACACACACACACACACACTCCCTGTTTTCCCTCTTTTTAGGAAATGGGTAATTTCAAGGATGGATCTCAGACTATACTCCCTCCCTCATTCTTCCCTCTCAGTCAGCCCCTGAATTCTTCCACCCACTGTGGCTTTCCTAAAGTTGGGACAAAAATGGGACCCCTACACACAACCCGGACTGATAGGAAGCAGAAGGGGATGCCTCCCCTCCTTGCCCACACCTGGGCAATCACAAGGCTGCCATAACCGAGAGCCTTGTCCTCCTCCTCAGCCTCCTGTCCTTGAGTGCTGACCCACCCCTGCTTCTCCTGCTCCTGAGTGGGTCCTCCTGCCAACCCTGAGCACTGTTTCCTGACAAGTCCCCTGCACACAGCTCTGTGCCCTGTCTGAGAAGCTGAGGCAGCTCAGAGTTTCCAGAGTTGGTCAAGGTGGAAGGAAGACCCACCTGTAGCCCAGAAATTCTATCAGGACATAGGTGTGACTCAAGAAACTGGGGAAAGACAAAAGCCTGTCACATGGTTGGACTGCTATAGCATTGCCACGCTGGTCTCACCCTGGAGTCTGAGAGGATGGCAAAGAGCCATGGCTTGGTGACTGTCGTGGGCTTGGCTGAAACATGGACAGACAATGGGCTCAGAAGGGAAGGCTCCTGGTACTCCTGACTCACCGATGCCTGGTCCTCAAGTCACAATTGCTCAGCTGGGAAAGCTCCGGCGCCTGTCAGCCTCCATCCCTTCCTTCAGGCAAGGGAACTGGCTGGGTTACCTGTGCACTGGCTCCACCTCAGAAGCTACCTTGGACATCACCCAAGGTGATGCTGCCCCTCTATGGGACTGTTCTCCACAGTCATTTCTGCCACAGAGGCAGGAGCTGCTGTTTTTTTTGTGTGTGTGCGTCATTAACAGATAGATGACAGTCATCATAGCCATCTTGCAAATGGAGAAGTGAAGGCAGAGAACTGTTAATTGATTTAGATTCATTAGAAATCCGCGGTATGATCCCTGCTGTGCTGCCTCCCCCATCAAGGACTCTTATCCTTTCTGGGAGCAGCTGGCATGCGTATCCATGACCTCAGGGCTGAAAGGAGGCTGGCCATGTGGAGGTCAGGAGGAGGTGGGGCATGTCAGGGTGTCCAGCCTGAGCCTGGTTGGCTGGATCTGCTGAGCAGGTTTGGGAGCCACACCAGCACCTCCTCTCCTGCTGCTGTGGGCCTGCTGCCTCAGAAGCCTACTCTGGGTCATCCTGGAGGCCTGAGTCTCTCTCGGGCCAGACAGTGTGGCTCCTGCTGCCAGGCTCCAAGGCAGAGGGTAGGGTCCTTGTCTGGAGCTTGCTGGCATGGGTTCTGCCCCACAGGCAGGTTCACAGGGGATGTGCTGCAGGGGAGGGAAGACAGGACAGAACTGAACAGAGCTTGCAAGGCCCTTCTCATCACTGATCATAAATCCTGATTTCTGGAAGACTGTTAGTCCTCAGAAGGGATCAGCTGTCCTCAGGAGCCTTTGCCCAGCATCTTCTCTATCCCTAGCCACCAAGATGTGTTCAACGGCAGAGGATTGGGGATTGGAGTTATGAGGAAGAGGGAAGAAGATGCTAGTTACATCTGGTCTATAGTAGTCTCTACAGTGGAGAATTGGTGGTTTCCCCTGACTGGCTGAGACAGAGCCTCCTTGCCTGGGAGGCACATCTGGGGAGCAGCCAGCCAGCCTGGAGCCCTGCTGTGGTCCCAGAGACCATGCAGGGGCAGTGGGGTTGCTTTCAGCCACTCTGGGAGCAAGCTCCTCCATAGCTCCTTCCCAAGGGGCAGGGTCTGGCTTTCTCTGCCACACCCCCACACGCTGGCCTCGGAACACACATATCTTTGTTAATTTATGGGAACAATAAGGCTCCTCAGGGACCACCACTCCCAGCCAAACAGTCCTGCCCACACCCAGCTGTTTATCTCAGCTGCTGTGGAAAGAAAAGCAGGGCTCCCCGCCCCCATGCAACCAGGGCAAGGCCCCAACGCTGCCACACACATGCCATACATATGCAGTCTCTCTCGGTTCACTGTGAAAACAAATGCCAGGGCCTGGAGATGGCTGGACAACAGAGCCGTGAGGACAGAAGCTGGAAGAGGCCTGGTGTGGAGAGCTCTCTATTGAACACAGAGTCCTGCCTCTGCCCGGCTCTCCCACCCACTCCCAGGGCCTCACTGTCCCCCGTTCCTCAGCCTTGGGCCCCAGCGCAGATCCACTCCGAGGTCCTCCTTAGCCACCGGTCATCACAGGGGACAGGTGCCTCCATGCTGCCCGCTCCAGGGCCTCGAGTTACTCCACGGAGAGCCCTGCCCTGCAGGCCTCTTGGCCCAGGCTTGCTCTGGCTTTCCCCGCAGGAAGTGCCTGCTCCAGCCTCAGCCCCTCCTCACGGCTCCAGCTCCCGGGAGAGGCGGGAGAGTTCACGCTGGTTGTCGATGACCTTCAGCTGCTGGACATAAGCCCAGGTGCTGGCTGGACTCCGGGTGCTCAGGGACTGCTCCGAGCCTGGTAGGGGGAGAGCTGTCAGGGAGGTACCACTGCCACTTCACAGAACCCACCCTGAACCCCTCCACGGAGCTTTCCTGCCTCCACCACCACCTGCCAGAACTCGTCACCAGTGCCCAGGACTGCCAACCCTGCACACACCCCCCACAGATTTGGAGGACAAACTAACACTACAGCTAAGAGTACAGTCTGAAGAAAACAGATTAAAGGTTTCATACAGCATAATACCTCTTTACTAAGTTCAATGAGAACTAAAACTAAAAAAGATTTTGTCATTTTATACACACACACATACATATTTGATTTCAAAGGTGTGTATATGAGAGAGAGATAAAGCTATTCTGAAAAACAATGAATGACTTAAAATTCAGGATAGAGGTTACCTTGAGTGGGGAGAGGCAAGAGGACGGGGTATGTAAGTCATCGTTGATGTTCTCATACTTGACTTGGGCCCAGAGTAAATGTATACATAAGACAAGGGGCAAGGATGGCACTGTTGTATGGACCATGGGTTATGATTGACCCCACTTAATGCAACTAGGGTCCAATCAAACAGATGCAGGCTGGAGTCAAGGGCTTGGGTCCAGCTCCATCACCCCCACTCTGTCCTTCAGCAAGCTGTTTCAATGCTCCAGCTGTTTCCTCATGTTTAAGTTGGGACAACAGCATCACCTGTCTTGCGGATGTTGTGAAGAGGTCCCCATATCAGGAATACAAAGGCTTGGCTCTGTCCTGGCACATGGCCAGTGCCCAGAGAATGTCCGCCATGCTAACTATGGTCAGCGTTCACCCCTGCCCCACCCTTACATGTGGAAATCCTCGATGCCTGGCTGTCCTCGTGAAAGTGGGACACTCGGCTTCTGAGTGGTGAGAGAGGCACTGGGTGGGGAGAGAGGTAGGAGTCAGGGAGATGGGCCATGCCAGAGCCTTACAGGGGACACGAGGCGGGGAGGGGTCCCGCCCAGGGGAACCAGCCCTCTCACCGGTGCTGTGGCTTCGGCAGTGGTGCAGCATCCTCACAGCTCTGGCCATCATTCGCTGTGGGCAACACAAGGGCATGAGGTCAGGCTGCAGGATGGCAGCCCATCTTGCCCATGGGGAAGCTAGGAATCTGAGCTCCCTTGAACTGGGTGCTCCTTGGGACTAGTGGGTGGTAAGAGATGGGGTCTTGGCTGCTTCACCCTGGTACACCAGAGAAGGGACCGGGCAGAGGATGCAAGACAGCTCAGGAAGGACGTAGAGAGAGGGGACTGGAAAAGGCTCTTGTATGTTTGAGGCTGATCCCTAGCAGCCCCCAATGGAGAGCAGGCCCCCCAGTGGGCTGTGGAGTGAGGCAGGGGCTACTTAACAGGCATTCATATTGCTATTATTAATAACAAGTCTCAGGCACCTCCCATGCTGCCCCTTCCTGGACCATCATCATACACGCCAATCACGCCAGTGGCAGATGCTCCTTCTGCCTGAACTCACCATCTTCTCAAAGTTGATGAGATTCTCCACTAGTGTATGGTTTCCCTCGTGGATGAAGGTCATGTCTGCAAAGGGATGGTTTTGCTTGAAGGTCCCCAGACTCCGTTCCCCTCCTGTAGCCCAGGAAAGGGGAAGGGATAATAACGGGGAACCTGGCCTGTTCCACCCACATGGGCCTTTGCTTCTAGCTCCTCTCCAATCTGCAGCTATTCCCAGGTTCCAGGGCCTCAGATCATGGCCCCCCAGCATCACCCTATTTGCCTTTCCATCTTAACTCTTCTTCTGCCTGAGAGCTCCTAACTCATGCTCCCTGGGGCATCAACACAAAAGTGCTGGAAGGTCCCTGATGACTCAGGCATGAGGAGCTGGCCCCCTTACCTTTGAGGAGAAGGGGCATGAAGGGGATGACGGGAGGGGAGAGCTTGGTGAGGGCCAGTCGATACACTCGGTGGTTCCACGAGGGGTCCTGATGCGGGGGAAGCCATAGAGAGAGTCCTGCACACCACAAGCCACCACAACTCCCAACAACAAAACATCCCACCCCACCCAGAAGGGGCAGAACTCCCATCCACATGGCCACAGCAAGAGGCTCCATGTGCAGCTTCTCCTTGGACCCAGATGCCACTGAGTGGCACTCTGTGGCAGGCTGGAGAGGGCCCGAGGCCACTAACACTGCCAGTCTGCATGCATGTGGCTTCCCAGTCTCCCACTGGTCCCCAAGGAACTTCATGGCTATTAGTCACAGGGCCCTGAGGGTTCTGGGAAACCTCTGTGTGTCTCTCTGGTGAGTAAATTCCTCTAAACCTCTTGAGCCCCATGAGGTGAATTGTTTTCTCAAGAGCTCTAGGGCTATGCCAATACTACCTTGGCTCCATTCTTTCCTGAACACTTCAAAACCCTCAAAAATTCCAGGAGGTGGAGAGTTCAGCCTCTCAATTTATTCCTTACCCTATCCTTGAGGGTCCTGCAGGGGCCTCTGCCCAGGCCTGGCTCACAGAGGGCATTTAGCACCAGGCCCACTTCCTGGGTCTTTAAACAAAAGACCTGGAGCCCAATGTCTCCCTGACACTCCCTAGCAATTAAGACCCAGGCCACCCCATATGCCCTGTCCTGGTCTCATATCCTACATATATCGAGTGGTATGGCAAAGCACACAAACTCAACAACAACACTACACACCCCATCCCTAGCCATCTCCCCAGACTCACACACCAGGGGGAACTAGGCCCTAGGTCAGCATTAGGAACTCCGAAAGTGACCGAAGACAGGCAGAAAGGCTACTGAGAAGCCGACCAGGGTTTCTGAGGGAAGGAACAGAGCCCAGCACTCACCAGCAGCCTCTCCAGGGCTGAGTATAACTTCCGGACTTTGTGGGGCAGTCGCTGTGGAGGAGAAATGGGTGAGCTGCCACCATGGGATGGGACTCCAAAAGTGAGATCCCCACCCCCAATCAGGACTCCCAGGATAGGAAGGAGGCCTGACCTCAGGACAGGGATCCTCCAGGGGTACCTACCTCCCAGGTGTGGGCCAGGCGACTGATGGCTGAGTTGCTAAGGCCAAACATGATGGCAAAGAAGGAATTGAGATTCTTTTGCTCCTTGAGGCTGTGAACAGAAGACCCAGAGACCTTCAGGGCAATCAGCACACCCACAAGGCCCCCAAACAACAGCCAGGCCTGGGCCCAGGACCAAGCAGGCCAGCACTGCCTCTGCAGTGGGGTGGGAGGCAGAGCCTTTGGGGGACCCAGGAATAGAAGGGATGACAGATTTGGCAACACAGTGAGCAGGAAGGGGGCGTTTAAGAAACGGGGGCCTCAGGGCTCCGACCACACACCCAACAGACACTCACTGAGCCGCGAGCTTGATAAACTTCCTGAGCAGCTGGGTCCTCAGGCCGGGCACAGGGCAGAGACAGAGCTCCGTAGCCACCCAGTACTGCAGCTCATTGAAGCGGCGCATGAAGCGCTCCAGGTTGGCAGTGGTGACATCCCGCAGATGCTGGGGGCCCAGTACATAGTGGATCAGCTCCACCTGGATGGGACAGAGAAGAGGTTCAGCGTATGCCAGGCCGGGCACCCCGCCACAACCTCTCCTCCCTGCAGCTCTGCCTCCTGCACCTGGTGGATACTGTTGAAGAGGTTCCAGTCGTGGTCTGTCAGCTGGCCTGCCAGGTCCTTGGCGCTCACTGACTCCAGCCCCTCAGCAGAGCCCACAGTGGGTCCCAGCTGCTCTGGGTGTGGGGTCTGCAGGTAGGAGAGTGCTCAGGGGGTGCCTGAGGAATCCAGGGAGAGGGGTGGGGTGGGGAGAGAGGGCTTGGGGCAAAGACTCTGTGGCTATGTTCAGAAGGACTGTGGGACAGGCAGGGGACGGCAGGAAGTGGAGGGGGCTCTTTGGGATTTAGTAGCTACCTAAGGGGGCTTCCCAAGGAGGCATCTTTCTGTCATTTTCCCCAATGCTGCAGCCCCTCTCTGTGGAGTTCCTGTTCCCAAGGGGTGCCCTGATTACGGCAGGTTCTCTTTCTCCTTGGGAGCTGCTCCCATTCAGCATTATCATCCCCTCAATATTTGGAATCTTCCCATGAGCTGAAGCCCCCCTCCTTTCTCTTTTCCCTGAAGACCTAACAGCAACCAGAGCTAGACCTCTCCTTCTTTTCCCTAAGGCCCTCCCACAGAACCCACCCCTTCCACCCCCAAAACAGAGTTCCTCCCTAGGCTCTGGCTCCTTGCCTGGTCCCTACCAGCTCATGCACTTCCTGTGGGTCGACAACAAAGAGCCGCTCGTTGAGCCCCAGGGATGTGGCCACACCACGGGCATCTGGCTGCAGGCCAATGGCATCTGCAAAGACAGCAGAGGCTGCACTGAGTGGGGGCAGAGAGGGAGGCCCCGCAGAAGCCTGCTGGGGAGCTTCCTTCTCCCCATAGTGGCTAAAGCAGGGCATGTTGTTAATGCACAGGTGCACGTGCCTTCTCTCCACACCACCCCTGGCAGAACGCCCAAGGAGGCAACAAAGAGACTCGTCCAGACAGGCTGACCTTGGGCAAGGTTTCAACTTCCCTGGGCCTCAGTTTCCTCCTCTGTAAAATGGAGACAATAAGACTTGCCAAGTCAGATGAGTTGACTTATGTAAATATGGCTGTAAGTAGGTGATGCAGATAAAAATCCCGTTGAAAATTGGGAAATATCATATATGTCTTGGTGTTAATTTTTTTATTACTTTTATTTATTTATCTATTTTTTAAAATATTTTATTTACATTTTAGTTTTCGGCGAACACAACATCTTTGTATGTGGTGCTGAGGATCGAATCCGGGCCGCACGCATGCCAGGCAAGCGCGTTACTGCTTGAGCCACATCCCCAGCCCTTATTTATCTATTTATTTATTTATTTATTTATATGCAGTGCTAAGGATTGAACTCAGTGCCCCACACATGCTAGGCAAGCACTCCGCTGCTGAGCTGCACTACTGGCCCTTGGCCTTGATTTTATCAGCTCCTGGTGGACTGGGACTGTATTTTTAGTCATGTTTGAGTCTTCAGTCCCTAGACCACCAAAGTAAAGAAGACTTTGTGTACAAGGAAAACATTAGCTCTTATATTTATTGTTCTCATCTGTTTTACATTTCTTTTTGTGTATAGCTTTATAATTACATAATATTGATGAGATGATAAGTACATATAATTTATAAACAAATATATACTCAATGGGAGATTGGTTATAAAATGTTGATTACTGACATGGGGGTCAATCAGTGGTCTAAAATGTGTCTGGCACATAGTAGGGTCTCAATAAATGTGGACTTTGGGAAATTGCAACTCACCAGGTGGCCACCAGAGGGCAGTGCTTCCCATAGCAGAGCACACAGGTGACCTCATTGGTCTTTCCTCACTTCCTAAAGGGAGAAGGCTTTTCTCATCTCCACCCCTTACCATTATTCCCTGACTGCCCCAATTCCTATCACCCTGGACTCTAGCTGTCTGTTCTGGGATGCACCTTTCACAGAGAACAGTGTTTTTCAATGTCCCAAGTTCTCCAATGGCAGGTCACGGTAATCCTCATGCCACCAGAGACTAGATACCGACTTTGCCAGGCCCCCTGCTGCTTGCTCCACACACATTACCTTTAGTTTAATACCCACCACAATACCAATTGATAGGTACGATAATAGTGCCCATTTGACAGACAAGAAAATGGAGGTTCAGAGAGGTGAAGCAACTTGCCCAGTTAGCAGTTGATCTGGGATTCCAACCCAGACATGGCATTGGGCCTACACTCTCAACCATCCAGCTGATCTATCTTATCTGCCCATGGTACCTCTGACTCCATTGCTGACCCTCAAGAATATTTGCTGAATGTCTAAATGAACGAGGACTACCTAAGTCCAAAGGCCAGCTACCTTCTCACTGTAGAGCTTGGGAGAAACCACTGAGTTCCCTTGACCTTCAGTTTCCCTGTCTAAATATAGGATAAGGACCTATGTCACAGGCTTGTTATTAGGAGTAAATGAATAAATACATGAGAATGAGAACACTAGCAGCCAATACTCATGTGGTGCTGACAGTATGCCACAGACCATCCTGAACACATTACAGATGAGCTCATTTGATCCTCACAGTTCCTCTAGGAGGCAAGAACTCTTATTATCCCCATTTACAGATGATGAGATTGATCACAGAGAGTTTAAGTGGCCTGCTCCAGGACACGCCGCTAGTGAGCTGAAGGTCTAGTATCAGTCACGGGCAGCGGGCTCCAGAGTTCCTGCTCCTGAGCATTCCGTGCAAAGCAGAGAAGAGGGGAAAGAGAGGAGATGAACCTCTGGAAATGCTGCCCGTCACTAACCCTGACGGCGATGGTAAGATGATGATCTTAATTCGGAAAATCTGGACGTAGATCTGAGGGGGACCCTCCCTTGAGGTCCCTCCAGAGACGACTCACCACCTGCAGAATTGACCTTCACCAGCACCTGCCCCTTGGTCCAGCCGTCCTTCTGGGCCAATGCTGCCATCACCTCTCTCACAGAGGCTGTCACAGGTAGCTGCAGGGTCAGCACGGAATGGTCCGGGCGGCAAATGTCATAGGGGACTGGAGAGGAGGATGGGGCTGAGCTGTGGGAGAGGTCGCCTCATCCCCTGCCCCAGGAGGGAGAAGGCAGCAATTGCCTCGGAGGGAGGGACCCCGAGGGGTGGGGAAGGGCGAGTGATGGAGAACGTGGTGGGTAAGCTGAGTGCAGCCAGGTGTGGAGTCCAGGAGGCAGATGTGCCAGGCAGCCTGGAACCCCCTCAACCCAGGCACCCTGAGGTCGAGGAGAAGGGAGGCAGAGACACTAGGGGCAGATTCAGGCTCAGATCACCAACCTTTGTCTCCAGCTCGAATAGCACAGTTGCTACTGGGGAGCGGCTCTTCCTGGCTGGGGAGCCAAGCAGGCATATTCCGGGCCTGGGAGAAACAGAAAGTAAGGCTTGGAGGACACTAGGAAAGAGTGGCGGGGAGGGGACAGCGAAGGGTGTCACTGGGAGCAGGAATGACAACACATACCACCAGAGGGGTCTGCTTGTCACATTAACCTGAGCCCAGATAAGGCACTGGGGCTCCAGAGAAGAGACAAAACAGGTCTCAGGGTGGACATGTGTGTGCCTCACACACTGTAAGTTCTTCCCTCTCTGGCAAATAGGTCAGACTGGGCTGGGGCTGGGGCTCAGTGGTGGAGTGCTTGCCTAGCATGTGTAAGGCCCTGAGTTCGATCCTCAGCACCACATAAAAAATTAAATAAAGTTATCGTGTTCATCTACAACTAAAAATATTTTTTTTAATGTAGCTCTAGAGCTTTTCCAAGATGGAAAGACCTCAGCAATTGACCCTACTTTCTCTTCCTTTCCCTTCTTCAGCTGCCATCTGCCATGAACGAGGCATTGTTCTAAGTATTCTCAACAGTCCTTTAACAAAAGCATTATTCTCATTTTACGGATGAGACAACTGAGGCTCAGAGGGGTTAAGTAACATGTCCAAGGCTACACATCTGCTACAGTGGCAGAGTTGGAATCCTAACTTGCCCCTTCCTCCCTCTGTGCTCTCATCTCCTGTCAAGCCCCATAGCAGGCCCACCGTGGGCTGCTACTAGTATGGAACTTCTGCTGATGGAGCTTCCCTGTCATGGGTTCCTTTTCCCACCCCTGACTGTTTTTCCCAACTCTGGCACTAACTCTTTCTCCTCCCAGCTCCAAGGTTCAGAATTCTGTCCACTGCTCTTCCCTGGACTTCCTCCCAGCCCCTTATGCCTGCTGCACATGGATGACACAACACGCTGCCACCAGGGCTGGACTCTCCCGGGCCCTGGTCTGGAAACCTCCCATACTGCTCCACAACCATGATCCGTTGCCCCAACCTCACACCCCCCCCCCCCGCATGGCATCCCCCCACCAGCCTTCCAGACCACGGCCCCCTGGCCACTCTCCTGGGTCCCAGGCTGCTCCCCAGCCATGAGACCAAGCTGACTCCAGCTCCAGCTGCCCAGGCCTCACTCTGGCCTACCATGATGGCCCAGCTATTCTCCTCCCAGCTCACCTCTTGGGTCCCTCCATCCCTCCTGCTCCAATCTGCCTGACCAGGGCAAGCTTAAGCTCCTAACTGGCTTAGATGACCATCACTTCTGCTGGGAAAGCCCAGGTTATTCAGCTGACCTATTCAATCGCAAAGTAGATCTTGTCAATCCTTGGCTCCTACCCCTCTGTCATCTGCATTGATCCTAGGACAAAGACCACGCCCATTACCATGGCCCAAGGAGTCCCTCAGGCTCCGGCTTCTGCTTCTCCAGCCTCCCCTGCTGTCCCCGCTCTGTCTCCCTCCTCCAGGGCCACCTTGGGTCCTCTTTCTCCTCAACCCTCAGCCTCTGCAGCTCTCAGCTTCAAGGGTCACTTCTCCAAGGACCCTTTCCCTAATCCTGGGCACTCATTCAGCTCTTCCCCATCTCTGCTTTCAGAGACTTCAGTCTTTGTCTTTATACATCATGAGGTTGTTTCTCGGTTCTGCCCTCACCCGACTGTGAGCCCCGGGGCCAACACCACATCAATGGCAGCTAGCACAGTGCCTGGTGCTGGGAGTGTGAGGCAGTTCCTAAATGTCAGCCAGGAGTCGGGCAGAGCATGAACACAGAGGAAGCAGAGGCAGAGACCCCAATCATGAGGCTGACGTTCCCCTGGGATGTGATAAGTTAACCGGCAACAGGTAAGTAACAAACAAAGTGATTGGACAAGGTAGTGTGCCTCAAAGAAAATCATACAGGACACCTTGCAGGGCACAGGAAAGGGAAGGAGTGCTCTGGGCAGGGAAATGGGAGGGGCCCTCTCGGTGAACTCAACGTTTTTGGCTGAGATTTGAAAGAGAAGGATCTACTTAGGTCAAAGAACGTTCCATGCAGGGGAGTATACAAAGGCCCTGAGGTGAGACCAAGGGAAGAGGAGGCAGGCCAACAGGCATGGTGGTGCACGCCTGTAATCCCAGTGACTCAGAAGGCTGAGGCAGGAGGATCACAAGTTTGAGACTAGCCTCAGCAATTGAGTGAGGCCCTAAGTAACTTAGTAAGACTCTGGCTCAAAATAAAAAAAAAAAAAATATATATATATATATATATATATATATATATTTTAAAAAGGGCTGGGGATAGAACTCAGAGGTAAAGTGTGACTGGGTTCAATCCCCAGTAAACACCGCCCCCCCCCAAAAAAAAGAGAAGGAGGCAGAAGAAGCCTGAAGCAAGCAGGTGGGCGGGACAGATGAGATGGGGCAGGCGAGGCGAGGCAACCTTTCCAGCCCTTTTCCCACTACTCTTCATCAACATCTCAGCTCCAGTCACATTGTATGCCCCTCTGCTCCCCCATCCACAGTGAGAATGACATTGACCACCTCTTCTTCCTGGGGAGGGAGTGTCAGCTTCCTCTGGGCTCCTGTATAGCTACCAGGAACCTTAGGGCCTCAGGGGCAAACTCAGCCATCACATTGCATCTCCCGGCTCACCACGAGCATGAATAATCTCTCAAAGGAAAAAAAAAGCCCCTCAGAGCCCAGCGTGATGGCACATGCCTGTAATTCCAGTGGCTCGGGAGGCTGAGGCAGGAGGAACATGAGTTCAAAGCCAGCCTCAGCAACTTAGCAAGGCCTTACGCATCTCAGAGAGATTCTGTCTCTAAATAAAAAATAAAAAAGGACTGGGAATGTGGCTCAGTGGTTAAGTGCCTCTGGGTTCAATCCCCAGTACCCTAAAAAAAAAAAAAGCCCCTCAGAGTGGTGGGGGGGTGCCTCCTTATAACTCAGTGTCTCCCCAGGGCCCAGCTTGGGTGTCACACACAGCAAGGGCCTCAGGAATGTCCATCACAGACTCAAGGGCTGATCTTTGGGTGGGGAACCCTCCCACATGGGCCCCTCCAGGTGAGGGAGCTAGATGGGCAGAGGGAAGAAGGAGGAGCCCTGCTGAGACTGGGCAGTTACCTTCATCATAGGAGAAGCGTTCCCACAACCATTTTCCAACCTGTGGAGAGAAAGAGAGAAGGAAGGTGAGAGAGAGGCAAGGCATTCCTGGGAACAGGGAGTCTTGCAGAGTCAGGAGCAGACGGCCCCAGGCTCTGGACTCCACCCCTCCCCCACCAGCAGCTCAGAGGGAAGTCTCTGTGAGTAGCCCAGAGTGGGTCAAAATGGGCTTGAAATCAGAACCCTGGATTCTGTGACTTTCCCAGGCCAGCTGGGGAGGAGCAAAACCAGAGGGAGACTCAGGCCCAGGGTTCCAGATGGAGCACTGTTTCAAGTGAACTCTCACCCATCCACCAACCCTAGCCATCCACGGGAACATCTGGGAAATTTGCCAGGTGGGGCTGGTGAGGCCGGGCACAGAGGGGTAATAAATGTGTACTGAATAGAGGAAGCGAGAACTACAGGTGCACGCTGGGCAGAAGGAGCAAATGAAGAATTGCATGTTGCTTGAGAACGGATGGTGAGCTGAACAGCAGAGTGACTGACAAGAACAACTAATTGAAGCTGGGCGCTGTAGCCTGTAATCCTAGCAGCTCAGGAGGCTGAGACAGGAGGATGGCAAGTTCAAAGCCAGCCTAGCCTCAGCCATGGAGAAGCACTTAGCAACTCAGTGAGACCCTGTCTCTAAACAAAATACAAAATAGGGCTGGGGATGTGGCTCAGTGGTTGAGTGCCCCTGAGTTCAATCCCTGGTACCAAATAAATAAATAAATAAAAATGAAAAAGGCTTGGGGATGTGGCTCAGTGGTTGAGTACCACTGGGTTCGATCCCCAGTATTTAAAAAAAAAAGAACAAGTAATTGAAGTTGGTGGTGCTGCCTAGACTTCAAAATCCAGGTGCTCGCCCGGAGTGTTCACTCCCAGTTCCCATTGCAATGCCAGGTACGAACAGGACAAAGTAAATTAAGTCAAAGGGCACCTGTGGTGTCGCCGCCTCTCTGGCCACTGCTCCCTCAGCAGGTTGATAAGTCGGGCGTCCCTGCTCACCAGGTCTGAGAGTTTCTGTAAAGAATCAAGATTCCCTAAGATGGCTGTAGCTGTGCCAACCCTGAGCAGCTTGGCCAGTCCTTGCCTCACGCCCAGGTACCTGGAGGAAGTTGGTGGCCACAGGGTCTGTGTGGAGCATGGGGCCATAGAGGGCCACCCACTGGCTGACTAGACGCAGAATCTGCTGCCTCTTATTGCAGATGTAAGTGCTGCGCTCCTGCTCGCTGCCTCCCGCAGGCTCTGCGGGCTCCACATGGAAGGTGGGCACCAGTCAAGGGAACCAGAACTGGCAGGCAGGACCACCCACCACACCTGAGGCAAAGGAGCGGCAGGATGCCCAGGGTCCACCCACAAGCTGGGCCTGGCATGAGGCTGGTGCTGGGGGTTCACCACAGCCAAGCTGATGGGGAGCTCATCCCTCAGCTCCACGTACCATCCCACCCTCGACACACATCACCCTGGGGCTGGAAGGATATTGGTGCAGGAGGGCAGCACAGAGCTGGGCGCTGGGCATGAAGACGCTGTGGGTCAGGAGGAAGTCACTGAGGAATGTCTCTGTTGGACAGGTAGGGGGACATGAGGAGCTTCAGAGGCCAAGTCCACTGATCACAGGTGTACGCACAGCTGGAGTCTCCCTTCCCCAAGTTCCAGCACTGGCAAGGTACCAGCAATGCCCAGTCCCTGAGACAGCACTCCCTGCCCAAGCCAAGAGCGTGGGGAAGAGGACTTCCTGCCAACTGGCTGTGTGGACCAATCCTGCTCCCAGTCAGGTCAGATGCTAGGTGCCTGGCCCCCTCCCAGGCTGCGCTGACCACCCAGTGAGTCAGAGAATAGGCAGGGTGTCTCCTGCCCTACCTGTTGGGTCATGAGCACTGGAATCCGGCCGCATGGCTTCTAAGAGAAGTTCTAGGATCTTCTCTGGGGTGCCAGACATCACTGTGTACCTAGCAGAAACAGCTCATCTATAGTGCTTTTGTGCCACTCCTCTCCATTCCCACACCCAGGACAGACATCAGTAGTAAATCATATGACTCTTCTTAATTTACCAACCCTGTCCCACCTTGGGATGCGGGTGAGGCTGATTCAGGGGCTACATCCTAGTTCCTTGATACTTCCCCACTCCCAGGGGCAGGAGGGCAGGGATATGACACAGGGAAAGGGGAGAAGCGTGGAGAGGGCACCACAGTGCTTCTGTTACCGGTTCCTGCCAGGGGTCGGGGGGCGAGAAGGGCCAGTGCCCTGAGAGGTTCTCTCCAACACCAACACTACTTTGCCGTGTTCTTCCAGTCTCATGGTCTTCGCTTCCACATCCTGGAAACAAGCCACATCTGGCATTTAACACAACCAGAGCTCCTCTCTGGACCCTCCCCACACCTCCTCCCTCCAGACCCTGAGCCCAGGAAGTTTCCACAAGGCTCCTCAGCTGCCCAGCCCCCAGCCTGAACCCCCTCCTCCACCCTTTTCCTATATGGACCCTGCTTCTCCATGGCACTGCCTTCCCTGGCACCCTAGTCTCCCACTTGTGCACCCACCACTCCCCTCCCTCCCACATCAAGCCGGAGGTCTCACTGAGCCCCTCAGCATGCCATGGGCATTCACCTTCTCACACACACCTGAGGTCCCCACTCCCAGTCACATATCCCAGCATCTCCCTGTAGGCTCTCTCTGGTCCCTACCCTTTGCCCCATACCACCTCCCTAGGCCTCTGTCACCTGCTTTCCCCACCCCCATATTGGCACCTTGACAATGCGGTTGAAATCCTGCTTGTCCACACGTAGGAAGTGACAGTTATTTTCTCTCAGGATGATGGTGGCCGCCCGGGGTGCATCATTTACCAGAGCCAACTGTCCAAAGTCATCTCCCTCATGCAGTGTGGTCACCAGTCCCTGTAGCCAGGTCTCAGTCACAGCCCACCCCACTCCCAGCCCTTGGGACAGACCCAGAAAGGAGACATGGGGAATCAGCAGCCTTGGGACTTGCAAAGGCACTGCCCACAGGACAGGAACCTAGGAATAGTCACAACCAGGATGCTGAGGTGGTCAGGAGGGAGGACTCACCTTGCCATGGGTCACCACGTTGACAGACCCCTTCCAGATAATGTACCATGAGGTGCCTTTGTCCCCCTGGCTGAACACTGACAGAGGCACAGATCAGACACAGCCCCTTCTGTCACCCACCACTCCTCCATGGCTCCCGCCCCCGTCCAGGCCCCTGTGCCCAGCCTGACTTACACACAGTCCCTGCCTTGCTATGTGGTTCAAAGAGCAGAACTGCTGCTAATTCCCGCTTCACCTATGAGTAGGGAGAAGAGGGTCAGTGGGGGAAAGCTCAGGTGGAGGGTCAGGCTCGGGGAGAGGCGAGTACTGGGTGACAAATGTGGCCAGGCCTCCACTCATCCCTGGGATACAGCAGGAGATACAGCAAGGAGAAGAAGTGACCAAGAGAGACGGGAGTATATTCAGACTGAAGGCTGGGGCCAGAAATTAGACCGAAAACCAAGCCACAGACAGAGGAGAGCAGGCTGTCTCCTGGCCAAGCAGTGGAAGTCACAGAAGAGGAGATTCTGGGGAAAGAGCTAGCCCAGCGGGACAGACTGGGGGAGGTGGACTGACCGAGTTGGAGAGGTGGGCCACAGCCTTGATGTGCAGGAGCTCCTCGAAGATGAGGTCCAACTCCTCATCTGTGCGCTGACCGGGGCTGCGGGCACAGGAGTGACAGGAACACAGGCTGAACTGTGGCCCGGGGCCAAGAAGGGAACCACCCCACCCAGCCAGCTTGCTTGCAGGGCCAGATGGCACCTCCGTCATGATCGTTATCAATAACGGGCTAACCTTTGCGGAGTGTGCCCCGGGTGCCGGACACTGTGCTAAGCACCTTACACGCGTGATTTCATTCTGTCCTCATAACAGCCCTGTGATGCGAATACTGTTATCCTCTCTTGACAGAAGAGGAAGCTGGCATCGAGAGGCCTGAGGCCACTTGGCTAGTAGCTGGTCAAGCTGGAATTTGAACCCCAACCTGCCTGCAGATATCAAAGCCCACCCTCCCTCAGCCATGACTGCGTCTCAGAGTGGGACGGGTCCTCCAGAGATCCTCTGGCATTGAGAGAGAAAGAAATAAGGTGGGGGGGGGGGGTGTCTCAAGATCAAACAGCAAATTCATGGCAGAATGTGGGTCAGAGCTCAGGTCTTCTGGGTTCCTTCCCTCAGAGATGAATCTGAGAGCCTTTGGGGTCTGAATGCAGTGTGGGTCCTGGCATTGGGGGGTGCAGGGCTCCCGACTTACGGCTTTCGAAGTGCTACAGTGAGCAGGGCATCGGGCCCCCGCTGGGAGAGCAGCGCCATTGCCTCCACCAACTCCTCCTCCATCTCATGAGCTCCTGTGGGCTCTGGCTCTGGCCCAGGGAACCGGTAAAACTGGGCATCTCGGTCCTGGAAGGTCCAGTCGTGTTTCACTGGGGAGCCGAGGCCCAAGCATGGAGAAGGAGAAGAAATTGAGGCCATGTAGGTATGAGATCCACACGTTGATGCCAGCCTCCTCTGTAATCCCCACTGGTGCCTGATCCCCAGGTCTGCCCTGTCCCCTTTCACCAGCCCTAGATGCCCTGTCCTAGGCTCAAGCTCACCATGGCAGAGGGCACCTTCATCCAGCAGCACCTGGCAGATGCCCACAGCCTGGCTCCGAGAGTGGACCCCAAGCCCCAGGGCCAAGACCCAGTCCACCAGCTCCCGACCAGAACAGCACTGCCTGTGGGAAGTGGAAGGAGACCAGAAAATCAGATGGAAGGCAGGGTGGGCGGAGGCTCTCCATCCAGACAGGCACCATTGGATGCCCAAGCCTAGTGCTTCTCCCAGAAGCAGGGGTAGGAATAAAGTAGGAAAAGAGAGAAAACAGCAGGCACCCCAGGGCCTCCACTCACCGGTAGAGCCTGAGATGATACTTTCGGTCACGGATGAGGGTTGGGCAGGTGGCCAGGAGATGTCGGTGCAGGTGCTTTCCAGCCCTGAGCACCCGCTCTGTGGAAGCCTTGGAGGGAGGAAGAGCATGACAGCCTCAGATCCTGAACCCCTCAGCTGGTGGCTCTCTTCCAGGTCTGCCCCTCCCCCTCTCATACCTGCTCCAGGCTCACACTGAAATCCAGGGACTCCTCGCTGTTGGTGAGCGGCGTCTGAGGGCAGTGGGGAGAGTCTGTGGGTCAGCGCAAGACTTTCAAACAGCTCTGGAGCCCCTCACTGCTCCCCTAGCTCCCGCTCTTGCCCAGTCCCCAGCCCCAGATGCATTCAGTTAGCCACTCATGCAACAATTAAACATTTGCTGCACACCTTGTGCACCAGGAATCACCTCTCCTCACACCGCCACCCCTATCACTAGACCCTTCTCTTTCTTGCACACCCAAGCACTGTGATCCTACTGATGAGACCCCAAAATCTCCATTCTGAGCTGGGTGTGGTGGTACACACCTATAATCCCAGCAGCTCAGAAGGCTGAGCCAAGAAGAAAACAAGTTCAAGACCAGTCTCAGCAACTTAGCTAGGCCCTTAGCAGCTTAGTGAGACCCTGTCTCAACAAAACAAAACAAAACAAACAAAAAAAAAAAAAACGATGCTATATAGGGGAAAGAGCAATAGAGCTGGAAGAGCATAAGGATGTGATATAAGAAGACATGAGACTGGACAGGACAGGAGCAGCTCAGGGGACCTAGGAACAAATTTTGAGCTGTAGCTGCAGGCTGATCTCAAGCCCTGGTTCTTTGCCCAACCACAGGATGGTAGGCAGGTTTTATGCTTTCTGTGGGCTTTGGTTCAGCATACTCATTAAAAACAGAAACCCCCAAGCCAAACTGTTGGATTCAAATTCCTACTCCTCCATTCACAGGTTGTGTTATCTTGAACAAGTGATTTACCCTCTCCCTGCCTCAGTTTCCTTATGTGTAAAGTCTATAAAGCACTAATATTACCAGTGTACAAGCCTTTGGAAGGACTACATGAGTTAATACATATTGAATGTTGAAGCCATTGTCCGGTATGTAGTTGTGTATACATGTTAGCTATTATTATTCATCTGTGAAGCACAGGGTGGGGCTGCTTGCTCGAAGGCTTCTGCAAGATGCTGCGAGTCCATAACCCTGTAAAAGCGAGTGCAGCCTTGGCAGTACACAGGACTGCTCAGAAAGATGGGGCTTATTGTAGACGCACTGGTTAACAAGGTTTCCCTGTCCTTGGTATCAGTTGAGCTCCCCAGACTCTAGATCCTGGATACCCTGGGATATCAGTCATGAAAGCCCCTCACAACCCTTCTTTTCCAGTCTCCTGAGAACGGGAGTTTGTAAACAGCTCTGGACAGGATGCTCTGCCCTCTATGAGCCCTCCCAAAGGCAGAGCACTTCACAGTTTACAAAATATATCCACCTCCTTGATGTCATTAGATCCTAGGTAACATAGGATCCGGGGTGAAATAGGCATAGCAGATATTATCTGTCCTGTGTGACTTACAGGGAAACAATGTCTTGAGGTAAAATGCCCTGTGTAACTGCCATGCAGGCTCAGGACCACCAGCCAGCCATGGATAAACCGAGTTCTACCCACAGTGCTCACATTCTTGGTCTCACTCCACCCACCACAGTGCCTGTTTCCTCTTCCCCACTCCCCCTTCCTCTCAGCAGCAACACCTCTCCTGCTTTCCCACCTGCACTCTGGGCCCTGGGAAAGACCTGGTCAGGGAGCTAGGACCTAAGCCCTCTCCCCTGAGCTGGCAGGTCCCTTGTCGCAGGCATCTTGCCACTGTGCCCAGGCAGAGGCCTGAGGTCTGGCATGCTTGGGTGCCTGGCGCAAAGCTGGGCGGAAGTCACTAGGTGTCCCAAGGGTATCCCTGCCCGGGTCATGGGGCCCAGTCCAGTGCCAGACACAGAGCCCTGGAGACTTAATGACAGGAAATGAGGAGGAGGAGGAGCCAGGAAAGGAGGAAGGGCAGGAATGCTACCCGGCCAGACCCCTGTGTCGGAACAAACAGTGCCTAAGTGCTGATGACTTCTTGTTGTTCATGTCAAAATGCCCAGGTCGTCCCAGTCCCTGCCCCAGCTCCCTTTGGTGCCCACAACCCAGGTTTCAGCACTGGCTCCTTCCTGGTATTATTCTGACTTAGGAGGGCACATTGCAGGGGGGCCATGTTCCAGGCCACGTGAGCAGGCTGGTCTTTCCTGTTCTACCCCAGGGGATGAGCACAATGGTCAGAAAATTCCCCTCCATGCCCGCATGCAGGGGCTCAGGACAGGATCTTAAGGCCTCTCTGTCATTTCACCAAGGAAAGCAGAAGCCCAGAGAGCTGAAGTAACTTACCAGAGGCACACAAGCACTTAGGAATAGAAGATTCTACTGATTGACTGCTCCCAATGCTGACCCTAGAAGTAGGTATTTGTATCCTATTTCACTGCTAGAGAAAAGGAGGCTCAGAGGTTGCATAACCTGCCCTACAGTTGGTAATCACACTTGGCTCCAAAGTTCTCAGCACTGCGCCCCACTGTCTCCTGTGACGCCTACCCCCAGCTTCCCCTGCTGTGTGGATACAGAGATAGCAGAAGTATTCTGCCCTCAGGAATGTTCCATGGGTAGGTAAGTTTGGAAAACATGGTGTTAAACAAAATTAGACAGCCTTGTTATGAGCTCCTCTATGCCCCGGGAATGTTCATGTGCATGGGAACCTCAGGGATGGGGCGAGGAGGGGCAGTGAGTGTCAAGTGTGTGTGCTCCTGAACCAGACATCTGAGTTCAAATTCTCCATCTTGCATTATTATCTGGTTGTGTGATCTTGTGCTGATTATTTAAACTCTCAGTGCTCTAGTTTCCTCATCTGTAAAATGGATTTGATAATAACAATACCCATCCCCTAAGGTAATTATGAGATCAAATGAGTTAATGATGTCAAGCATGCAGAGCAGTGCCCAGCACACAGTAACTGCTTAGTAAATGTTAAGTACAGTAACCTGACCAATAATTTCATGATGGGCACCTATTACCTGGACACAGTGCAAAAAATTAAAAAAAATAAAAACGCAGTTCTATGGCTGGCCCTGCACCTGATCGGATCACCCTGAGTGTCAGTTTAGTGGTTCTTAGTTGGAAAGAAGTGCAGGTCAAGGTCCTTGCCCTCCTCCTCCTCTCAGTCCTGAACAAGAAGGATTCATGGTGGAAGAGGAGGTGCTAGGTCCCCTGGCACTAACACAGTCGCCTACCCCACCCTCCCTCCCTGTCACTGAGTGTCAGAGCAGGGCTGGAGGGACAGGCACAGAGCCAGACAGCATGGGGACCTGTCAAACCAGTTCCCTTGGGCCATGGCTAAGGTCCCAGACCAGGCTGTGCATAGTGGCCAGGGAAAGAGTGCATGGGGCGGGGATGCCATGGAGGTCAGTGCTGGACTCAGCAACTGGAGAAAAGTACTGCGGGGCAGTATGAGCATGGAATCCACAGCTGGACTGCCAGAATACAGTGCCCAGCTCTGCCACTTAGCAGCTATGCAACCCTCCCCTGTCACTCAACCTCTCTGGGCCTCCATTTTCACATCTATAAAATGGGGACAATGACATTAGGACCCATTCCACAGGGCTGTTGTGAGCATCATTTGATATAATAAAGGTAAGGCTCGTAGTACCTAGGACATAAACACTACGTTACTATAAGCTACCACCATTATTTGCACAGGTTGGATGAAGTATGTTTTCTGTCTTAGACAAGAGGGCCACCTTCCCCCACGCAGTCACTCCTGGGCTTCCCTGAGCCTACGGAACCCACCAGAGGTCACCCTGATCTTGCCCTGCCCCCAGATATCAGATGAGATCTCATTTCCCCCTTATAATTTCCGAAGATGTTCTTCATCCCATTCTAGTGTCATCTTTGCCATAGTTGGTAAGTTCTTTCTGTATATAACCTCAAGTCCTCTTGTTGTTTTCATTTCTACTTGTCCTGGTTTAGAGACAGAAACAGCTGTCTTCAGACCTCTTCTTTGAGAGGTTGATGGATTTTCCCCTGGGCTTTGTGAGAGGTAGGCGTGTTCCAAATAATTCCCAGCCTTGTCCTGAAGCTGTAGTCTTAACCTCCTTCAACCAGTGTGTGCACACTCCCTGTGGGTACTTGTCCCCTCATGGGAGCCCTCCAAGAGCCAAAGGCATCATTGAGAGGTGCAGCTTTACAGGCACCCAGAGCCCCTTAAACCTGGGCACAATGGACTGAAACCACCCCATCCCCCGTCCCTAGGGATGGCCATCAGGAGAGGGTGAGCCTCTAACAATTTAAGCTCCCTCGAGTCACCAACTCCCACTACCCCCCACACCCACCTGGCATGGGAGAGGCCTTGATTCTGTGCCTTTGACCCCATTTACACTCCAGCAACCCTCACCCCCACCCTTCCGGCTTCCCCAGCAGGCCAGCCCTTCAATTCTGGGGCCTCAGGAGACAGTGTGGCGGCCTCCTCTGCTCCCTCCCAGACTTTGGATCCCAGGAGATCCTCCAGTGACCTCATTGTCCTGGTACCTGACCTTCCCCCTCCCATCCCCTACCTTGCCTCTACAAGCTGGGAAGGGGACAGGAAATGCACAAGTAATTATAGCCTGAGAGGGAAGGAGGGAGGGAGGGTTCCAGCCCACTGACTCCAAGCAGTAGCTGTTGCTGTGACGGAGAGCCAAGGGGTAGGGGAGCACGACCAATGGCCCCAGAGGCACCTATCAGGAAGTTCAGGGACAGAGGAGCTGGGGGAGAACTGGGATGGACACTCTCTCAATTCTGATTGCAAAGAGGACCCCCTCATCTTGAAAGGCCTTGGTTTTCTCAACTCAGCCTCATGTTTTGGTAAATAGAAATGGCACTTAGGCAAGGTAGGAGGAGGGAGAAGATGGTGGCGGTTCTCCATGAAGGGCCTTGCTGATAAGAGATGAGATCTCCCGGGTTTGTCACCCACTCCTGCTTCCCCTAGACCCCTTTACCTGGTACCATCCTCCCTGCCTACCCTGCCATACATACAAGTGGGAACATGCAGTGGTCACACAACTGACTCTCAGGTGAAGGGACGCTATTAAGCCTGGGTGGTTGGAGAAAGCTTCCAACTGAACAGACTCTACAGTCATTATCCAGCCCCCTTTTCTCCCTAGCACCCCATTTCCCTGCTCCTGGTCCCTCTTTCATTCTTTTAGCTCAAGAGATTTTTTTCCCACTGGCAAAAAGAACTTCAGGATCCTTGATTATCCATATTTCTTAGAATCCTCCTGAGTGCCCCCAAAGTCAGATGCCTGGCATTGTCCACATGATCCCAAGATCAAAAAGCAGAATCAGCCCAGTTCAATTGCTCACTAAAGGAGAATGTTGCCACGGTGACATGTCAAGAGCAGTAACCAAGCTTACTTCACCTCCCACTTGAGCCCGCCCCCATATTTCCCACCCCCACCTGGAGAGAACACACAAGCACCTACTCAATGCTTGGCACACACAGGTGACAGATATTTTATAAGCTTTTTTTCTCTTTCCCTGTGCCCCGGTGGGGGTACTTGAGCACCACAGGCACACAGATACACAGGGTGCCGCTGTGTGAGCCACCCACACACACTGCAGCCACACTTCTCCACTCTCCATCCACACCAGCTGCACCACACTGCACCCCCAGAGCAAGCTGGACCACCAGCAGCACCTGATATTACAGTACAGGCTCCCTCCAGTCCTGGTGACCTGGACAGGCAGAGGACACTCACCCATCGAAGCCCCTGGATGCGGCTGGGGCGCCGGTGCTCAAGCAGCAGCTGGTAGGAGCAGCTTCTGGGTCGATGCATCCTCTTCAGCACCATGTTGAGCAGTGTCCCCTCTGGCACCAAGTCAGGGAGGCCTCCCACTTGCGGTGCTCCCAGAGCCAGGTTATCCTCCACAGCCGGGCCCACCTGCCAGCGGCTCTCACCTGGCAAGCCCACCTGTGAGGGGGGGAGGAAGGTGGACAGCCATAGGCAGTGACTAGGGCAGCTGGATAGCCACACAACTGCCCCAGGCAGAAGAAACACTTCCTTAGAGTCCTCTGGACTGGTCAGGCGGAGGTGCTGCTCCCCTGCCAGGAGCCGGGGGAGGGACAGGAAGACCTTCACCGGAGCCTGCTGGTCTGGCGCACTTAGGGGTCTCCAGCTGGCTTACTGAGAAGACCAGGCCCTTCTTCTCAGTCTCTCTGGAATTCTGCCCCACCTCACTGCTCGTGCCCTTGCAGGAATCTCCACTCCTTCCAGCCCGAGGCTATAGGCTCATGGATCCCCCAGAATTGCAGCTTCGGCTCAGATCCTCCTCCCCATTTCCCTCCCCCTCCAAAACTCTCCCCCCTTAAACTCCCCACGGTGTTGGCTTCCTCTCCCGCCCACTCCTGCTCCTCCTCCCTGACCCTGACCCCACCTCACCCACCTTCATGTTCCTTCTCTAGATCGCACAGCCTTGCAGCCTCTAGCCGAGATTGGGGGATCCCGAGTCAGCCCCCCGTCAGTTCCACAGGGGTACCCTGGACGGGTGCCGGGTGCCGGCGTAAGTCCCAGGGGCAGTGAACAGGGCTAGTTCCGACCGGAACCGGCTCTGAGGACAGCAAAATGCAGGACTGGGTGCAGAGGCTCGTCTTGGGTGAGTAGAGGGTAGAGGGTGTGGGGGGAGCACCCCCCACACACACCCGGGCCCAGCGACTAGGAGCCCCGAGCCTCCGCCTTCGTCCCAGACGAAAGAGCCAGCTGGCACAGGGCGCTGAAGCGAGGCTGCCGCTGGCACTGGTCCGGGAGGGAGCTGTCACACCCCCTGCGCTGCCCGCCCCCTTCCCCTCCCTGGACTGGCCGAAGGGGTGGGGAGCAGCCGCTGGGCCTGACCGTAAGGGAGGGCGTAGGGGAAGGGGGCGGGCACTGGCGGGGGCGGGGTGGAGTCGGCACCCAGGGGTAAGTACAGTGGGCACCATCTGGAGCCCGGAGAAACCCCAGTGGGTAGGAAGGCTCTAGGGTGTGTGCAGGGGCAGCAGAGGCCGGGGTGTCGAGGTTAGGGCGGTGAGTAGCTGCACCGATCGCCACGTGGCCGGGAGGAGAAATGCAAACAAGGAAACCGAGGGAAGGGGGAGGGGGTGAGTCATTGCTGCCCCACCCGGGAGGGAAATCCGGGCTGGGGCCGCTTCCCGGCCGGGGGCGTCCTGCCTCCTGTTTCGGTTCAGGGTCTCTAGCATCCCCGGGGAGGGACTGGGCGACTTTCCCATGGGGAATCCCGCTACTGAGCTTCACACCGTTGTGTTCCCAGACACACGCAGCCGGAGCGGCGCGGGTAAGGAAATTGTGGCTGGAGAGGAAGGAGCGCGCTCCAGTTTTTCATGGATGCGTGGTGAGGGACAGAGTTAAGGCCCCAGTGGGGAGGTTGCGTTTCTGGCAGAGCTTTGTGGAAAGTGGGTTTAAGAGAGCCACGCCCCCCCCCCCCCCACCGCCGGCTTCCTTGTGGCAGGACAGGTGGAAGCAGAGACCTAGATTCCATCCTGCCAGACCGGCTGCGGACTAAGTACAGAAGTCCTCCACCTCTCCAGGCCTCAGTTTCCCCAGCCGCACAGATAGCCAAACGCCACCCTCTGTTGCACTCATGCTCTGGAGAGGACAGAAACTGTGACCCTGGGACAGCGACTTCCGTGGCGCCCCATAATTGTAATTGCTCAGGACGATAATAAGGGTTTAGAAGAAGGCTCACAACCCGCCCCCAGCTTTCTAGGACTTACTCCCTTTTTACCCCCTCTCAACTTCTTTCCCATTGCTGTTGAGCCTGTCGGTATTGGAGGAGAAACATGGCAGCAGGCAGATCCCCTCTGCTTTTGAATGCTGAGCTCCCATCCTCCACTGAAGATTATTTTCTTGAAACAGAGAGGGGAATTTTAATTGTAATTAAAATCCCAGTTTTAATGTGCATGTATATAAGTTTTTCCTCAGGAGCTTATTAAAATGCATGTTCCAACTCCCAAATTTAAATTCAGTTTTATTGGCATGAAATGGAAAATCTGTGTTTTGGACAAACATATGAGGTCATCTGCAGGGTCCACACTTTAAGAAACATTAGTAGAGTTTTTAATGCCCCTCCAGGGAGTGATGGAAGCCTGAAAATATCTCTCCACAGATCCAAATCAACCCAACTACCTGGAATTTGGATGAAGGAAGACTAGCTTGGATACTGGGAGTCTCAGGTAGGAATGGGGAAAAGAGTTGGGAAGGGAGGGGGTAAAGTAATGAAGTTTCAGGTTGCTGGTGACAAAGACCTGGACTAGAAGTTCTTGCAGGAGTTGCCTGAGATTGTCAATGGAGTCATAAAGTGTCCTATTCCCTATTTCTGCTGCCCCTGCTTTGGGCAAGTGGAAAAGATACCAGGGAAGTGAGGCAGGACACCTACTTACCTGTAGACCTTTCAGTAGAGCCACAAAAGCCAATCATGTCCCTTACAGTCTTCCCAAGTGCTTTCCCTAACACTATCGTATAAAGTAGATACTACTACCATCACCTCCTTACATATGGAAAAACTGAGGCTCAGAAATATTAAGTAACTTGTCGAGGTCACATGGCTAGTGAATGGTAGAGCTGAGGCTAGAAATCAGGTTGTCTGGTTATACTTAACCCCATGAGCTCTGTATGCACTCTATTCAATCTTCTAGACTTTACTGCCTAGGAGAGGATGCTAAAGAATGGTAAATGGAACGTGTGCATGGCAGGGAGGCCTGGCTGGGGACAAGCATCTGAAGAAAACCATTCAAATAGATAAAAATGAAACTGTTCCAAACCTACACACATACACACACACGCACACACACACACAGTCCTCTCTCCTGGGAGACTTAGAAGATGGCTTGAGTACTCAGGTGGCCTGGGGACACCATAGGGATTGAACCTCCCATTTGTGTCACTTTTCTTGCAGCAGGCAAGGCCCTCAGCCTCCTGCCAAGGCAGGTGATGGGGCAGGGCTTTCCTTCTCTGCATGAGGACTGGACAATGGAGTTATTGCTCAGTCGATATTTGATTGAGGCTGAGACCTGGAGAAAAGCAAGAGACTGGGAAATATGTCTGAGAAAGACATCCAAGTCAGATGGTAAATCATCTTGGGGACCATCATACCATGTCCTAGTGTAGCCTCCACCCTAAGCTGACTGTCATTAAATGTCTGGCAGGTGTGTTAGACAGAAAAGAAATAATAACACTAGTAACATTTGCCAGGCCCTGTTCTTGATACTTTCTATGCATTCACGGATTTAATTGTCACAACCAAATGTGATAGGTATTATTGTGATCCCAATTTACAGATGGGGAAGCTGAGCCTCAAAGAGATTAAATGACCTGCCCCATGGAAGTAATGGAGCAGTGAGTGATTCTAACCAAGTGGTTTTGAGTCTGTGTGCTTTACCACTTTATAGTGCTACTTCAGAAACATTCTGACAGCTCCTACAGAGAAAAGCCCACAAATGGATAATGTCTCCACGCCTGAGTGCACTAGCTCCACAGGTAGGAGATGAATAAGCAGATAGTGGAAGCTATACAACACGCCCCCCCCACACACACACACAGTTTGTCCATGCAGTGAGCTCCTGTCAGAGCATGACTGTCCTCAACCCCTTCCTATCCCTTCAGGCAAGTGACAAGGGCCCATGGAATAGTCAAGAGAATGGAATGAGGAGGAGGACTAACAGGACCCTGGCTTTGACTCTGGACTACATTTCTCCCACCTTGGCCTCTTTGCTCAGCTCTACACACATTAAACCCATAATTTCCTGGATTTCCACAGGAGCCTTTAACTCCATTTGTCCAGAACTCCCTTCGGGCCCAAGGCCCCCTCCACCTGCCTCACTTCTCTTAGCTCTTGGAGACCCCCACTGCCTAAGCAAAGAACCTGATGGCCTGTCCCTCCTCCCACATCTAATCAGGTGCTAAGCCTGATTGATTCAACCAATGGAACGTCTCTTGGGTACCTCTATTGTGCCGTTTTCCACTGAAAGTGCTATAGCCCAGTTGTGGTCTCTTCCAGCACTTTCTATCTACAGCCTGCTGTGTTACTCTGAGGTACTTTATGGACACCTTTTTATCCTCAGAACAACTTATTTGCAAGTGAGGAAACTAAGGCACAAAGCAGTGAAGTAACCTGCCCAAAGTCACACAACTAGTAAGCAGTAGAGTCACACTCAGGGAATCTGACTGCATAGTCATGTACTTCACCACAATTTTGTACCACAACCTCTCCCACTTTCATCCCTGATTGCTACTCTCAATCTTGCCTCCCCCAGTCATTCCCATGCCACACCACAGCATCTCTAAAGAATCTTTAATCTATTCAACAATATTTACTGTAGGTGCCAGGAACTCTGCTGAAAAACTGGGCAGGAAGATCCCATCCTGAAGTTTCAGGAGCATAGAGCCTAAAGGAATTATCTTTATCCCAGTAACACACCAATCTCCCTCCCCAGTAGAGCGTCTTGCATAAAATAGGTGTTTCACTGCTATGAGTGGAATGAAATGAAGAGGAGCTACGAAAGTCAGCTGGTGCCTTGGTGGGCCTACAGACAGGCCGTGGAGAAGGGAGAAGGACTAGTTTTCCAGTTCATTTTCAAGCTGTTTCCCTCCATCTCCCTCATTCCTTGCTACTTCCTTGCCTCCTATTCTTTTCTCTTTCTGTCCTGTGCTGCAGACTTTGCTCACAAAGTTCAGACGAGTCATTTGAGGTTGGTTGCTGGGATGGAGAGAGAGGTTGGGGGAAGCTTTAACTAATAGGCCTCTGGTGCGACTGCAAAGAGTGAGTTTGGAGATAGAGGATGAAAGACCTGCTGCCAGCCTTTCCCCCTTATCCCTAACCTTCCCTCTTGACCAGGGTTGAACAATGATGGGGAGAAACTGAGATGAGAAGCCAGGTATCCTCATCTGGACTCTACCTCCTGGCGACCTGGTCTAAAGCGCTCTGACTTTTGCCCAGGTTCCGGTTCACTTCATCTCCTCCCCTGCTCATTCCTGGGGTGGGGAGCAAAGGCAGGGAGCAGGTGTTGATGGGCATCAAGCCAAACCTTCCTAGGGATAACAGGCCACAGCCAGCCACTCACAAGCCACTGGTGACAGTGATCAGTAGCAGAGGAACCTGGGTTCCTGCCTTTTCTTGGTGGGGGAGTGGGCAGGCTGGGGCTCATGGTGAGGGTTGAGGGCCAGCTGGGAGTTTGCTGAGGCCAGAGTGGGGAGGCAGTACAAGAAGCCACTTTCCTGTAGACGCATTCTTCTGGCTGGTATGCAAGCTACCCATGTATGACAGGGGCAAG